TTGCATGAAGCATATCCCAGTTACATTATATCACTTATTACCGTATTCTCTCTAAATCTATTCCAGTTACATTATATTGACTTATTATTATATTTTTATAAAACCATGTAGACTGCACAACGTCACACCATGATGCTGTCATTTTCTTTCAGAGTACGGATATGTCTACATTGCAGAGGAAAGTGTGCCTACCAGTTTGGGTAGGCAGAGAGGCACATGCTAGCTTTGCTCAAGCTAGAGCATTAAAAATAGCAGCATGGATGTTGCAGCATGAGCTACCCACCCAGGTACAAGCCTGCCTGACCCTGTGGATCCAAGCTCAGGTGGCTAGGCCATGCTGATGCCCAGGCTGCAATGTCTACACTGCTGGTTTTAATGCATTAGTTAGAGCAAAGTTAGTCTGTCTCCCTAGGCTGGGAGGAGTGCTCCAAGCTGCAGTGTAGACATACCGTAAGAGTTTAACCTAGGATCTTCCCCAAACCATTGTGGAGCATACTATGTGCTTGGTGGCTGCAGTTCAATAATTTTTGTATCAACTGTGAATTTCTTTGGGATAAAAGTTTCAGTAGAAATGTAAAATATTGGGTGCATCTCTCTTAGGGTTCATCTACATTTGATCTTGGGGATGTGATTGAGGCACAGCTAGTGTGAGTACCTCTGTGTGAGCTGGGAATCACATCTCCCAGCTCAAATACAGATGTATCCATAGTGTGAGTATATACTATATTCTTTTTCTGTAGCACATTTCAGCATTTCATACAAGTTTTCAGTTACAGCATATGTTTTGTACACACTACATATTTTACATAAAGTCTATTTTAGAAATGTTTTAGACATTTTACATTTTTTTAGACAGGCATTCCTTGTATCCCTCCTCCTGTGAAGTAAGGTGCCTTATTTATCATGAGTCCAACTGTTCAGTACTTAGAGAGAAAATTATGATGATTAACTAACTTTAGAAACTTCTAAATATTACCTAAAATAGCTTTACCGTGATGATTTCAATAGTCAGAAATGTGGCTTAATTACAGTATTTTCAGCCCAGTTCAGTAGCTGTTAATCTGAAGTTCTCTAGCATGCAGCATTTTCATAGGTGTTAAAGCCCACATTATCCTGTTGTTACCTAAAATAACTGCTGAGTTTTGGATTTTGCAAAATATTGACTTTATATTTAATCAAATCCTGTAATTCTTTGAAAGCAACTTCACAGTTAACAGAATGAGCTTTCATTTATGATATTCTGTGATGTATAAAATGGCAAAATCAACATCATAATTAGTGCTAATTTGCCACCCTTGTCTGCTGTCTCACCCCCCTACTGGTCACAAAGCTCAGCAGAGGGGCCAAGAACCAAGTGAGCCATGGAGAGTTAATGTCCCTTCTCCTCTCTACAGATGGTTCCTCCTGAGCTGAGTTGAAGCATATTGGTTGGGGACAGTGCTGGCCAGAAGTTTGCACTGCCACTGCCCATCTTGTACTTGCTCTGGGGATATGCATAGAACTTCTGAGTCCAAGGCTGTCAGACTGGTACTTTTCATCTCTTTGACCCTCTGTACTCACTCCTATCATGCACTTTTTATTTTTACCAAATGATTATTTGCCTTCTTCATCTTTGTCATCCCTCCTCTTTGCTAAAGGAGAGACTATTAATATTTTAGTGGTGAGGCCCCCTTTGGAGCCTCACCTCTTCTGGAGAAGTCAAATTGACTGGTATCTTTAATCAATGCAGTTCCCCTAATCCTTCCCCACTGTGGAGAGAAGAGAAGGACACTAAGGCTATGGCAGCTACACCAGACTTTAGGCTGCAGTAGTGGCTTCAGAGCAACTCCACTGCTGCTATGAGATTAGTGTTGGAGAATATTAATCCTAGTCTAATTATTTGGAATGGGAACATAGTTTAGAGTAAAATCAGCGACATGAGAAGACTTATAAATGAATCCTCAACCCTGTTCATTAGCACCAACATAGTCTGAAATGCTGTAGACTCACAGTGACTTTCCATCTATCTGCATTTCTCTCATAATTCGCAAATGGCCTCATTATCTGGAGATGTTTCTTTTTTTTCAGGGCTGTTTAATCTGCCTCCCACAACAATTCTTTCTGAAGTAATGTTTGTCTTCTTTCTAATGAAAGCCTGAGTCTTGCCTTTTGAAGTAACTGGCAATGTTCTACTTCCTCAGATTTTCTTCTTAAAAGCCCATCATACACCAAAGTGAATGAAACAGTGGGAGCTGGAGCAGAGTATGGCAAATACCTTTGTAACTGTATCTGATGGGTACTGTCTTGCTGAACCCATTCAATATTATGGTGAGTAAAGCAAAATGAAAGCATTATGAAAACTCAGATTGTCTGCAGCAGTTACTCTTTTCTTTTGGTTTATTATTACAAAAGGTGCCTACCTTAAAGATCTAGGCACTTATACATTCAAATGGGGAATGATAAGCAAGCAAGTATGTTTCTAGTGAGCTTCCACAGGGATCAGTTCTTGGCCCTATGCTATTTAACATTTTTATTAATGACTTCAAAGAAAAGGTAAAGTCATCCCTGATAAAAAAAGTATGAGACGATACAAAAATTGGCGGGAGTGGTAAATAACTAAGAGGACATGTCACAGATACAGAGCAATCTGGATTGCTTGGTAAACTGGGCACAAGAAAACAATATGTGTTGTAATACTGCTAAATGTAATATCTAGGAGCAAAGAATGTAGGCCATACTTACCGGATGTCATGTGGGACTCTATCCGGGGAAGCAGTGACTGAAAAAGATTTGGGGGTCGTGCTGGATAATCGCTGAATATGAGCACCCAAAGTGATGCTATGCCCAAAAGGGCTAATGTGATCTTTGAGCGCATAAAGAGGGGAATCTCAAATAGGACTAGAGAGCTTATTTTACTTTTGTGTTTGGCACTGGTGTGACCCCTACTGGAATACTGTGTCCAGTTCTGGTGCCAACAATTCAGGAAGGATGTTGATAAATTGGAGAGGGTTCAGAGAAGAGCCACGAGAATGATTACAGGATTAGAAAACTTGCCTTATAGTGATAAACAGATTGATCTCCGTGATTCTATCTTAACAAAGAGAAGGTTAAGGGGTGTCTTGATTACAGTCTATAAGTACTTACATGGGGAACGAATATTTGATAATGCACTCTTCAATCTAGCAGAGACAGGTATAACATGTTCCAATGGCTGGAAGTTGAACTTAGACAAATTCAGACTGAAAATAAGGCATAATTTTTAACGATGAGGGTAATTAACCATTGGAACAATTTACCAAGGGTCATTGCAGATTTTCTCTCACTGTACATTTTAAAATCAAGATTCAATGTTTTTCTAAAAGATATGCTTTAGGAATTATTTTGGGGAAGCTCCAGGGCCTTTGTTATACAGGTCAGACTAGATGACCACAGTGGTCTCTCCTGGCCTTGGAATCTATGAAATATCCAGTGAGAGATATTCAAAATTCATTAAAATAATTCAGGTACAAAAATCTGTGCATTCAGTGTGATATGCTGACCATCAGTTTTATCCCAGGGTTGCACGGAGCAGTTTTTTTGTCGTCCTCTCGCACACAAAGGTTAAAAGTCTAGGTGTCATTAAACTATTCCAGACATACTGTAAAGGCCCTATGACTATTGCTTCCGCTCCAGTGTGACTGTGTAATTGAAGTTAGTATCTGGTTCAGGATGAGTGAACACTAAAGTCCTGATCAAAAGCCCATTTAAGGCAAAAAGACTTTCAAGATACTTCAGTGCTCCTTGGATCAGGCCTGAAAGGTAGACTAAAACAGGATACATAATGTACTGAAATATGCACACATATTCTTAACAAGAGGAAAGAACAGGTTAAAGAATATTCAGATAAACTAGATGCATTCAAGTCAACAGGGCCTGACGAAATTCATCCTAGGGTAGTTAAGGAATCAGCTGAAGCAATCTCAAAACCATTAACAATTATCTTTGAGAGCTCCTGGAGGGCGGGTGAAGTCCCAGAAGACTGGAGAAAGGCAAACATAGTACCTTTCTTTAAAATGGGGAACAAGGAGGACGTGAGGAATTATAAACTACTCAGCCTAACTTTCATACCTGGAAAATACCTGGAAAATACTGGAACAAATTATTAAACAATCAGTTTGTAAGATGAAATTCAGTAATGATAAGTGCAAAGTACTTAGGAAGAAAAAAATCAAATGGACTACTAAAAATGGTGAATAACTGGCTAGGTGGTAGTACTGCTGAAAAGGATCTGGGGGTTAGAGTGGATCAGAAACTGAATATGAGTCAACAAAGTGATGCAGTTGTGAAAAAAGCTAATATTCTGTGGTGTATTAACAGGAATGTTGTATGTAAGACATGAGAAGTAATTATCCCACTCTAGTCAGCAGTGGAGTGGCCTCAGCTAAAGTACTACATACACTTCTGGGTACCACACCTTAGGAAGGATGTGAACAAACTAGAGAGAGTCCAGAGAAGAGCAACAAAAATGAAAAAAAGGTTTAGAGACTCTAAACTATGAGGAAAGGTTAAAAAACTGGGCATGTTTAATCTTGAGAAAAGAAGACAGAGGGGGCACCTGATAAGCCTTCAAATATGTTAAGGGCTGTTATCAAGAAGACTGATCAACTGTTCTCCAGGTCCACTGAAGATAGGACAAGAAATAATACGCGTAGTCTTTAGCAAGGGAGATTTAAGTTAGATATTAGGAAAAACTTCCTAATTATACAGGTAGTTAAACACTGGAATGAGCTTCCAAGGGAGGTTGTAGAATCTCCATCATTGGAGGTTTTAAAAACGTGTTGGACAAACACCTGCCAGGGATGGTCCAGGTTTACTTTGACCTGCCACAGCGCAGAGGGCTGGACTTCATAGCTTCTCAAGGTCCTTTCCAGCCCTACATTTCTGTGATTCTTGTACATTTTGTTTCATTTTTAAACCAACTGCAAACATGATAAATAACTGTAAAAACAACTCCTGTCACAATGCTGTACAAACATATTAATGCAAGTATGACTATATGAAATCTGGGTTACACAGAGAAATATTAAATAAAACGTTCTGGCATTTGTGGTCTGTTGAATATCAGCTTTGAGATGTGTATGTGATGGTAAAATATGTCACCCTTTGGAATTTCTGAAATGCCCTTCTCTGCTTGTTAATGTTTTTCATTTTCATATATTGTGCCTGGAATGTGTTTTAATACAAAACATAAATGTTTCCCTCCTTAAAATGTTTACTTATTTAAGGGTAAATTTTCTGCTGGACTGATACCCAGCCTCTTTTCTGGAGCTCAACCTTAGTCCATATTAATGAACTACAGGCATAAGTCTGAGTATACCAAACTCTCACTACCTGAATTTCCTGCAATTTAACGATCTATGGAAAATTAAATTACTAATCTACAGGATTCCAGTAGCCCACAATATGACACTGACCAAACACATGAAAAGAATTTACTAAGAAAAATTGCAGGCACCAATTTTTAGGTGCAAAAGTGAAGCTACCCTTCTGAAAATTTCTCTTAATATTGACACATTATAAAAATAATTTAATATTTTCAGGTATATGAAGTCATAAATTCTTCCACAACCTTTTTGTTTTATTCTCATTTTTTTCATTATCTAGATGTTTTGCCAGAGCACATCAATTATCAGCTGCAAGACTCAGACTTTCAGGCTACTCCTTACTGCCAGTATTCAACTGTTCAGTTTCCTCCAATGTTACAGTCACAACCTTCCCAGTCACAATACAACACATACAGCCTGGATTCTCAATACAGTGATGGGCAGTACATAATCAGTAATTGTGAATTAAACAAGCCCCCCTGCATGGTTGCCCATAATGATGATGATGGATATCATGGACTAAAAAGGCCAAGACTAAGTCATTCCTCCTTGCGAATGAAGGGTCAGGAAGAGCTCTGTGTTGTATGTGGGGACAAAGCCTCAGGATACCACTACAATGCGCTCACTTGTGAAGGCTGTAAAGGTAAGGGAGAAATACCGTATATACTCGATCATAAGCCGGTTTGTTTATAAGCTGACCCCCCCTAAGATGGATAAGTAAAAATGGAAAAATTTTATGACCCGTTCATAAGCCAACCCTATAGTTCAGGGGTCAGCAAACTTTCGCTCCCGGGCCATGAAGATAAGCCGCTGGCGGGCCGAGATGGTTTGTTTACGTCGAGCGTCCGCAGGCACGGAGGTAAACCTAAGTAACCAAAGTGTCCCGGTGCACCAGCTGCTAACCTTGACGGGCCGGGACAGCAACTGGTGGGGACATTTTTTGGGGGGGAGAAGCTGGGGGTCAGGGGAGTAACCCCTGTGACCACCCCCCACATGACCCCACCCCTAGCCCGGGACCCCCACACTCTCCCCACCCCATCCCTTCCCACCTTATCTGGGAAGGATGTCTCTGACCTGGCTGGAGCTGCTCCGGCAGGCTGGGCAGCGCGGCCGCAAGTTGCTCCGGCGGGCCAGACCAGGCGGTGCGGCCGCAGCATGTTCCAGTGGGCTGGGCCAGGCGGCATGGCCACAGCGTGCTCTGGCGGGCCGGGCAGCACGGCCACAGCCTGCTCTGGGGGGCGGGGCCCAGCGGCACGGCTGTAGCCCGCTAGCCCTGGAGCTGCAGCTGCTTCGGAGGCTGGGTGGAGAGCAGCGTGGCCAGAAGCGGAGAGACTCTGGCCCCGCCTCTTCCCTTCTGGCTGTGCTGCCTCTCCTTGCTCCCTCTGTTGGGGGGAGGGGCTGTGTCCCACCTCTCCCTCTGTATACCCGTTCATAAGCCGACTCCCTTCTCTGGTGCTTCCCTTTTTTAGTAAAAAAATTCAGCTTATGAACAAGTATATACGGTAGTTTTATTTTGTGACTTAAAAGAAAAGTGCCCCATATTAATCAGTGCAGCATGCTGAAATTCCACATGTGCAATTTTAAATTAACACATTAATGTTAATTTTCAATTGACATTTTGGAGGACAGCTGCAATCTAGTTGAAGAGTGGAATAACTTATGGGATCCCCTCCTTTGAATCCCACTACTGACTGCTCCTTCTCTGCTACATCAGACTCCATCTTCTTGTCTTTGCTTTCAAGTATCTACATAACTCAACTCCTCTGTACTTATCTACCCTTGTCTCTTTACATGTTGCCCCATCCCCTCTGTTCCACCAATGATGCCAGACTCATCCACTCATTTGTCAGGTATGTAAAAAAAACATCACCACCCTTCTCCTTCCCTGCTTCCCCCACTGCATACAAAGTCTTCCTGAGCTTATGTGTAAGACCACTACCCTCACCACATTAAAATCCCTCCTAGAGATCTATTGCTGCTGTGAGAACTATAGATTGGGCAAATTCTGGAACTCTCTCATACAACACACACACAAAGCTATTGTTATTCAAGCAATATGTTGCAGTGGACAACTACCCCCTTGACCACTTTATTCACATTACTCCTCTTCCTCTATCTTTTATCTGCCTGCTTGTCTTTTAGCTTCTAAGTTGTTCAGGGCAAGGACTGTGCACTCTTTTGCGTTTGAAAAGTGCCTAGCACATTGTGGAAGCTATCAGAAACAGATAATACATTATAATACTGGTCCCAGTTTCACATTTTTGAGGAATTTAATTAATATCTATTTTCACAGTAAACATTATGTGAGGTGAAAACTGATTTCACACAATGCTACACATGGCTCTCGGGCCTGGCTGACTTCAGTGAAGTTGTGTCTGCTTATGCTGGTGGTGACTTTAGCTCATAATGCCTATGTATTAGCCCTGTGTTTTTCTCTCTCTCTGCTGGACTTGGATTCCTGAGGATCACTGCGATTTTGCATTTATCAAAGTTCCTTTTTCATGGAAACCAACTCATTTCTCAGGAACCAGATAATACAGCTCTAAGAATGGCGAAATCCCTACAAAGTGGTGTGGTGCATTCATAAGAACACAGGAATGGTGATATTGGGTCAGACCAATGATCTATCTAGCCCGGTATCTTGTTTTCTGACAGTGACCAGTGCCAGATGCTTCAGAGGGAATGGACAGAACAGGGCATCTATCGAGGGATCCCTCCTTCATCATCCAGTTGCAGCTTTTGGCAGTCAGAGGTTTTGGGACACCCAGAGCATGGGGTTGCATCCCTGACCAACTTGGCTAATAGCCATTGATGGACCTATCCTCCATGAACTTAGCTAATTCTTTTTTAAACCCAGTTATGCTTTTGGCCTTCCCAAAATTCCCTGGCAATGAGCTCTACAGGTTGACTGTGCATTGTGTGAAGAAATACTTCCTTATTTTTCTTTTAAACTTGCTACCTATTAATTTCATTGGGTGACCTCTTGTTCTTGTGTTATGTGAAAGGATAAAAAACACTTCCTTATTCATTTTCTCCACACCATTCATGATTTTATAAACCCCTATCATATCTCACCTTAGTCATCTCTTTTCTAAACTGAACAGTCCCCAGTGGTTTTAAACTCTTCTCAGATGGCAGTTGTTCCATACCCCTAATCATTGCTGTGGCCCTTCTCTGTACTTTCTCCAATTCTAATGTATCTTTTTTGAGAGGGGGCAGTGTCACGAGGTGGTCTACTCATTACTGGGTGGCACCCCCTTCTGGCAATTCTGGGGATTACCCCCTTTCTTCTATTCCACTGTTGCAGCTCTTCTCCTGCTCACGGAGTCGCAGTATGGCTGCTTTGTGACTTGGCAGTGTGGCGAGGTCACACTGTGATTTCCCCTTCCAGGGGGTCTGTCAGAGTTCCCTTGCACAAGCAGCGTCAGGCAGTCCTTATTCCCGCTGCCCTGACTATATCACTGCTGCAGCGACTCAAGCAGTCTTCCATTCACTGCCTCCCAGCAAATACCACTCTGCAGTAGATGATAGGGGAACCCAGGCTTGCCCTCTACTCTGGGTTCCAGTCCAGGGCCCAATAGTGAGCAGTTAAGGTCTGGACTTCCCTGGACTACTTCTTACCAGGCTTCCTCCCTGCTGTCTCCCACACTGTTGTTGGCCTCCTGCCTGTTCCCTCACAGCTTCCTTCTCATTGGCAGCCTCCACACAGCCTAATTCTCCCATTTGCAGGTTAATTGATTGATTGGGCCTACCTGGCCTAATTCAACTCTTTCAAGGCCGGAGTGGAGAGTACATCCCATCACAGGCAATCAGAACTGCACACATCATTCAAGGTGTGTGTGTACCGTGGATTTATATAGTGGCATTATGATATTTTCTGTCTTATTATCTATACCTTTCCTACTGGTTCCTACCATTCTATTAGCTTTTTTGACTGCTGCTGCACACTGAATGGATGTTTTCAGAGAATTATCCACAATGACTCCAATATCTCTTTCTTGAGTGGTAACAGCTAATTTAGACCCTATTTTAAATGTGTAGTTGGGATTATGCTTTCCAATGTGCATTACTCTACACTTTTCAACTCTGAACTTCCATCTGCCATTTTGTTCCTCAGTCTTCCAGTTTTGTGAGATCCCTTTGAAACTCTTTGCAGTCAGCTTTGGATTTAACGATCTTGAGTAATTTTGTATCATCTGCAAACCTTGCCACCTCATTGTTCACCCCTCTTCCAAGCTGCTAAACATGTTGCCTTTACTGTGTTCTCAGTCTCTATCAGACCTATATTATTTTGCTCATTTTAGTTTTCTCGGAACTACAGTGTCAAGTGTTAGAGTGTTGGTTAGACCTCCTACTTAGAATATGGTTTGAGCCATTACTTAAAAATTGGGGGGGGGGGAATTATGCTGGATTCCCTGCCACTTTTAATAGATCCCTCTAGTCATTGGTAAGGTGCCTGTCACTAGAAAGAGTGAAAGGGAGTTACCTTGGTCAAGCACTGATTAATATTAGGCATAAAACAGCAACAAAAGTAATCAATGATTATTAGATTGTTAGAAAATATTAAAATTTCATCAATCTGATCCTTTCATTGTAGAAACATCATACAGTAACTCTTTAAATAACTGAGAGTGGAATTACAAAGATTCCTTATATTCCTTCCCATCATCCAAAATATCTTTTGTTTCTAGGATTCTTTCGACGTAGTATTACCAAAAATGCAATATATAGATGCAAGAATGGTGGCCACTGTGAAATGGACATGTACATGCGGAGGAAGTGTCAGGAGTGTCGCCTGAAGAAGTGTAAGGCTGTGGGAATGTTGGCAGAGTGTAAGTGCTTCACTGCTCCTTACAACTGCAACAAATTCTCTGGCATACTATTTTCCAAAGCCAGTTTCTTTATTTTGCTTTAGGAAGTTTTAACTTTGGAGGGTCCTCCCCTAGGTTCAGAGCATTTGTGGTATTTCTTTTTCCACCCATATTGGTCATCAGTATTTGGGAAATATCCTCTCTAAAGTGATGCAGACTTACTTGTGATCTAGAATTGCTGTGTCAGGCACCTTAACTGAATCAGAGAAGGGTCTATGAAATTGCCATCAAGAGATAGCTAAAGGTGGTGAACTGTGACTGATCTCCATAAGCGTGTTTAATGCTCTTTCATGTTACAAAAAGATAAAAAATAAATTTTGCCCATGTTCATTCTTCATGTGAAACCCTTATGTTCATATGGTTCAGAGCCTAGGTTAAGAGAATGTGACGTCAGACTGTTTGACCCCTGCCCACATCTAGGCTATTGATAGGAACTGACTGACAAAACACATTATGTTGCTACCATCATAGGCAGAACCTGGAACTACCTGTTATCTGAGAACATTCATAGGTAGGAAGCTGCTTTCCATATAGATGATAAGCTACTGAGGTGCCAGACTTATAAAGTCTGCATAATAAAACAAGTGTTTGTTTTGAACAGTACAGGTATTTGAACTTTGATAAATACGTTGATACAGAATTATATATCTTACAGGTTTGCTGACTGAAGTCCAGTGTAAATCAAAACGACTCCGAAAGAATTTCAAGCAGAAGAGCAGTTTCCTTTGTAGCATCAAGGTGGAAGATGAGGGAGTAAACAGCAAGCATGTTTCATCCACAACTAGACCTGGAAAAGTGGGAGATTTTACCTATTTAAAATGTATCTTTTCATTGTAATACATTATTTTTACCTTACCACATATGTATTGTCATTTATCTGATTCTTTTTTTTAAAGATCCAAGAGAGGATGGAACTAACTCCAGTGGAACATCAACTTATTGATCACATTGTGGCAGCCCATCAAAAATATACAATTCCCCTAGAGGAAGCAAAGAAGTTTGTACGTGTTCAGAATGGACAGGACACAATACAGCGATATTAATTAATATTGTTATATTTATTTTTTCACATTCTAGCAGTGTATTTTGGCAATACCAAATGTTTCTAATCTTGCTTTCTTTCTTTTATTCAGCTGCAGGAAACTGCAAACCCTGAAGAGAGTTTTCTGCGGCTCTCAGAGACAGCAGTTGTTCATGTGCAAGTACTAGTGGATTTCACAAAGAGACTCCCAGGTAACTTTATAAAATAATTTAACAAACTCTTCACCACAAGCAGTATAATTTAGCCTTACTCTAAGAGAAGGACATTTATTTATGTGGCATGCATACTCTGAGAAAAGATATACAGTTCAGAAAAACTATTCAATTGATTCATTATTAATTTTATTTGCAAATGTTAATACTTAGGGACACTCTGGTTATCTTCCCTAGACCTGAGGAAGACCTCTGTGAAGCTCAAAAGCTTATTCCTTCCACCAACAGAAGTTAGTCCACTAAAAGATATTACCTCACCCACATTGTCTCTCTCATATCCTGGGACCAACACAGCTACAACAACACTGCAAATGACAATTAGGAAGGCCATTAATTCACTAGCATTTGAAAAACAAAGAAGCAGTTCCTTGTTCTTTCTTTCAAGAAGCCAATTCAACATGTATGACACACATTTCACTTCAATAACAGTACAATTCACCACCTTTTTTTCCAAATCCAAAAATCAGACAATATACAATATGCAATAATTGATCCATATTTTCTCAAAAATATACAATTAGAAATGCTGTCTCAAGTGAATTATTGTTCATCTTATTGTCTGAACTCTGTTTCACTTTGTCACAGCAAAAAGTGAAGTTACTTTATGTATCAAAAATAAAAGAGGTATACTATAATAAAATAATGAATGGCGTAGAGAAGACAAATCAGGCACTCCCATTCATCCTCTCTTATAATACAAAAACAAGGAAACGTTTGATTTAGTTGAAAGGTGATACATTTAAAACCGATAAAAGGAAATACTTTTTTTACACAGTGTACAATTAATTTGTAGAACTCATTGTCAAAAGATATTGGGTTTGTCTACAGCAGGAATTTTCACACTAAGTATCTAGCACTGGTCCAGCTTCACTGGTGGTAGCACCAGTGGAAAAACAGGAATGTTTACCACCCTGTTAAGTAAACCTGCGCTGATCAGGATTAAGAAATCCTTGCAATTTAACTGAATGTCCCCTTGCTCTTGTAGGAGACCAAGAGGTGAGTACATGTCTGTGGCTAAACAGAACATCCACAGTTACACCAGACAAGATAACAAATGTATAGGATATAAGCCCTCTGGCTGCAGGGCAGGTTATTCCAAAATTGTCTACTAGTTTCTTGTACCTTCCTCTGAAATTTCTAGTATTGGCCACTGTCATTGACAGAATGGTGGACTAGATGGATCACTGGTCTGATCCATGATGTCAATTCCTATGTACATGTAAAATATCTAGAAAGACCACAAGACTCTGCTAGCTGAGATTGCTCCTTTACTGCTTGGTACAAGGATCTTGCCTTTGATGCAACTACGGTTCCTACTGTCTCTTAAAGCCAGAGACTAATAATTTTTGGTAACTTATATTGGTAGCCTGAGGCCAAACAGCCACCCCTAATTTTGAATCTTATTGAATACAGGATTTGAAAGTTTAGCCAATGATGACCAGATTGCATTGTTAAAAGGTTCAACGGTGGAAGCAATGTTTTTGCGTTCGGCCCAGATATATAATCAAAGAGCTAATGAATGCCAGTCATCAGTGAGTGAAAGTAAGTAAGTTTTAATGCTAACAGTTGTGTGAATTCAAACAACAGTTTTGTATTTCTTGACTTATTTTTTTCAGCAAGCCTGGCTCCTCTGGACACTGCACCTAAATGGGGTTGTCATTCAAGCATAGAAGGGTTTTTCTTATAATAGCTTTGATAATAATGTCCACCTACCCTTCACTTTTTTAAAAGACCCCAACAAATAACTCTCTTGCCTCTCATTAGCCCCAAAGAGGTAGCAGTGCTTCTGGAATGTTTATACAACAGAATATTGGGTGGGTGGGGAGGTATGTGAACTTAACTGTACTGTGTATCCCCTGTACTGGATTTACAAATAGTGTACTCTTGTCTAGGACTCATTTGCAAAACATTTGCAACCCAATGTTTAAATAGAGTAAAATTAAATGCAGAAGTGGACTTTTAATATTGTTTTCCTTGTTCTAGGTCATGTAAGATTTTCTGATCATGCTGTGTATTGTCATGTTCAAGACATTGATAAAAGCACTATTTATTCCATGGAAATATCTCACAGTGAAGAGAGTCCAACTTCCACAACTACCACAGGTAGATGAGCCCTCAATACCTCAAGAATTATCATTCTTTTACTAAATTTGCTAATAATTTTGAGATAAAATAGTTTGAGGATTTTAAAATTACTCAAAAGTTTTTGAGAAAATGAATTGACAATGGCAACACGAGTTTGCTCCTGGATTGATTTTTCAATAGCTTGATTTCATTTTTAAAGGTATCACTGAGGAGTTTATCACTGCGCTATTTTACTTCTACAGAAGCATGGGAGAACTTAATGTGACTGAGACGGAATATGCCCTACTTGTAGCAACTATTATATTTTTTTCAGGTAAACTTTCAGATTAATGAAGAAGTAATTATGTTCCATATACAAATTAATTTTTTTTTTAAATTAACTGATCACTTTCAAATCAAATATGCTCAAGCCACTGTCCTAAGAAGCAAAAAGTGTGTAACTATTTTATGTGTTATTTTGCTTTGCTATTCTTTTTCCTCAATGTATAATATTTCTTGAGAGTTCAATTTCGCTAATCATTGCATTTCATTTTATGCCTTTCATTTATGTCAAATCCTGTTATCATTCAAATGAGTAGTCTCACCAAAATTAATGGGACTACTCAGAGAAAATAAAGTGATCAGATTTGGGTCCCAAATTATATTAATATACTATTGTTGTTTTGCAGATCGCCCACTCCTAAAAAACAAACAACACGTGGAAAAACTCCAAGAACCCCTTTTAGGTATTTTGTACAAATATTCAAAAATTTATCATCCAGAAGATCCACAGCATTTTGCACGCCTCATAGGGAGGCTTACCGAACTCAGGACCCTCAATCACAACCATTCAGAAGTGCTAGTAACTTGGAGGACAAAAGACCCCAAACTGACCTCTTTACTCTGTGAAATTTGGGATTTGCATTGAACTATATTACTGTTGTTATACAAATGGCTGATTTTCCTTAAACTTGCAGAAATGCAAACTGTTCAGAAACGTCTTACTTTTATAAAAACATACTAAAATTTTCACTTTTATTTTACATGGCTGCAGCGTCTTCTTCAACAAAAATATTGTATTTAATATCTGTAGTAATAATCTATATTTTAAACAAATATTGGATCACAAGTCATGCTCTGTTGAAGTGATCCAGTATTAAATATATAAAATTTATCTTAAACTTTATTACCACAAATGGGAAACAAAGTAGAATTTAAATCAGGTTCACAGTTTGAACTGAGTCCCCAGGAAAAATACAGTAGCAGATCCTTCATTTAAAAACACAAAAAATCTAATCCTCCTCTTACTTAGGTACTATGATTCTAATATTGCCGTGCCATTAGACTGAAAAGTTAATTTCCTGGGATCTGTTCAACTTGTGCAACATCTTCCTTGCAAGAATTATGTGACCATGTTGGGAAATTTGCCAGGTGTATAATCCAGTGGGTAGCATGTATGTCCAAAAGGCCCCAGAAAAAGTAGGAAAAAGGATACAGTGGCCCCGATGGACACTGCAAGTATAATGTTATTAAAACTTTTAAAATCTTGGGAAGGCTGGGTGCATAAATTGTCACCTGAATGTGACCCTGGCAGGATTATAGTGCTCATATTTTTACACATGAATTACTCTGGAATGGTTTCTCCAAAGCAGATAAGCACAAAATATACTTTTTCAATTTCAGCAATGTAGGTCTTTTTTCCTTACCTACTATGGGTGAAATCCTGTCCCCACTGAAGTCAATACCAAAATGTCAACTGACTCTAGTGGGACCAGGATTTAACTGTGTATTTTTGCCTACCAATCATAGTGCAAGTTTTATGGAGGATGTCATAAGGACTCTACATTAATGCTTGAATTCTCTGTTACATTTATCATGACTATAATGGGGTAGAAGATTCCTATATGGATTTGAGGATTCTTTTTCAAGACACCAGTCTCAATTAGAGGCACTCAAATTCATTTGTTGAATAACTTCATTAAAGAAAATGGAAATACAGTGGAGATGAATGTGACTTTTCTCCAACAATGGTCACATTCTGGAGCGGTTGAGATCAATGTTCTACTGCTGGCATGTGCTGTTCCAGAGTCTGCTCCATCTCCCAACACAGGCTATATATCCCATTTCCTTAATGTATACAAGGATTCCAGCAGCACGTTTTTCCTGCATCAGACATAGCATCATGATAGATTATGTTGGAGGCAGAATACTATGAAGAGTGAAATCCTCCTCTTACTCAGAAGAGCAGGATCAATGGAACTACTTATGTGAGGTTGTCATGGGGTGGATGTACTCCATGCTAGGCCTGCAACCAAAGGGTTAATACAAGCACTGCTAACCACTGCTGATTGGCAGTCTCACAGCAGCTGGGAGGATAAAAATGCTTGGAAGCAGAAAGGTGGGGTGGCTGCCAGAGGAGTGAGCAGGCTAGAGAAAGGAGCTTCTGTCAGCAAGCTACTAAACAGCTGCCTAAAGACAACAGCACAGGAGGGGATGAACTGACCAACAGGTGAGAGAGCCTGCAGAGATCCAGGGGAAGATAGGAAGGTGCTCAGGGCACTGTCTGTTGAAGAGTCCTGATCCTGTTTATCTAGCTTGAGGGCTCTGAGCTGGAACCCTGTGGAGTGGGTGGTCCTGGGTACCCCTACTGACAAACTTGTGAGTGAAGAAAGGGTTTTCAGACTCCTGGGCATCAGGACTGCTAGGCTGTAAGCCCCAGGGCTGTGCCATACTTGACCAGAAGGGGTGCTGTTGCATGGATCTACCACCTCACAGGTGAACAGAATCTAGCCTATAAAGGGGAATAATTTGGTTGGTGGGTTTTTTTTTTTTTTTTTTTAGTAGTTTTAGAAAATTACATGCTCCCATTGGAAACTTACATCCACTCTGGGCACTGCCTATAACTGTGTGTGGGTAGAATTCCATAGTCAGTAGTGCCCCCATCTTACTAAAAAGAGAGGAATAAAGAGATGAGGGGTATATAAAGAAGACTATAATAAAATCTTATTTGAAACATTCTACACAGCCATTAAACATTTCTCACCATAGAATGAATGTGAACTTTCAAATAGTTTAATCTCAGGATTATTATAAAAACAACTGACTTCTTAGTGTTGTGTTTTTTTTTAACAGAATCAAAACATAATAAATGTAAAAGAGACTCAGGCAGCTGGTGTGCATCTCCTCCCACAATGAGTTTGCTATTGCACCTAATCATATTTTTTTTTTTTTTTTTTTTTCTACAGACTCTTTTTTTTGCTTTTTTTTGGATTGTTTTTTTTTTTTTCAATAAAGTTTCATGATACTTAATGGGCAGCTGATTCTCTTGCTAATGTTTTCAAGGTTATGCTAATCTGAAAATGTTAATTAGCACCTCTTATATTTTGTCATTAAAATATTTTCATATCGCAGATTAAAAACCATGTATGAATACTTTCATCTAGTCGATAGACAGATTGAATCAAACCATCATGCATGTGGATCTTTCATCACTTTTGAATTATAATGCAAATAGTGACCACAGACTAAAGATATATCTTTAAAATCTTAAATTTAAGTTTTATATTTTTTTCAGAAATTATATATGTTTTTGCCCTATATACATACTACTAGTGTTTTTTACTATAGTTTGAGACTTTTATTTTGTATGGATTTAGGAAGAGTCAAAGGAGTGCTCTAACCACATAACTTACAACTGTAAGTGGTGTAACTATGTGCATCAAGTATGACTGTTTGGTGGCCTACACTCTGTTATACTGACTAAAAGGAGTGGAAAATAAGATATGTAAAGCTTTGAGGCACCACAGCCTCAGACTAAAGGAATGAAGGGAACAGGTGAAACAAGCAGAGACTATTAGGACAAAAAAGGAAATAAGTGAAGGGAGCTGTTCCTCCTAATATTTTTCCCCTCCCTACCTGTTTCCATTTCTTCTCCCTCTCTCCTCCTCTAAAATGAGATATAGTAAAGTGAGTACAAAAGAGCTATTTTTAAAGGCAAGTTAAAGTGCAGTCCTATCCTGAAAAGTAGGTCTTTAACAAGTATGGGTGGAGATTTCTAACCTTTCAGTGGTGTCCCACTCAAGTTTGCTGTTTAGATAAAAATAAATAGGGGATGTGTATATTTTAGATTGGGAGTAGGCAACCTATGGCCAAAGGTGGCACGAGAACTGATTTTCAATGGCACTCACACTGGCCGGGTCCTGGCCACTGGTCTGGAGGGCTCTGCATTTTAATGTAGTTTTAAATCAAGCTTCTGAAACATTTTAAAAACCTTATTTACTTTACATACAACAATAGTTTAGTTATATACTATAGACTTATAGAAAGAGACCTTCTAAAACAGTTTAAAATGTATTACTGGCACGCAAAACCTTAGAGTGATAAATGAAGACACGGCACACCACTTCTGAAAGGTTGCTGACCCCTGTTTTAGATTTTTGTCATCTCACCTTGAGAATCCACCTGGGCTCTTTCCTCCTTATGCACTATCCCCAGTAATAGTCCACTGATCAAATTATGCTCTCCATACCACCTGTGCAAAGCCAGTAGCCTTTACGACAGGTGCAACAGGATAATAATTTAAGAAAGGCCGAGACATTATTTGGCACAGAATGGAAGGCATTAGGTTTTCAGAGGTATTACCAAGAGCAGAAGTTGGCCTGAAGCATTATTACAGGTAATGACAAATGATATGAGCGGCACAGAGCAACCCTAAGATCCCAGAGAGAAGGTTTGAGGCTGGCAGGTATTCCAAGCCACCTTTTCCCTGAGGGGAGTTGCTGCTGCGAGGCAGTGACTAGGGGAGCAGAGGAGGCTGCTGTATCTGAGCCCTACGCCCTTCTCAGGGCAGGCCCCGGGGAAGCTGCCCAAAGACTCGGGGTCAATCTGTTTCCAAACAAGGCTGAGGTGTGAAGGGGGCGTCCCGGTTTCTTCTGCCCCACCTGCGTGTGTCCACTTGAGCCGTCCCCCGCCGGCTGACAGCCCGATGAGCGTCCCGGCGCCGGGGGCCAGGCTGCGGCCAGCTCGCGCCACACCGCGCCGGGGGCTCCCCACACAGCCACCGCTGCACCGTGCCCCCTCCCAGCTGTCCCCGCGCGGGCAGCACGCGGCCCCCCCGGCTCGCGCCACACCGCGCCGGGGGCTCCCCACACAGCCACCGCTGTACCGTGCCCCCTCCCACCTGTCCCCGCGCGGGCAGCACGCGGCCCCCCGGCTCGCGCTTCCCGCCTTTTCCGTCTCCCGCTGGCTCGCGCGGCCGTCAACCTCCGCGCCGCTGCGCTCAGGGGTGGGGTAGGGGGAGCGGCGGCGGCGGCGGCGCGCGGTCCCTTTGAGCCCCTGGTTCTCATGTTGCGGGGCCTGGGGAAATGGAAAAAGAAAAGCCCTTTAAACTGTTCGTGCCACCCAGGCTGAGCAGCGGCCAAGTGTCTGCCGTGAAACCGCAGGCGAGCGCCAGGGACGATGGATCCCGTCAGGTAAAGACGGTGCGAACGAAACGGCCGCGGCTTGGCCGCGGTCTGTCCTAGCGCGGGCCAGGGGCTGGAGACCCTGCCGAGCTCTCCCGGCCCCCCTGCTGCGGGCAGGGAGCGCGACGGCCCGCGCAGACCCTTCTGGTGCTCGAAGTCCTGGTCTTGGCGATGAGTTCAAGGCCCTTGTCAGGCAATATTGGTCTCTTATCGTGTAGTGTCACTTCTACACTGACGCTCCAGGCCAGCCTAATGGAAGTACTTTTATTACAGTGGTTCTCATCTAGGGTTGCCAATTCTGGTTGGACGTATGCCTGGAGGTTTCATCACAGGACCTAATATTTACTTGAAGATTCATCTTTACTTCCTGGAGACGCCAGGACACTCCTGGAGGGTTGGCAACCCTGTTTCAACCAGGAGCCCAGGGTCCCTAAGGGGGCTGCGAGCAGGTTTCAGGGCCTCTGCCAAAATAAACCAAAGAGCAGGACAAGTGTTAGACTCACAGGAGCCGAGGGCAGAAAGCTGAATCCTGAGCCCCGATGCTCCTGGCTGAAGCTGAAGCCTGAGCAACTTAGCTTTGCGGGGGGCCCCCCCCTGTGGCGTGAGGTCCTGGGCAATTGCTCTGCTAGCTACCCCCTAACACCGCCCCTGGCTATTAATCTACTGAAAAACTGTTGCAGTGGCACAAGTGGGCCGGGGAACTTGTATAGCATGGGAGGGGGAAGAGGAAAGCCTCAGAAAGAAAAAGGTTGAAAACCTATACACATACACCGAATAATGCATCTGGGGGTACGTTTACACTTACCGGAGGGTCCGGCGGCAGGCAATCGATGTTCTGGGATCGATTTATCGCGTCTGGTTTAGACGCGATAAATCGATCCCGGATCGATCCCGGAAGAGCTCGCCGTCGACGCGGGTACTCCAGCTCGCCAAGAGGAGTACGCGGCATCGACGGGGGAGCCTTCCTGCCGCGTCTGGACCCGCGGTAAGTTCGGACTAAGGTACTTCGAATTCAGCTACGTTATTAACGTAGCTGAATTTGCGTACCTTAGTCCGAAGTGGGGGGGTAGTGTGGACCAGGCCTAAAAGGTTACACCTGTTGCACTCTGAAAGCTGCAGGGAGAATTATGGTTGTAGCTAGGCTTGGCAGAATTTGGTTTGTTTATCTTTTTAAATAATTTTGATGGATAATAATTAGTTGTAAGCATTTTTTTCAGTTTTTATAGATTTAAATTTTCATAGTTGTGGGAAACTAAGAGGTTCGACAGTAAATATTTAGTCACAATAGATGTTGAAATTCAAGAAGTTAAAGATTTATAGCCATTAAAACAGTATCAGTATCTCATGTAGAAATATACAAAATCCTGAAATCAAACAAATAAGCAGCCTTTTTCTTACTTTGCCTATTTGTAAATGTTGATTATTATAGGTGGAAATATTTTTTTAGTTGGTTTCTGTGTGTATGCTGAAATTGACGCTTATTGATAATATAATCCTTCCAAGCCTAACTATAGCTCCAAAACAACTAAAAATAATGTTACCAGTATTTCCAAAAATGGTAATATTTGGCATAAGAACAAGAATGAAAAATTTCACCCCCCTCAATATTGTTTTTTTACAGAAAGCTACAATAATTTGAGAACAATGACAGAAAAAAAATATAGATATTCAGCCAACGAGAAATAAAAGTTGCAAAGCCTATTGTGGATAATTTAGAATACAGAAAATGATCCAGGGATTATAAAATGTCAAGGCCATATTCAGATATCCTTATTCACCCTGAATAGTATCTTACTTGACAAATAGTCCCACTGAAAGCAATTGGATTATGAACTATTTCATGTTCTGTCAGTCAGTAGTACTAGTTGAGGCCTGCACACGCTCAATTGTCTATTATTGCATGAATATACATAGGTTCAACATATTATTTTTTTCTTATTGGGGTCTCTTATTCAAGTACTGATCAGTTCCAGATATGCTCAGTTTTTAAAAGCATTTGAGATCAGGTATACTCATATCAGATTTCTATGGTATTTTCTAAAAATGAAAAATTGATTTATAAGGTAAGATTTAGGTTGTGAAATTTCATCACACGTTTTCTGAGAATGTTATAGGGAATGGAAAATAAATTTTGAACAGAGCCTTAGCTATAGTATTATTCTGGGATTGGCACTCCCAGTCTTCAGATATACCTTAACAAACTAATTTTTAAATTTTTCCAGGTTTTTAACAAGTGCACAGAAGATTATTTTAGTTTGCCTTTTGTAATGACAAGTACACCAAGCCATGGTGAAGTCACAGATCCAGGTAAGGCCAAAAAAGGTATTACATCATCTTGTACAATAGTCTCTTTAAATTTAAGTTTCTAGTTATATGCACTTTTTAATGTCTTCTAAGAAGACACTTCTAAATATTGTAACATTTTGCCTAGTTTTAAGCTATTATATTATATGTTATACAAATTTATTTAGAAAAAATACTTATCAAAATATCTTTTTCAGATCCTGTTTCACAGAAAATAAATTTTTTGCCTGGGGTAGAAGAAGAGGTCAGTTAAGTGTACAGACTGTGAATCTAGTATTTCAGCACCTCACAATCTTTAATGTATTTATCCACACTCACAATGCTCCTGTGAGGTAGGCAAGTAGTGTTTAACACATGAGGAAACAAAGGTACAGTCTCTGAATGACAGAGAAGGTCTGTGGCAGAGGAGGGAATTGAACTCTGGTCTCCAAAGTCCTAGGCTAGTACCCTAACCATTAGACAGCCTTCCACTTATACATAGTACACTCTATGGAAACACCAAATAATTTACTAGCATGAACTACTGAAAAACTGAATTACAGTACTGCACTTTCAGCCCATTTTCCCCAGTTAAAGCTTTTGTGGGCGAATACCCATTTCGTCAGATGCACGCACGAAAGCTTATGCTCCAATACATCTGTTAGTCTATAAGGTGCCACAGGACTCTTTGTCCCTTTTTACATTTCTTGTGTGGTGCTCTACAGTTCTTTTTAGAGTTCTTAATTGACTGATATAATTAACGGCACATAAAGACCCTCTACTGCAGAAAAAAAATAGGAATTCTTGGATATGCTCTCTGGAGTCCTACTGATTTCACTCCCAATGTCTGGAATTTTGGGCATTGGAACTTGGTATGGGAAACCTAGTGGGTGAAATCCTGGCCTTAATGAAATTAGTAACAAAACTCCCATTTACTTTAGTGGGGCCTGGATTTGACCCTGTGTAATCATCCATGACTGCCAGGATTTGCCTTCAGCTATGTTAGAAGATCTGAGTATGTTAGGATAATTTTCCCTTATTTTTATTGTATTGTAATTATGCCTTTTTTGTTATTTCTTATTCCATGAAACAAATTGGTACACAGTGGTTTTTAGTGGGTGCTGTAAGCATTCAGAATAATGCATCAGTGGTGCTACCAAATTTAATCAGTTTAAACTTTGGTCCCTAGAGCAGCTTGATTTGCAATTTATTAAAGAAATATGAATTCTTATGATATTTCTAAGAGACGTGTGTAGAATATTTTTAATTAAACAGCATTTCAGATTAAATTGTGAAACCTGTTTCAATAGAATATAGAGACAATGCATGAGCTTTATTCAAAACTCTACAAAGAGGCTGAAAAGATCAAGAGGTGGAAACTGACAGTAGAATCTGAACTGAAGCAGAAGGAGAGAAAACTGCAAGAAAATAAAAAGATTATTGAAGCACAACGTAAAGCTATTCAAGAGTTACAGGTAAGTTTCTGTATAGGATACCTCAAAATATATTTTTAAGAATAAAAACTTTCTGAGTAAACACACATAATTTGGATTTCTGATATAATTTAATATTCAATAATGATTCACAGCTCACAAAAATATTTTAAGCAATTAATCTCATGTGGAAAAAAATGTGACTGTCTAATTGATCCAACAGCTTCACCTTTTTACAAGCAAAACTTCACTTTTTAATTGTAAAATGTAAAAACTTATCCTCTCAATAATGAATGTTTGTTTTGAAAGAAAAAAATGAGTTAATATATACAAAGAAAAAATAAGAATGTAATTAACACGTGGAAATGAAGCTTCTCTGTAACTTGTAAAAAGAGTACAGTGAAACTTGATATGTTTATTCCCTCTTTCATACAAACTGTATCACAAAACATGGTTCAGAGTTAAATATTGCAGTCAGACTGAAATAACAGCGCAGAGAGAGAAAATAAGAGGTATAATTAACAGCACATAAAAATATATTATCAGGTGAGATTTGAAAAGAAATGGAGCTAGATAATAAGTGTATTTTGAATAACTAATTTTTTAATTGTGTCTCTTATAAAATTAGTTTGAAAATGAAAAACTAAGTTTGAAATTGGAAGATGAGATATGTGAAAATAAAGATCTTCTACAAGAGTAAGTAATATGAATAAAATATTATAGAAAAAAATTTCATACTGAACACTTCTCATTTTTATTTTTAATTTTAAATAATTGCACTCAAGAAAGACATTAGATTGCAGAGCTTCTCAAGGCAAGGACCTTGTCGTTTTTATATCTGCAAAATACTATGCACCCCTGTAATATTATGTAAATAATAATAAAATAGCTATTTCTTCTTTCAGAAACAGTGCAACAAGACATTTGTGTAATCTGCTCAAGGAAACCTGTGCTCGATCCACAGAGAAGTCCAACAAATGTAAATATATTTAGATATTGTTTTACATTTGTAAATGCACACTGCTGCATGGGAGAAAAAGCTTTCTTTCTGCTGGCATGGATTCTAGTGTAGTTTGAATAAGTTGTGCATGGCTTATCTCACTAAGATGAAGTTTTCTGTAGAAAATAAGCCATAGACTTAATAGCTATTAGTTTTGTGGTCTTAATTTCAGAGGGTTTTTTTCCCCAAAGGCAACAAGTTGTTAAAGAGTTATACATTTATGTCTCCCAACCTTTTCTTTGGCATATTCATCGGAAGCAACATTGACCTGTTTGGGGCAGCTTGATTCCTAAACAATGCAGAACAAAATAAGTGCATCACTCTAGTATTCTGTACATTACATAGGCTACCCATTTAGACATTGATCCAGGAAGGTATTTAAGCATATGTGTAAATTTAATAGTCCCATTAAATTCAATTTAAGTACTTAAAATTATGCATGTGCTTAAGTATTTTCCTGAATTGGGACTTTAGAACTATAATCTTGAATTTGATCTGGATTAATCTTCAAAACCCTCAATGTTGCTGAACCCACGCCGCTGGAGAGTTGCTCTGTTTCTCTGGCCTCAATCCTGCACATATTTACACATTTAACTTTACTACTGTGAGTAGCCCCGTTGTTGACCATTATCTTTCATGACCGCTGTGTCAGCTACAAGGGTGAAAGTCTTAAGCGCAAGATGCAGAGATTTTTTTTAAGAGTTGTCTCATGGCTTTGAAACTCTTTTCACAAGAGAAGAGAATGACCTGCATCTTGCCTCATATAGGATAAAATACAAGACTAAACCTTGCATCATAGCATTCCCTCAATAATAAAAATGTAAAAATACATTCTTCCTTCTACAGCAATGGAAGACAGGGCAGAACAAAAAATCAGTATTGATTATGCTATATGGGGAACCCATGATATTTTTGTAAGGTGCTTAGCTACCACAGCAGTGTGATTGGTCACTCTGGCACATTAACTTTGACTCTTTTATCTCCCTTGTGCTCACATCTAGGTCACGTGCAAATCCTGCTGTATTTTCCTTCATAACATTTCTAAAATAAGATCTTTTATTTCTGTTCACACAGCTAAAACATTGACATCATCCCCCTTTAGTCCATATAAAACGAAGGTGCTAAGATAATGTTCTTTGCCTGTTGCACTAACTATATCACACAAATCTCTTTGGATCTCTTTGCTGACCAAGTTTTCCATTGCATCAAATTCAAATGTTTTGTTCTCACCTTCGAGGCCTTTCACAACGTTGCCTCATCTTAGTTATCTGTTCTTGTCGTTTATCACATCAGCCTCACGTTCCCTCGTCTTTACCAACAATGTCAGCCTTGATGGTCCATTTGACTGATTTTCTCACAAGTGTCTTCACACTTTCTTCTATGCCATCTCTTACATATGGAACACCTTTCCTGAATTTATCTTTGAAATAACTACCTGCTCAAGACTCATTTCTTCCATGATGGTTATTGGAAATTGGCCAACTAACAATGGTTAGGTTGAGGGGGTAATCCATGAAGTAAATAAATATATATAAATGCTCGATTCAGAAATATCTAGTTGTATGCGGCACTACTAGCATGTATAATGATGCGACCATATCACTTGACCTCCTTATTCCTCAAGTAGTCTCAGTGAAACAGAGTGGATTTCAGTGGGGCTACTCAAGGAATTATCAACTTTGATACTCCTGCTGTCACTGTGTATTGATGTATCAGAATCTGTTATAACAATAAAAATGATAATATGCTTATACTGTTTGATCCTGGATTTACATCTAGCCTGTCATTCTGTCTGGAAGAAGTGGAATTCAGAATGAAGCCATATAAACTGATCTGGAATGCTACTTAGATGGAGAATACACTTTTTCTGCATTGCATAACATTTGCCAACAATATTTTTGCAGACATTTTGGTAAAATGATGAGAAAAAGCAAGATCACCATATCCATGTTTTAATTCTTGATGCACTGTGTATTGAAATGCTTGGGCAAAACTTTTTTTAAAATCATATGTAGAATCTAATATGCCCTTGTATATTACATTTATTGCTGTATTGTTATGCATATCTTAAAAGTAAAATTTAGTTCAAAATATTTTTATATTGACAGATGAACATGAAAGAGAAGAAACCAGACATCTATATATGGCACTTAATAATAATATTGAGGTAAGTGATTGATTGTAAGAGGTTTCAAAATACTCTACATTTAAACAGCTGAATTGAGTTGATGTGAATGCTGAGATTTTCTTAAATACAAAACACATTTGTCATTGATCTACAGGAAATTTGGTAATTGGGGGTCAAAGACCAGAGCCAGAAAACAAGCTGAGGATCAGAGACAGGATTGATAGGGCTGTTAGAACAAGGTATAGGGGCAGGAACCAGAGATGAAGCAAGGATCAGGAACAAGGCAGGAACTGAGAAGCAAGGGAAGGAGCAAGATAGGGATCAGGAACAGGACAAGGGTTGAGTGGAACTAGGAACAAGGTTGGATGCAGATTGCAGAAGACAGAGAAGAGTGGGGTCTGTTGCAGCATCATCAAAGAGTCTGCACAGTTGCTCGGACAGCCCTGCCTGGGACACTTCCTGGTGTAAGTAGTGGGTGTGAGCCAATCAGATGGCTCTAGGCCTTGGGCATTCCAATAGGACCTTCCTGTGAGTCCTGATCTTCTAGGACTAGTGAGATACTGCTTTGTCTGTCTTCACTGGTGGCGACAAGGGACTGTCTGAGACCCATGCCTCCCTCCCCCCCCAAAAAACAAACAAACAAAAAAAACCCTGGGTTGTAGACCTGCCAAACCTGAGGACCCAAACCCCTGGATCCTCATAGCCCCAGCCTTTATACAGTTTCTTTGGAGTATCCCTATTTTTTGCCAAGCCCTTTGCTTTTTACAAGGGTGAGACCCACAGTTGTACAACTCCGAGGCTGGGCCTTTAGGCGCCAGCGCTCTTGATTTTTCTCTGTGGCTCTACAGCAAGTCTGAACAAGTTCAGACTCCTTTTAGAAACTTCCATTACTTTAGGGAGCAATATAACCAGTATTTACAGTGACAGAGAGTAGCCTTTTCAAAACAAGCCGGCATTTATTAGTCAATTGGAGCACCACATTTGAGAGTCATTAGATCATCATGGAAAACTTAACAGAGTCTATATTGGCAGAAAACAACTGTGCACTGTTCCATGTCATCCTTGAATCTATCCTAGTCTCACTCTCTCTGAACCTGTCTCGCTGCTCTGGGCAGCAGTAAGTCTCAAAAACCATTCTAGTTGCACCTTATAGATCAGGGGTCGGCAACCTTTCAGAAGTGGTGTGCCGAGTCTTCATTTATTCACTCTAATTTAAGGTTTTGCATGCCAGTAATACATTTTAATGTTTTTAGAAGGTCTCTTTCTCTGTCTATAATATATAACTAAACTATTGTTGTATGTAAAGTAAATAAGGTTTTTAAAATGTTTAAGAAGCTTCATTTAAAATTAAATTAAAATGCAGAGCCCCCTGGACCAGTGGCCAGGACCCGGGCAGTGTGAGTGCCACTGAAAATCATCTCGCGTGCCGCCTTTGGCACGCGTGCCATAGGTTGCCTACCCCTGTTGTAGATGCAGCCTTCCTTGTCTCCCAGACAGTTAAAAGTTAATTTTCAGTCATTGGGTCTCCCATTGTCTCTCAAGGGTGACATCCACTTATGTCTCGCTTCTCTGTGTCCTGGGGAGAAGTTAACCTCTTTGCACCTAGTGGGTAACAATACAAAGTAAAACTGAGTCACATGGATTGTTCATAAAAATAAAACAAGAATTCCCACAGTCTCCCCAGCATTCCCTTCCATTGTCACATGGGCAGCTACTGGTGCTGAGTGCCCAAGTCTTTGATAAGAACATAATTATAAGAGTTTGTTCTATTTGGTTGGTGGTGGTTTTTTTTAACATAAAGAACTTTATTTGAAAAATATATACATGTTCATACAAAACATGCTTACAAACATTATAAGGTGCAATACAATTATGTTATGACATAAGAATTGAAAATATACACCAGTTTTAAGTACAGCATAGTAAGTAGAGGGAACATTTAGTCTTAAGGCTGGTCTACACTACCGCACTATGCACTCTCCTGTCATCATAATTACTCCACCTCAGCGAGAGGTGGAAGCTATATTGGCGGGAGAGTGTCTCCCGCTGACATAGCATGGTGTATATGCCACTTTAAGTCGATGGAAATTATGTCGTTCGGGGGGGTGGCTTTTTCACATCCCTGAATGACTAAGTTACATCAACTTAAGTGGTAGTGTAGACAAACCCTTAATATATTTTGTGGAGGAACAGATGAGTAAATGTGGAAGATTAGGGAGGTACTAAGCTCTCTTGCACCATTTTTTGTCTGGACTTTGGTATTTTAAACAAAGTAATTGTAAAACCATCAGTAGAGTCTTGCAAAGTACATTTGACCTTCAGTTTTTTTCTGAAGTTCCTTGGGGATATAGTGAGAATTTTGAATATTTGTCAATGAGACGGGAGAGGCATTTTTATCTGGGGTAGAGAATTTGATATTAAAATAGTTAAGTTAAATGTTTGTCTTTTTAACCTTTGACTTTTATTTATTGTTTGTACTGTGATAGCACCTAGGCACCCCATGTTGTGCACCAGGGCTCCATTATGTTAAGCACTGTACAAATAGCTAGCAAAAAGATGGTCCCTGCTCTAAAGAACTTACCATCTAAGTATGGAATTACTTGATTTTCTAATTTTTAAAATAATTAGTGTTCTAATAATATTGATTTAAATTAATAGCTGTCTGTTTACAACTGTAACTCTGTTTTAACAAAGTACTTTTTAATCTGGAAACATTACCATCGGCTTATAATACTGCATATTTTTAAATGGTATGTACATTCCTTTTTCATTATAGGAAATCATTTGTCTGTGAACATTTACTGCTATGTTTTATTTTTTAGAGAATGATATTGGCTTTTGAAGAACTTCGTGTGCAAGCAGAGAACTCCAGATTGGAAATGTGTTTTAAATGTGAGAATTCTGCCTAATGTTTACAATACTCATAATGTACTCTGTATATGTAACAATCTCTTTGATCCTTGGAGATAGCATAACATGCACTTTTGGCAGGAATGATGGGATTTATTAGAACCAATGAATTATAGGCACACTGTTAAGCATGATTATAGGACATGCTTATGTGGTGGTAAGGGGAGCAGATGCCCTTATTACAGCATAACTTGGTTCCACAATATGGCAACAATTCCTGAGGAAGGTCAACTAGGTTCTAAAAAGGGGCATAAAAGAGATTCTCATCCATTCTTTGTACTCATTTGGCCTAATCTTACTCCCCTTAAAGTCAATGGCAAAACTCCCTTTAATTTAGTGGGAGTAGGTTTGGAACCTGTATACTTGTAATACTCTAAAACAGTGGTTCTCAACCTATTTACCATTGTGGGCCACATCCAATGCTACCTCTGTGGTCCTGAGGATGTCACATGGGCCGTAGCTCTGTGCTGATTGGGCCGCAAGCGGGCCGCAGGTTGAGAAACACTGCTCTAAAAGCTTGAAAATAACATTATTCACCTGAGAGATAGGGTGCATGAGGTAATATCTTTTATTCTGTTGGTGAGAGAGACAAGCTTTCAAGCTGCACAGAGCTCCTCTTCAGGTCTAAGAAGTGTACTCAGAGTCACAGGTTCAGCTAAATACAAGCGGTGACAGATTGTTTAGCATAAAAAGTTAACACACATCTCAAGGGACCATTGAAGGTGAAGTGCCTGTTAACACCACCCCAGTTATTGGGGGGGTAAGTAGGTTACAGATTGTTGTGATAAGCCATAAATTCAGTCCAAGATTTTTAGAATCTAGCAAAATTATGAATTTAAGCTCCCAGGTTCATTCTTTGAAGGTGTTATGCAGGTTTCCAATGAGGATGAGGACTTATAGGTCAGATATAAAGTAATTGCTTTGTGAAAAGTGTTCACGCACATGTGATAAGCAAACACCTGTCTGGGATGGTCTAGATAATACTTAGTCCTGCTATGAGTGCAGGGGCCTGGACTAGCTGACCTCTCGAGGTCCCTTCCAGGCCTATGATTCTATGATACCATATTTTTTGTCTTTTATCATTTTTCTGAGAGAGTTAATTTGAGTATAGTGATTGTCTTGTTTCACCCACATAGTTGTTGGGGTATTTAGTGCATTTTCCAAACCTGAAGAGTACTGTATAGCTCTAAAAATCTTCTCTCTCTCTCACCAACAGAATTTGGTCCAATAAAAGATATTGCCTCACCCACCTTGTCTCTCTAATATACTGGGACTAACATGGCTACAACAACACTGCATACATTTATTTTCCTGTCATAGAATCATAGACTTTAAGGTTAGAAGTGACCATTATGATCATCTAGTCCGACCTCCTGCACAACGCAGGCCACAGAATCTCACCCACCCACTCCTGTATCAAACCCCTAACCTATGTCTGAGCTATTGAAGTCCTCAAATTATGGTTTAAAGACTTCACGGTGCAGAGAATCCTCCAGGAAGTGACCCTTGCCCTACGCTGCAGAGGAAGCCGAAAAAGCCCCATGGCCTCTGCCAATCTGCCCTGGAGGAAAATTCCTTCCTGACCCCAAATATGGCGATCAGCTAAACCCTGAGCATGTGAGCAAGATTCACCAGCCAGACACCCAGGAAAGAATTCTCTGTAGTAACTCAGATCCCAACCCATCTAGCATCCCGTCACAGGCTATTGAGCATATTTATCGCTAATAGTCAAAGATCAATTAATTGCCAACATTAGGCTATCCCATCATACCATCCCCTCCATAAACTTATCAAGCTTAGTCTTGAAGCCAGATATGTCTTTTTGCCCCCACTGCTCCCCTTGGAAGGCTGTTCCAGAACTTCACTCCTCTGATGGTTAGAAACCTTCGTCTAATTTCAAGTCTAAACTTCCTGATGGCCAGTTTATATCCGTTTGTTCTTGTGTCCACATTGGTACTGATCTTAAATAATTCCTCTCCCTCCCTGGTATTTATCCCTCTGATATATTTATAGAGAGCAAACATATCTCCCCATAGCCTTCTTTTGGTTAGGCTCAGGGCTGGCTCTTGGCACCAGCGAACGAAGCAGGTTCTTGGGGCGGTCAATGGGAAGGGGCGGCACATCCGGGTCTTCGGCAGCAATTCGGCGGCGGGTCCCTCTCGGACCGAAGGACCCACCGCCGAAGTGCCGCCGATCGCGGCTTTTTTCCCCCCCCCTTCCCCGCTTGGGGCGACAAAAAAGCCTGAGCCGGCTCTGGTTAGGCTAAACAAGCCAAGATCTTTGAGTCTCCTTTCATAAGAGAGGTTTTCCATTCCTCGGATCATCCTAATAGCCCTTCTCTGTACCTGTTCCAGTTTGAATTCATCCTTCTTAAACATGGGAGACCAGAACTGCACACAGTATTCCAGATGAGGTCTCACCAGTGCCTTGTATAATGGTACTAACACCTCCTTATCTCTACTGGAAATACCTCGCCTGATGCATCCCAAGACCGCCTTAGCTTTTTTCACAGCCATATCACATTGGCAGCTCATAGTTATCCTGTGATCAACCAATACTCCGAGGTCCTTCTCCTCCTCTGTTACTTCCAAGTGTTGCGTCCCCAGCTTATAACAAAAATTCTTGTTATTAATCCCTAAATGCATAACCCTGCACTTTTCACTATTAAATTTCATCCTATTACTATTACTCCAGTTTACAAGGTCATCCAGATCTTCCTGTATGATATTCCGGTCCTTCTCTGTATTGGCAATACCTCCCAGCTTTGTGTCATCCACAAACTTTATTAGCACATTCCCACTTTTTGTGCCAAGGTCAGTAATAAAAAGATTAAATAAGATTGGTCCCAAAACCGATCCCTGAGGAACTCCACTAGTAACCTCCCTCCAGCCTGACAGTTCACCTTTCAGTATGACCCGTTATAGTCTCCCCTTTAACCAGTTCCTTATCCACTTTTCAATTTTCATATTGGTCCCCATCTTTTCCAATTTAGCTAATAATTCCTCATGTGGAACCGTATCAAATGCCTTACTGAAATCGAGGTAAATTAGATCCACTGCGTTTCTTTTGTCTAAAAGATCTGTTACCTTCTCAAAGAAGGAGCTCAGGTTGGTTTGGTACGAGCTACCTTTTGTAAAACCATGTTGTATTTTGTCCCAATTACCATTGACCTCAATGTCCTTAAATACTTTCGCCTTCAAAAATTTTTCCAAGACCTTGCATACTACAGATGTCAAACTAACAGGCCTGTAGTTACCCGGATCACCTTTTTTTCCTTTGTTAAAAATAGGAATTATGTTAGCAGTTCTCCAGTCATACGGTACAACCCCTGAGTTTACAGATTCATTAAAAATTCTTGCTAATTGGCTTGCAATTTCATGTGCCAGTTCCTTTAATATTCTTGGATGAAGATTATCTGGGCCCCCCGATTTAGTCCCATTAAGCTGTTCGAGTTTGGCTTCTACCTCGGATGTGGTAATATCTACCGTCATATCCTCAATCCCATTTGTCATCCTACCATTATCCCTAAGCTCCTCATTAGCCTCATTAAAGACTGAGGCAAAGTATTTGTTTAGGTATTGGGTCATGCCTAGATTATCCTTAATCTCCACTCCATCCTCAGTGTTTAGCGCTCCCACTTCTTCTTTCTTTGTTTTCTTCTTATTTATATGGCTGTAGAACCTTTTACTGTTGGTTTTAATTCCCTTTGCAGGTCCAACTCTACATGGCTTTTGGCCTTTCTCACGTTATCCCTACGTGTTCTGACCTCAATAAGGAAGCTTTCCTTGCTGATCCCTCCCATCTTCCACTCCTTGTAGGCTTTCTGCTTTTTCTTAATCACCTCTCTGAGATGCATGCTCATCCAGTTTGGTCTACAACTCCTGCATATGAATGTTTTCCCCTTTCGTGGGATGCAGGCTTCTGATAGTTTCTGCAACTTTGACTTGAAGTAATTCCAGGCCTCCTCCGCCTTTAGATCCACAAGTTCTTCAGTCCAATCCACTTCCATAACTAATTTCCTTATTTTTTTAACCCTAGTCACAGATCTATTTTTGTTTATCCTTCCATTTAGTTTGAACTGAATTAGCTCATGATCGCTCGAACCAAGGTTGTCCCCTACAACCATTTCTTCTAAATGGCATCCTGTAGTGGGGCAGTTGCCCCACTCCTACAGAACAGGGGATGAAAGCAGCCCTGGAGAGGGCTACAGATGCAAAAGGCTAGGCTGATTGGGAAACAGCCATAGCTGGGGCCACGCCCCAATCAGGCCACAACTGGCCCTATAAAAGGGCTGTGAGCCAGGAGCTCAAAAAGGGAGTCTCTCTCTCTGGCTTCTGAGAGACAAGGACCTGGCTGCCTGCAAGCTGAGAAGGGTACCTGAGGTGGAGCAGTGCTGGGAAAGGGCAGAGGGAGCTGGGGAGCTCCAGCCTGATAAAACCTCAGGCTGCAGGCCTTGAAAAGGGCCTATGAAAAGGTACTGGGGCTGCAGAAGGGCAGCCCAGAGATAGACAAAGGCAGCAGGTCCTAACCCCCCCCTTGCTAATGATGAATGGTTTACAGACTGCAGTCTGCCCCAGTGAGTGGGGGCTAGATGGTGACTGGCAGTAGCCACTGAGGCAAGATGGATAGAGGGTTGAGGTTTCCCCTGGGTGGGGGGACCTAGATTGTGGCTTACTGCTGGGGCAGAACCCTGACGTAGAGGGGCACCGGGGTCCGGGAGGGACACGGGGGCCAGCGGCAGGCAAGACACCGGCCTGCAGAGGGCGCTTTGGGCTGGAAGAGCTCATTCCCAGGACGACCAGCAGGAGGCGCCGTGCCCGTGAGTCGTCGCCTTGCCACACATCCCCTCTTGTTGGTTCAGCAACTACTTGGTGAAGGAATCCATCAGCTATCGCATCCAGGAAAATCTGAGCCCTATTATTATTACTAGCACTTCTCCTCCAGTCTATATCTGGGAAGTTAGTCTCCCATGGTCACACAAATCCTATTAGTATTTACTTCATTAAAAACATTAAAGAGGTCTCGATCCATATCCAGATCGGATTCTGGCGGTCTATAGCACTCCCCAAGCACTATCCCAGGGGAGGCTGTAGTAGCTTTCTTCCCCAATGTGATTTTTTGCCCAGACAGACTCTGTCTTATCCATTCCATCCCTTCTTATTTCTTTACAGTCTACCTCATCATTGATATTCAATCCACCACCTACTCCACCACCTTTGCCTTTATTTCTGTCTTTCCTAAACCGCATATACCTTTCAATACCTGTACTCCAGTCATGACTATTATTCCACCATGTTTCTGTTATCCCTATAATATCTGGTTTCACTTCCTGCACCAGTAACTTTAGTTCCTCGATTTTTTTTTTTACCTAGGCTCCTCGCATTGGTGTACAAACATCTTAATTTTTGCTGTTTGGCTTCGCTCACATTCTTTACTTGATTAGGCACAGACATTCTACTGCCAGTATCACCTATTAGACTGGTATCTACACTACCCTTCCTCCTTATGTCCATTCTCCTACCCACGGCTGTATCCTTTCTTACTTCATTTTCTTCCCTCTCAATGTTAAAATCCGGCGTGGAGATTACCTGGACATCTCCCCCAAATTCCTAGTTTAAAGCTCTCTTAATCAGTTCTGCCAACCTCCATCCTAGAAGTCTATTTCCCTCCCTACTCAAGTGAAGTCCATCCCGAGGAACAGTCCTCTGTCCATGAATGCCTCCCAGTGGCCATACATCTCAAAGCCCTCCTTATAGCACCACTGCCTGAGTCATCTATTGATCGTCATAATCTTGTCACACCTTTGTTGCCCTTCTCTAGGAACAGGCAGAATCCCACTGAAGATCACCTGAGCCTCGATTTCCTTAAGCGTCTTCCCCAGCCTAGCCTAGTCTCTCTTGATACGTTTCAGCGAGAATCTAGCCGTATCATTTGTTCCCATATGAAGGACAATCAGTGGATTCTTTCCTGCTCCCATTAGGATCCTCTTCAGCCTCAGGTCCACATCCTGTATCTTAGCACCTGGCAGACAGCACACCCTTCTGTTCTCTGGATCAGCTCTGGTTACAGGCCTGTCTATTCTCAGTAAGGAGTCCCCAATCACGTAGACCTGCCTTTTCCTGGTGATGGTGCAATTCTGTTCCCTCTGGCTGCAAGTCCTCTCGATTCCTATTCTCCCTTAAAATCCTCTGTAACCCATCCCGTATCCTCCTGGGGCTCATATTTGGTGTTATCTCCATTGACTCTTCCCCTCTTCCTATAGGACTAGCTGCTCTTCTCTTCTTCCTTGCCCTCTCACCTTCAATGACCACCTGCTGTGCCCCTTCTTCATTTTCCAACTTCGCAAACCTGTTCCTGAGCTCTATTTCTCCTTCACTAGCCCGTCTTTTCCTCTGTCTGGTTCTCTTAGTCACATGCATCCACTGTCCACTTTCCTCACCCAGCAGTCTCCCCTCAGAGTTATTTGGTCCTGCTTCCATCTGCAAGTCTGAGCTTTTCCCTTCAGCCTCCTCGTGTCTTTGCTCCATCATCTGCTCGAACCCCCTTCTAAACTCAACCAGAGTTTCCACCTGCATCTCCAATCCTCTGATCTTTTCTTCCATCAGCTCTATCAGGTGGCACTTCATGCAGACGAAACTCTTTTCAGGTACCCCCTCCAGGATCATGTACATGCCGCAGCTTCCACATCCAGTCATCTTCATTGTGTCTTCCACTGCTTGGGTCACTACCGTTGCTGCCTCTGTATCTGTCATAGCCTTCCCACGTAAATCCTGTTAGTCCGTGAAACACAAACCAAACCAAAACACCACCACCCACAGCAAAACAAACCCCCAACGAGCACCAAAACACTGCCAGAACACCAGACACTCCCTTCACTAGCCTGTCTATTCCTCTGCCTTCCTCTTAGTCTTCCCCCCCAAACTCCCCTTGCAAACTCCCACTCAAATTCCCCTGTTTACAGCTCTGTTTGTTGGCTCCTGTGCCGCTGCAGCTGTCTGTGCTGCTGCCTGTCAAATTTGTTCTTGTTTTACTTCTGTTTTAGGGTTTTGTATTAGTACATATCACCATAAGCATCTTTCAGACACTGTTTTTCTAATTATGGAGCCCAGCCCACAATGGCACTGCTTGTTTTCTGTAGTTACCTTCTTGATATATGATGAAGCTGCACTGGTTTATACCAGCAAAAAATTTGGGCTCATTAATTGCTTATTTACACTTAAGTCCCCAGCCTTGCATCATTTCTATACATGAAATTCTCATTGACTTCCCATTTTACATAATACTGGAATAAATACGTAGAGAGACAGTGCAAAAAATATTTTCTCTGAATGGTTCATAGCTTCAAACATAACCTCAGCAGTAAATCTATAATGAAAAAGCTATACAAATATACATATATTTTAAAATGATAATTATATTTGATTTCTTGAAGTATATTTAGTTTAAGTACTAAGTATTCACATTATTTTATTTCTGAAGTAAAAGAAGCAGCAGAAAAAGTAGAACAGCTTGAAAAAGAATACAAAATGGAAATAAATGTCAAGGAAAAGCAGGTTTGTTTAGTGTAAAGTCCAATTTGTACATTTTTATTTGGAAATATAATTTGCATTATATGGAGCAAAAATTTCAACTAATTTTGACTGATTTTTGTTGTTGTTGACTAATTTAGTTGGAGTGCAGAAAAACCAAAATAGTTCTTTAAAAGGTGCTTTGTCTGTAAAAGATTTTGTACTTTTGAAGGATGAAAATTATTATTATAAGTGATATTTAAATTGTGTGCTTTTTGCTTTGTGGTGTTTGAATTAAAATGTTAATGGGAGTTATATGCTATTATTTTTTTCACCACAAAGCACCATAAAAATAAGTACTGAGTTCTGACAGTCCTCATATTTGAGCAAGGTTCATTCCACATCTGCTGGTGAAGAAGAGATGGGGGAAGGACAATGATGCAGAAGCTGGGAGGAAGGATCAGGAAACAGATCAGACCAGGGACTGACTAGAGGAATACTGAGACTAGGAGAGGGAATAGGGTGTTGTCATGGTATTGAGGGAGCCAAGGAAGGTGGGCAGATTGTGGAAACTTGTGGTGGTGGTATTAGGAGTGTAATCAATAGTGTGGAAAGAAGGTTTTATTTCTTTATTTTTTTTTAAATCTGAGAAGGGTCAGAAGTTGGACCTGTTGGTTCATGGGGAGAATGGATCTGAGGAGTGTCAAGCAGTCTGACCAGGCACTGATGTAAGTGTAGGAAATGACAGCAGGAGACTACTTGAGAGTCTGAACGGATACTCCATTCTCCCTAAATATAAGTTTCTACACCTCCATCCTGTTGGAACTTACACTCTAGTTTTGATGGCAGATTTGCTGTCTCTAGACTGCAGCACCTTTTTTTGTTGGACATTTGGTTAATGCCTCCCTATTTTTTCTTGAGCAGTATTCATTTTTCTACAGTTATGTAATGAAATCCTAATCCTGCGTATAACGTACAAATGTGAAAATAATATGAAGTTAGTAATCTTTTCTAGACCTTGTTATTTATATATTGTAATTGCTCTTCACTTCATTAGCTATCAGTTTTGACTGTGCAAAGTGGTGAAAAAGACAATAAAATGAGAGACATCACAGTTCAGTTGCAGGAATCAAGGGATAAGATTATTGATTTAGAAGAAGCAACAGGTAAGAATTATAATCCGAATAGCATTATTTGTAATAGTGAAAGAGACAGAAAAGCTAGAGATTGATCATGGTGGTGTTATTCTTTTACTGAGCACTGGTGGAATTTGGGGCCTTGCAGATCACTTTCCTGTTTTGAAGCAGAAATTGGGTGAAATGGGAATTGGGTATTTTGTTAGTGTGATTTGTTTGTTTACAAAATATACACAAGTGCTGTTTCCTTGAATGGAATAGGTAACAAACATCGATTAAGCATATACTTTTTGTAGAAACCTCAGGTAAGGTGCCCCTGTCTCAGTCCTAAGAAGCAGTTGTCTTGCTCGCCTCTCACCCCAGGTAAAATCTCAAATTGCTAACAAACCCAGCTGCTTTTAAACACATCCTGTGTCCTTTTTTTCCCACCCTCAGCCCCTGCACATTACACCTGTGAAACCCTTAGTCCAAGGCTACTCACTGAGACCACGAGGCCTGGAAAAGTGAGCCTTGGCATTGTTCACCTGCTTCTTAGTACAAAGGAGTGTCAAAGCTGTAACTGCCAGACCAGTGCTTTAATCCGCACAGTCTCTTTAATTATAGACTTTTATAGATCACTGGCACCCTAATGGACAAACAATTAGCACCTTATGCCATAACAGTATGTTCAAACTTTCATCTCTAGGGTCTGGTCTACAATTATTTATTATTCTATTAAATAAGAGCCCCAGTCATGGACCAGGACCCCATTGTGCTAGGTGCTGTACAAACAAAAGAAAAGATAGTCCCTGCTCCCAAAAGTTCATAATCTAAGTATAAAATGAGACAACAGATGGTTACAGACAGATTGATGAGAGAGAACAAGAACATTGAGACACAGTGTTGTTCAGCATGGTAGGCTGTTTTTGTCTCAATACGCCAGCAGCTTTTGTAGTGGTATAATGGACGCATAGTTTTTGTATCGATGTAATAATTTGTTTTGGGGGTGTAGTTATTATTATTTGTGGTGGTTTTTTTTTTTTTTTTACTGCTAGTGTGGACACTGTTATACTAATATAGCTTATTCCCTTATAGGAATAAGCTATACTGGTATAACTGTGTCCACACTGTGGGAGGAGTTCCATTTTAACTATCCCAATATAGCTAAAAGGGTACAATTTTTGTGTAGACCACCCTAGGTCCCTAGTTACTGAAAGTTGTTAGTTTCCAGCAGTTGTTCAGCAGCCAATGAAATAAATGGTGGCTTCACTCTTCTCTATTGGACATGTTTCCACATCTCCAAAAAATACCATTACAGATGGCATTAGAGTTGACATTCTTGTAGGCAGGCAAAAGGCAAAGGATTGAATGGAGTTGGAAATTGAACTGCTTTTAGAAGGGGTCTTCCATTTCATGGTTGAGACATGTCAATGAGTTTTTGAGTGAAACTTGCAAAGGACAAAGAAAGGACTTCAGTCTTCTTAACTGTTAATCAGCCATTTTTAATTAAATTAAATACTTCTTAAAAATAGTGGTATGTTTTTAGTGATTTTTGACACAAAATTATATCATTTTATCAATAATTAAGTTATTTCTGTTTCCTTCGCTTTGTAAAATTGTGAGGAGAGTGCTAATTCATTGGGTAGATGAGGAATAATTAATATTCATTTTGGAGGGTTGTAAGTTTTATAGTTAGGTGTTTTTTTTATACCATGTTGTGCCTAGGATGGGTACATTTAATTAAATTTTATAAATAAAATATATATAAAGTACGGTACTCCTTGTATTTTATATTTACATAATGAAAAGTGATATGTATGCAGTGCTGTCTCATGTCTCTCTCCTAAACCGTTGAGATAGATAAATTATTTAAGTGGCATATATCGTACAAATTATTGTAGAGTACAATCAAATTTATTGTTTGGTACATGACATAATGTTTAGAAACATTAGTGTATATCTTATCTGTAACAATTGTCATTTAGAACAACAAAAAGAAATGTTAAAAGAATCACAGAGCAAACAGAAACATTTGATGGGAGAACTGGAAGAAGCTAAAGTTTTGCTGCAAAAAACAGAGGTATGACTTGCTCTAACTTTTTTTTACAAATCAAAATGTAATATAAATAAGGTAAATGTGTAATTTGTACAAGCAATTGTCAGTACTTTTCATCCAAACCCTGAATTGTAATTGCTTGCTACTACACATTGTGACGAGTTGGACCCCCCTTCTGGGATGCCATCTGATGTACTAGGATTTCACTGAACCTCTCCTTCTCCACCAGCCTGGATTCCCACTCCCTGTTTTGCTGAATTAGGTTCCCCGGCCTCTTGCAGCACACACACACACAGGTAGGGCCACACCCAGCTACAGCCAGACTGAAGTCAGCTCTGTGTGGGAGGACTCCCCCAGCACTCACGTGCACACCCCTTTTGGGAGATAAACCCAAAATAATACTGTCTTGCGCTGTGCAGATTTTTTTTATACAGTGCAAGCTCATAAAAATCTGCCCTCTTCCTCAATGTGAAGAGAGATGTGCACGACTTCTTCCCCCCCCTTAGAAATTACATAAACTGGGTTTAATAATAAACTAAATAAGTTTATTAACTACAAAAGGTAGATTTTAAGTGTCTAAAGGGATAGCAAACAGAACAAAGCAGATTACCTTAGTAAATAAACAAAAGTCGCAAACTGAGTTTAACACACTGGATAGGTAGGATACAAATTAGCAAATTCTCACCCTGAGTGATAAACAGGCTGGCAGATTCTTAAGGCACAAGTTGCCTTGGCTTTCCCAGGTTTTCTTACACAGGCTAAAAATCCTTCCAGCCTGAGACCAGCACTTCCCACAGTTCAGTCTTTGTTCCTCAGGTATTTTCAGGTGTGTTGTTGTAGGGAGGGTAAGGCCACTCATGTTGTCATTGTCCCTCTTTTATATCTCCCCCCCACTTGCTGGAAAGCTTTTTTGCTGTGACTTGGGTCAAACAGTTCCCATTGTGTAGAGCGATCTCTGAGAGGTTTCTATTGCACACAGTTCCTGGGGTAATCCTTATGCTTGTGTGCATTGTCTTCAATAAGCCACTAACATTATTTGGCCTCATCCAACGTAGCACATTTGAAATACAGAGACAGCTTCAGATACAAAAATGATACATGCATACAAATTGGATAAACACATTCAGTAAATCATAACCTTCCCAACAGGGCCGGCTCCAGGCACCAGCTTCTCAAGCAGGTGCTTGGGGCGGCTGCTCCGGAGAGGGGCGGCACGTCCAGGTATTCGGCGGCAATTCGGCGGACGGTCCCTCACTCCGCCTGGGAGTGAAGGACCTCCCGCCAAATTGCCGCCGCAGATCACGATCGCGATCCCGGCTTTTTTTGTTTGTTTGTTTTGGCTGCTTGGGGCGGCCAAAACCCTGGAGCCGGCCCTGCTTCCCAATGAGACCTTACATGAGCCATCTTGTATAAAGTACATTTCAGATATGTATACCCATATCATAACCATATTTCCATTAAGAATATGGGGGGTAACGTCTTACACATATTTACAACAAATTTTATTTTTTTACACTTCTTTCTATTTAGACTGCTCAGAAGAGTTTAGAAACCGAATTACGGACTGCAATGAAAACCTTAATTGAAGTCACTGTAGAAAAAGAAGCACAAATGGAAGAACTTAAAGAAACTAGGGCTTTGCATGCCTCAGTGGTTGAAGAATTTGAAATTGCTGTTTCTAATTTGAAAGAGTTGCTGAAAAGAGAACAAAATAGGTTAAAAAGATTTTTACATTTAGAGTGAAAGGATGATCTTGCGATTTAAGGCACTAAACAGTGTTCAGTTCCCAGCTCTTCCGTAGAGTTTTCTGTGTGACCTTGAGTAAACTACCTAATCTCCGTGCCTCAGTTTTCTACCTGTAAAGTATCATCCTTAATTTCCCACATCCTTTGGGGTTTTTTTTCTGAATAGTTAGCTTTTTAGGACCGGTTCTTTCTTTTAGTGTGTCTATGTTGTATTTAGCACAATGTGGCCCTAATCTCAGTTGGGACCTGTAGGCAGTACTGCAATAGAAATATTCAATAATAATAAATGTAGTGATATGGACATTCAGTGGGTATATAATAGTATTACTCTTTAGTGCTACTTAATGTTCTTTCATTTCATTTGTTATTAAAATGTTTGGGGTTTTTTGCAAGAAGTAATTGATGGTAATCAAAATTAATCTCAGCAAAACTAGAATTTGATCTATAAAGTGGGTATTTTATTCAATTCTTTTAATGGAGTTTTTCAGGAGATTGACTGCATTGCACTATAATGTCATGTCACTAGTAGAAACTGTCTCTCACATAAATTGGTGTAAATCTGGAGTAACTGCACTGACTTTTCAATGATTACTCCAGATTCATAGTGGTCTAAGGGTAAAATCTGGACATGATTTTTTTTTTTTAAATGTAACATTTACTTTAAAAAAAATCTAAATGTTGGGAACGTATCTTTTTATCAATTTATTTTTAACTAATTTTTTTTAATTACACCTCTACCCTGATATAATGCGACTCGATATAACACGAATTTGGATATAACGCGGTAAAGCAGCGCTCCGGGGGGGCGGGGCTGCGCGCTCTGGCGGATCAAAGCAAGTTCGATATAATGCGGTTTCACCTATAACGCGTTAAGATTTTTTTGGCTCCCGAGGACAGCGTTATATCGGGGTAGAGGTGTAATTTTATTATGCCTGGTATTCAAGCAACATGTTGAAAGAATGTTTGTTACTTAAATTTCTCACAGCTTACTTGCCTATATGCATAGTATATTTACCTATCTGCTTGTTAGCAGGCAGAAAGACATATTGTATTTCCAATAGAAATATGACTGACTTTTCTAGTTTAAATCCTACATGGAAAAATATTGTTTTTTAATTATGCTTTTAAATAGATTGAAGCAACTTGAAGAAGAGTCAGAAATACTTGCCTCAGAGCTCCAAAATAAATCTATTGAACTGGGTAAGATTTGCCAAAAAAGGAATAAGTTGTTTTGCAAGAGCTGGTTACAGGTAAAAAGATCAGTATTAGTTCTCTGAGAAGGTTGGTGTTATCTGTATAATACCCACTCCAGTGTCTTGTATTTTGATTCATGATGTAGTATGTGTATGATCAATGTGTGGGAGATCCTCTGGTGGTGTAATGTTGATGAGTGCCTGTCTTTTTTAGACTGCTCTAAATTATACTGAGGATCGGTTCCAGGATTGAGGAAGTAGAAAGATGACAACATAAACTACCTTTTCTTCTTTTTCCCAGATCCCTTGCGAAGCAGAATTTGAATTGATCCAGAATGCTGGCCCTAAGATTTTCATTACTTTAATATTCTTATAAATAAATAAATAAAATAAATTATATATATATGCCTTATGCAAAAATATTTCTGCCAAAAGGTGTTTTTTGAACTGTTTGTCTTGAATATTAGCAATCATTATTTGTGGTGTGTGATTGGTGTCTAAAAAACAGTACTACGGAATTTACTTCCTGGTTAATAAAAGTTGCAGCTATTCAAACAGGAGGAGGAAAATCAGTGAGATTTCAGGATAGCCATGTGAACACTTGTGGTCCAAATCTTTGTGCAAGAAGACATTTGCATAAGTATTCTGAAACTAGCTTTCTCTGTACATTCTTGCAAACAACAATTCACTTATAGATGTGTATGTGGAAAACATAAGTAGCTTTGTGAATACCACTGAAGTGAATGATTTAATTTTTATTGAAATGTATGTTCACTAGTACTTTTTTGAAGTATTTGTCCAGCTCAGCTTTCAATTAAGTCATGTTACCAAGCTATAATTTAGAGCAGGATATAGCCTTGAGTCAAGATTTCTGGATTTGGGCCAGTGTCTTTTTTAACTCCATAGAAAAATATATTCAGTGGTAAAATATAAATTAATTTTCATACATGACTTGAAACTAAAAATAAAAAGGCAATATGTTTGGCCCTGATTCAGCAAGATACTTCAGTACATTTTGTAATTTTGAGCACATGCAGTGCCAATGAAGTCAATAAAGCTACACATTTGTACAAAATTAAGTACTTTATTGAATTGGGGCCTAAAAAGCTTTTGAGGGGGAAAACAATGTTGATAATATATAAAATTGTATCCATTTTGTATTATATCTTTACATTGTATTTGCTGTAGAAGAGATGGCCAAACTAAAAAGTGACAAAGAAACACAACTTGAAGATCTGACAGAAGCCTTGGTAAATATAAATTGTCCTACATGTTAATAGTCTAAAGCAGTGGTTCTTAACCTTTACTGCAGCCTGCACCCCTTTGGTTCTCAAAAATATATTCTCGCACCCTTTATCAAAAATTATTGAAGTAGGTCAGTTCTTTAAACCTAGATATATTGTAACTATAGAATGAAAGAGAGAGAATTATATATTTATTTTAATTTCACAGTTAAAATTTAACACAGTAATCATTAAAAATGTATAATGTTAATAAATACATAGGTTTGATGAAACAAAGTAGTTGTACTTATGTGCCTATGCTTAATTTGTGTTTTCGATGATTTACCTTCTAAAAAAATCTGGCATGTCTCTCACCCCCAGAAAGGGCATCTCACACCCCCAGGGGATGCGTGCACCCCAGGTTAAGAACCACTGGTCTAAAGACATTTATTTTTCGTTTGGGGTCCAGCGTCCCTTCTAGAGGCTTCCTAGAGACCCATATCAACCATCTCCAATCTATTCAAAAGCTGCCACTAAACTTAACTTTCTAACCGATCATTTAGACTATTTCACTCATCTCTTTTGAAGTCCCTGAATACTACTTCTGGTTCCCCTTTGCCCGGGCCTTCCACAACTCCACCATAGCCTACGTCTTGGACTTCGTCTCTTATGTTTGTTTCCTGTGTATGGCTATGAAATGAGCCTTGATGCCCTATTCATTTTCTTCTTCACTTCCATCCTTTCGCATGCCATCTCCTATGGATGGGATGACCTAGTCTTGGTATGCCAAGCATTCACCCTGTCTTCATTCAGATACCTTTCTAAATACTAATTTCTTCCATGATGTTTGCAAACTCCTACCCCTGTTGAACTCCTCTGACATTACATTTGAGGCTGAAGTGTGAAATGAATTCCAATAATAATTTTAAAAAATGATTTAATGCCACCTTCTGGGATCCCCACTGTGGTCGGTTTTTTCTGTAACTTTTAGTTTGTAAAACTAGAATCTAAGTTCTTTTAGAGCGACTGTCCAAATAAATTATGCCCAAATAAATTTGTTAGCCTCTAAGGTGCCACAAGGACTCCTCATTTTTTTTTGCTGATACAGACTAACACAGCTACCACTGAAACCTGTCTATTTTGGTGTTCAGTATGGATTGTTAAACTTCTAACTTCACACAAAAAGTGCTATAGAATTTTGAGACTATTATGTTTAACAAAGAGCATGTCTACACTTTGAGCTGGAAGGTATACATTTCAACACGAGACATACTTGTGCTTTTTCTGATCAAGCTAATGTGCTACAAATAAGAGTGCAGCTGCAGTGGCATGAGCAGTAGGTGGGGCTAGCCACTCCAACTACTTACCTGTCCAAGAGGCCAGTATATGTTCGAGGCAACTAGCTGCCTGCATTGCCACGGCTACCCTCTTATTTTTAGCATGCTAGTGTGATCAGAGCTAATGTGTGTGTGTCTCCTCAAGCTGGAATTTACACCTTCCAGCTTGAAGCATAGACAGTCTCATCAAAGTACTCACACTAGGGTATCCTATATACTTTTCACATTTTTACAGACATGATGTGGGATTGCGGGAAGTGTGTGAGCCTTTTGTGGGTGCTTACAGACACTTTTGAATTTCCCATTGGAAATACTTCAATGGAATTACATTTTCTCCCTACGAGGCACTATTTTTTCCTGTATGTTAGGCATAACAAGGAATTGCAGTTCTACCAACCTTTTCCCCAGTGAATCGTTATGGAAGGGAATGACATGTACTAGAAATTTCCCTTTAGGGAAGTACCTTCAGGAACTGGTGCTGACCCTCTAACAGAGTGTGCCTGCTCTCCAGCACTCCTTGCCTGGGGTAGCTCTGTAGTACTCTGCCTCTGTTTCCCTCTTCTTCAGAGCCTCTTTAATAAACTCCACATACACAAGTTGGTGCTGGAGATGTGGCTTGGCCCTCTGGTCAAGTCACAAACAACACCTTCTGGGGTAGCAAAAGTCCTATTAAAAAGTCCATACAAACAAAATGTGTTTTTCTGCCCTTTGTGGGCTTCTCTTCAGCTTATTTTCTGAACGCTCTTTTCTGCTGCTTTCTGGGCTACTTTTGAGTCTCTCTGATACAGAACACTGTCCCCCAGGCTGGTTCCCCGGGAGTACTTGCCTGCCAGCCCTCAGCTCTTTTGTAAGGCCCATGTGTCAGGCTGGGAAGGAGCTAATTAATTAGGGCATTGGTGGAACTGGTCACATCCCCTCTTACAAGGGAGCCAGTCACCTGTGACACTGCCAGTATGAATTCCTTAAATCCAGTAGATTCTTATACTAGTGCCAATCACTGTATTATCTGAGTACTCTTAATTTTTATTAGATTCGCATAGTATGGTTCATAGTGAATTTCATGGTCCTCTTTCCGTTCCGTCATCTGTGGGGTTTACCCAGGCATGGGTTGGGAGGCATTTCCAGCATTGACATTGAGTGAGGGCGGGATGCGGGAGAGGGAGTAGTATGTATTCTTTGTTGTGTAAAAATATGACTGAAAATAACCCATATACTTAATAAATCTTCTCAGCTTACTGGTACATTTTAAAAGATACATTTTAAAACATTTTCCTTTATTATTTAGGAGAGGTCAGTAAAACTTCAAAAAGATTTGGAGCAGCAGCTAGTGTGTGAACAATCAGAAAAAATGATATTAATAAAAGAGAGAGAAATTAGGGACTCTGACCACTCAGAGTTTAAGGTTAGACCATGTGGATTTTCTTGTTAATTATACTTAAAATTTCATTTTATTTATGTTACCTCTTGAATTAACTATTTCAAAAGTTATAGCTAATTTTTGTCGATTTTTCCCCCCAAGGGAAGTTGCTTTTCTTTGAGAATCGCCTGTACATAAGATTCTCATTTATAGTGATGCGCATGCCCAGCTCACAGAGGTTGGCAAACTGTAGATAGCAGTGCCTGTTGGGGCACTACAAGTGCCCCTTTATAGACAAAACCTTCAGGGGTCTGAAGCTATAAAAAGGATTCAGGGCCCCAGTTGCCACAATTCCTTCACTGGAATTGTATCCCACATCATTCGATCAGGTGGGGAGGGTTCTTCCCCTTAGAACAGACTGAGGGGCCAACTAGGGTGACCAGACTTCCCAATATTATCAGGACCGTCCTGATATTAGGGGTTTTGTCTTATATATGCTACTATACACACAGCCCAAGCCCTCGCAAAGTGTCCTGATTTTTCACACTTGCTATCTGGTCACCCTAGGGACAACTACAGGTCCTATGAATCCTAGATTCGGCCAGCAGTGACTCCTTGTTACAGATCTGGTTAAGCTTCCCCTGCTAGGCACTCAACAGATTGCAGTGAGGGGATGCAAATACTGACTCCCACATGCCTTTAGTTTGCTGGGGCTGGGTGGTGGTTAGCATTGTCCCTGGCTTTGGGCATTTAGGCACTCCAAGTGCAGATTTTGTGTCTGACAACTTTTGGCAGTGGGGATGCTATGGTCCAAATGCATATCTCCTGAAACGAGTGCCATCTCCTGCAAGCCTCCCCAGCAGCTCTTGCTTGTTCCCTAGAATCCTATTGAATGTGTTAGCCTTGTGTTTAACCCTTCAGGGGCATGTGATAGTGAAAGCCATCAGTCAGATTGTGCACAGGATTCTAAAACACTTACTCTTTACTTAACAGCACGAGAGAGAGGCAGATTTAGATTAAATAATAAATACACCTATTTGTGTTTTCCTTGCCTCAATTTTGTTACCACTTTGAAGAGTTTTTTTGGGCATGGGCAGAGTCCTCTGCGGTGTCTGGGATCCTTCTGTCACTACACAGCCTTTCTAGGTCAGCTAACTTTCTCTGATCTTGGCTGGTCCCACAGTTAAACTGGACCATCCCAGCTCCTCCCCACACCCCCTCCCAGGTGAAGGCATGTCCATTTCATCCTCACTGCAGTCAAAGTTTCCTGTTTGTCTCAGTGAGTCTGTCACTCATGTTATATGGCCCACCAATAATACCTGGTTCCTTTGCTACTGGGGATTTTCCACTCCCCCTCTCTGGAGAGGAGATGGAGGGACTAGCTTCTCCCAGCCTGTGCCAACCTATTGGCCCAAGGTGTTTCTACCTTAATAGGCAACAGTTTAAGGTTTAATGATTGACTGTTGCTCTTGGTCTGGCAGAAAATGGTGGATTCCACATCCACGTTCCATGATACAACAATTTCATAAGAACAACTTCATAATATCAACTAGAATTAATAAATTGTACATAGACAGATTCCCCAAATCATTAATGTAGTCTAACTTGGTTGCAATGTATATGTATTTATTACACGATGTTACTTATGGTCCTACATTTGATTGTGTAAATAGAAATTATATTAAAAAATATGCTCACGTATACTAGGGTTGAATTTAGCCAATTAAGCGTATTCTTTATATGTCCAAGCCCTAATTTTGTAAATTTTGAGCTCAATGTTCTTAAACAGGAACAAGTTCAAGAACTTTTATCTGAAAAGAAACATCTTGAGATCACTATTGAAAAATTACAAAAGAGAGAAAAAGAGATGAAGGATATTCTTCAAATCAGAGAGGTCTGTAGAAAGGGTGACTTTTTTCTCAGAAATATCTTATTGATATAATGCTCTTGAATATCCTGATTAGTGACTTACAGAAATTATTGTGCATGCAATGAAATTAATAGACAGCAGGTTTAAAATAAATACAAGGACGTACTTCTTCACACAATGCACAGTCAACCTGTGGAACTCGTTGCTAGGGGATTTTGTGAAGGTTAAAAGTATAATCGGGTTCAAAAAAGAATTAGATAAGTTCATGGAGGATAGGCCCATCAATGGCTATCAGCCAAGATGGTCAGAGATGCAATGCCATGTTCCAGGTGTTGCTAAACCTCTCTCTGACTGCTAGAAGCTGGGACTGGACGACAGGGAATGGATTACTCCATAATTATCCTGCTTTGTTAATTCTTTCTGAAGCATCTGGCACTGGCCAGTGTCGGAACACAGGATACTGGGCTAGATAGACCATTGGTCTGACCCAGTATCACCATTTTAGTGTTCTTATGAGTTTTTACATTACATATATTACATTTAAAAATCCAGGAGAAGAAATGTCCTGTCAGGAACCAAGGAGGCTCTCCTCTGCAAGTGCCCTGGCAACTCGGCACACTTCTGATTCCAGCAGGGAGAAGAGTTGGAAGAAAGTTGACACTGGCATCAGGAGTCCTAGAACTGATGGGTACTCCAGTACTGCAAAAGAACGGTTATTCACGTTCTTGTAACTGTTCTTCAAGATGTGTTGTTCGTGACCAAGGTCTTAATTAGTGGTAAGACGATATGGGAATGGCCCAAAGGGGGCAGGATGTCTACCATAGAGTCTGCATCATCCCTAACTTTTTCTGCCTTAATGCTCCGACCCTGTGCGACCCGGCGGAGCAACTGCTGCAATATCCTGGAGTCTTCCAGGGCTGAGGCAATGGTAGAGCCTGCAAGCGCCTCATCTGGGGAAGATGAGGAGGCAGCCACTAAGGGAGGTGGTTGTTCCCTTCCATCCCCGCCGGAGGAATCACATGAGCCAGTGGGGACAGTGATGGGCTGGGCTGGTCTTGGTGTTGAGAAGCGCACCAGCGTCGACATCGCCCCCCAGGTCGGTGCCAGAGGCACGGTTAGGTAGTGTGTCTGCGCCATGGTGGTCATCGACATTGGTGCAGGCAGTGTTGATGGCAGTGTCGGTGCCTTAGCAGGGGCCGGTGCCACAGTCAGTGCCGAGGGTGCTGTTGGTGTCGTGACCTGAGCCCCTGGAGCCGAGCGCACTGCCGAAGGGGCTGCTGCTGTTGGTGCCGACATCGGCAATGTTGACTCAGACGCCAGCATCAACACCGGAAGTAGCTGCTCAGCCGTGGTGGGACAAAGGTAGCAGACACAACTGAAGTGGCACCCGAGCGAGGGCCTTGTCTCCAATCCTGGGCTTGGTGGAAACCCCATGGAGTCCAGAAGGGCAACTGAGCTGGGTTCTGCCATTGAGGGGCCCACTGCCTCGGTCAGGACCTCCTATGGTGCCTGGAGCGATGACCTTCTGCTCCCACTATAGTCGGAGCGGTACGAGTCCGACTCAGAAGCCTCGGAATATGAGGACCAAGGTGGCGCTGCACCTTTTGATGTGGAGCATCGGGAGTCCGGGGACTTTGCTCCCTGGATGGAGGTGCTGGCATCTGTGGTTGGCGACGGGGAACAGCGTGTTGTTATAGCCGGCTTTTCCTTAGACTGCACAGTATGGGATGGAGCCTGCGATGCCAACGTCTTCTCCTGTGTGGGTGGCGAGAACAGTGCAGTGAGTCTGAGCAGGTTCTGCACTGCCCCAAATGCTTCAGGACTGGACGGAAGCGGCAGGCTCTCTGAGGGGTTCGGCAAACATGATTGGTCCGGACTCGACTGCCTCGCCTCAGCAGGCGTCGACATGGCCACCCCTAGTGTCTCAAAGCCGGGGCCCTATTGTGGTGCTACTGATGGCTGGTCTCTGGGTCTAGGTATTGGGGATCGACCCCTTTAAACCCTCTCCTTTTTCTGCACTGGCGACTGGGACCCGTGCCGAAGGCTGAAGTGTCCTCGAGACGCTCCATGATGGTGCTGAGGCTCCTTGGGCACGTCTTTCTTTGGTGCCTGGTCTCTTGAAGAGGGCGCCGGCACGCTCCACACTGAAGACAACGTTCTGGTGGTAGGGTCCCCGGAGTGGGGTCCGACTGTGGTTGAAGAGCTGCCTCCATGAGGAGGATTTTAAGCTGCTGCTCGCTCTCTCTCAGGGTTCTTGGTTGGAACTCCCGACAGATTATACAGTGGTCTTTTTGGTGACCTTCGCCCAGACATTGTAGACAAGATGTGTGGGGGATCACTCTTTGGCATGCATTTCACTCAGTCCTTGCAGGTCTTGAAACCCAGGGATCGCGGCATGCCCCAGGTGGCAACGAGAGTGGGAAGCAGGAGGGAGAACCCCCATAACGGAACATATGACAAATTAACTAGGTAACAAACTAAACTAACTGACTAAACAAGAAGAATACAATGAGAGTGGAGCTGCTAAGCCACTTGCTGGAGCAAGAGCCGGGGAAGTTCCAGCTACCGTCACTGGCGGTCTGAAGGAACTAAGGGAGTGGCGGGTCAGCAGAGATCTACATTGGGCGCCATGAAGGCGCAACTCCAGGGGGCGCCCAGGCCGACCCTACGGTGGCTGCTAAGGGAAAAATCTTCCAGCTACTGTGCACGTGCGTGCGCACACCTGATTGGAATTGACATAAACATTCTCTCGAATAGGAGAACATCAGAGCTGACCTCCTCGGCACTGACACTGGAAGAGAGAAGCCCAGGACATTTTGAATCCAGCACAGAGCGCTTGAAGCTGCATTTGCAGCAGTGAAAATCATGGGTTCCCTGGAAGGAGGTCTTTAAGTCCAAAGACATATTACTGAGGCATTCCAGTTCCAGAGACAGTGGCAGGGCACCAATATCAAAGAAAGCCAGAGAGACTTTGGCCCCTATATCAGCTTTGGCACTGAGATACCTTCAAGCCCCGACCATGACACTGACTAAGAAATCACTTCAGGCACCAAGGTTTGAGGGTTTCACTTTCACTGTGTCTCAAGCACCAATATTGGTACCAGTACTGACCCTGGTACTTGTACCAGCACCATCCTTGCTGGACCCACACCTGATGGCACCACCATTCCTGAAGAAGATTTTCTCCTTTTCCTCTCCTGGCTACAACAGCAAGTCCTCCTCAGAGAAACTGGAATGATACCCTAGGAGATACCCAAAGGACAATCAGTACCTGGCCCTCTGCAAAATGGTAGTGAATGGACCACCCACAACCTAGACAGTATCAATATGAGATGCCACCATGGCTGTATTGCCCATGGGGCCTGCCGTCCCATCAGCCCTGGAGTCACTCCCCATGGTAAAAGCCTCCACGAGGGGGAGAAGGAGATCTTGCTATCTGTTGTCACTTCCTCACCGGAATTGGAAGAGCAGGAAGAAGAGCCAATAGGGCAGGCTAGGGAGACACTCCAGTTTCCCTCAATGCCCAGGGAATTCTCTTCCTCACCTGATGAGGCTATCGATTTGGCCCTGGTGCCAACAGTGGATAACTTTTGGGTATTCCAGGAACTCTTGTCTGAAGTTGCAGATACCTGGGCTGTCAAAACAAACATAATCCAAAAGAATATCCATAAACTATTTGACATTTGAGTTACATACTGTCCACAATAATTGCCTTACCTATTAATGACAATTTGTACTCTGCAAGCACCTTGGAATACCTGAGCCTCACTCCTTCTGACTTCAGGTTGAAAAGTGGTATTAAGTACCACTGAAGGGGCTCAATCAGTTCTGTGCACACACTATCCCAAGGTCACTCTTACTGGTGTTTACAAGAGAAAATAAGGCCTGCCAAAGGACAAGAATCCAAAGAAACTTTTCAGTTGGAAGGCATACTCTTTGGCCTTCTTGCAGTTCCTCATGGCAAATTAACAGGTGTTATTCATGAAATACAGCTTCTTGGTGTGGGAAAGTGTGACCCCCATTCCTTTCCAATTTACTGCAGGACTACAGTGTTGAACTGAAGGATGAAGTGAGAGAAGGGCAGATGATAGGCAAAGTGGCATTACAGGCAACCATGGATGAGTTGGACACGGCCACCCAGTCCACAGCCATGGCTATCACAATGCTGAGAATCTTGGGTGCAGGCGTTGGGCATCCCCAAAGAGGTCCAAGCAACCATTGAAGATCTGCCATTTGAGGGGATGGTCCTATTCAGTTCCAGGACAGATTACATAGACTATGGTTGCTAGACATCAGTCCCCTGGACTGGAACCTGGAGTAGTGGGCTGACCCATGTTTCCCTACCAGCTACTGGGAAGGTAGCTCCACTGCCCAGAATGTGCTGAAGACTAATTCAGACAGTCCAGAGGGACTTTGATACCCTGAAAGAGGAAAACTATAACTAGAGGGCCAAGTCATAAAGAGGGTGCACCCTGAGTCATGAGGAAGGAGCAATTGAGTCCAGCAAGAGAGAGAGAGACCATGGGGCAAACAACTGAAGGAGGTGGTGTCAGACTGGTTGACTTCAATATATTATTAACAAGATTGATGGGGGGCCTCCCCTTCTTCCCTTTGCAACCTGTTTCCTATACCACCTATCAGTGAATATTGCCTTTTTAGTAGCCATTACATCACATCAAAAGTTAGGGGAGATTCAGGCCCTCAGGGCATGTCCCTGTCTACAGTATTTCATAAGGACATGGGTACTCTCAGGTCTTGTCCCAAGTTCCTGCCTAGAGTTGATTCAGAATTCCAGAGGAACCAATTTATCTGACTTTCATTTTTCTTCCACAAGTCTCACTCAACACAGATGAAGTTAAACTTTGCACACTTGATGCAGTAACAGCACTGTCTTTTTACATTGACAGAATCGTTCAGAGAAACACAGATTATTTGTGGCCTTTGCTGATAGGGTAAAGGGGCAACTTATGTTCTCTCAGATTGTCTAAAGTGGGTCTCCAGCTGTATAGGGACATGTTATGATTCAACCAGGTTAAATGCACCTAGTCTCATTAGAACTCACTCCACTACAGCTCAGGCAGCCTCTGCTGTCCCAGTCAGGCAGCCTAATACAGGCCAGCTGTGCTTGTTAGGTTGACCAAAGACTGGCTCCGCTGCAGACCCTGATTCCTGACAGTGCTCCTGCCTCAAGGGCACTTACTTGGGGCCTGTTTTTTTCTGGGTACTTCCGATGAAACTCTCATAATAAGTCTGGGGTTTGGATGTTCTCTGTCAGTTACCAAGACTGCTTGTCCAGCCTGTAGCCTTTCCAGTCCACCAGGTACTGGAGCCTTTCCCTAACTTGTTGAGAGTTGAGGATTCAATGGACAAAATACTCCTCTTGTCTGCAGACTGTTATGGGTGGCAGATTAGAGCGGTTTGGGTATGGGTTCCTGGTGTAAGGCTCTAAAAGTGAGATGTCAAGGATGAGTGTATCTTCAAGGACTTGGGCAGCTGTAACCTGAAGGTCACTGGGTTCATCTGTTCTACAATCTTGAAAGACTCAGATATTGGTAGTCTAGTTTGGTAAATCAGCTCAATTTAAGGTTCTGGGCAGAGAGCCCAATCTTCTCCCCCTACATCCAGATTAGCAGTCTTGGTCTGGGGCTTCTTTAGGGGACTGCAGGTGTTCTTTGAGCTGCAAGTTAGGTGGGAGACCAAATCTGCAGCAGCTGCCGTACTGGGAAACTCACAGGTAAGTGTGAATGGAAGCAGGGGTGAAAGCCCTAACGTGCAAAGTATGGACTATTTTGCGTAGCACAGCAGGGAAAGCCAGTAACATTGGTGGTAACTCAGGAAGCAGTGAAGATGCTACTCCAAGATTTGATTGACCCTTTCCATTTGCCCATTAGTCTGGGTGATAGGTAGACAAGGTGAGAGACTTGATGCCAAGGAGTCTGAGAAATTCCTGACAAAATCAGGAGCTGAACTGAGGACTCTGGTCTGATAAAATGCCCATTGGTGGTAGCAGAAGATGTTTTCCATGAAGAGCCAAGACATCTCATGTAGTAGGAACAGTATAGAACGGGTTGAGGAGCTCTCTTCTTGTTAGGAGGTCAATGACGACCCGGATTATTGAGTGTCCCTTGGGAGTGTGGAAATTTACAGTGAGGTCCATTGATATAGTAGACCAAGCATGTGGAGGTGTGGGCAAAGGCGGAAGGAGACCTAAGGGTCTTGAACTTGGGTTTTTGGTATGGGTACAGAGGTCGCAGGACCTTATATAATTCTTGATGAAAGCTTATTCTCTTGGCTAGCAGAAGCTCCTTGAAACTGGATCCCAGGTCTTGAATTGGCTAAAATGCCCTGCAGGCAGCAAATTGTAGCATTGTTTCAATACCTGAAGCCTAACTTATCCCTCCAGAACAGAAATACAACTCTTGTGGTAGAGGAGGCCATTTTGTAGTCAGAACTCTGACTCAGGTTGGGTACCCACATTGTTCAGAGTCTGTCAGATCTGGGTTGTGAATGTGTCGTTGGAGGGCAGGGAGTAGATGGAGAAAGTCAGACTGCTGTCAGTCATCTTGTTGACAAAGCTGGACATCTTGAGCATGGTGGCAGAGAATTCATCGCCTGCTTCAAGATATTGTCTTTGTGGGACAAGGCATCTATCTTCCCGTTTTTGTCACCAGGTGATAACTTACAACAGAGGCAAAGTGAGAAAAGAAGAGAGACCAGTGGATCTGGCAATGGTTAAAATGTCTAGCAATCCATAGGTATTCCAAGTTCTGGTGGTCTGTCAGGACTTCGAGCAGGAACTGGGCTACTTCTAGAGGTGTCATCATTCCTTGAAAGCTGCCTTAATAACCAATAGCCCCTTATCCCAAATATCATAATTTTTTCCCCACCAGGGTTAGCTTCTGAGAATAAAAGGTACAGGGGCGGAGTTGGTTGCAGGTGCCCATGTATTGAGATAGTATTGCACCCGTGGCAAAATTTGAGGCATCCGCCTCAATCGTAAATGGTTTAGTAGGATCTGCATGAATTGGTGCTGAGGTGAATGCCGATTTTAGTTGATCAAAAGCCAACTGAGCTGCTGTCGACGAGGTAAACCAGGCCACTGTTCGTAGGATCACCATTTTGGGTGCAACCAGTGTTAGAGAATCCTTTAATAAATTGCCTGAAGAGATTGGTGAACCCCAGGAATCATTGCATACATCCTTGGATATGGCCCAGTCGGATATTGCTGCCACGGGTGAGACAATAAATCCCAAGAATTCCATTGTATCCTTATCAAACTCACATTGCTCTTGATTTGCGTAGAGGTCTGGCAGAGTCTCTCCAAGACAATGCACATGTGATGATCATGGAGATCCTGACTTTCGGAGAAAATGAGGATGTCATCTAGAAAAATGACAACAAATTGGTCCAGCATGTCCCTGAAAATGTCATTAAAGAAATGCTGGAAGGTTGCAGGGAATGTTGCACAATGCAAAACAGCATGATCAGATGCTTGAAATGGCCAGCCCTGGTATGGAATGTAGTCTCCTACCCAGATCCTTACCAGGTTGTAAGCTCTGCAGAGGTCCAACTTTCCGAAAACCTTGCCAGAGCAGTCTTTCAAACAGCTCATTTATGAAAGGGGTACCAGTTTTCAGAGAGTGATCTTGTTCAGAGCATGTTAGTCCACACAGTTGGAAGATTCCTGACATTATCTAAATAGGACTCCCAGTAGCCTCAACCAAGCAAATGTTTGAGAGTCACCAAGAGTAGAATCCATGTGGCCAGTCTCTCAGAGAAGAAAGAATGGTAACTTACCCTACAGTAACTGCGTTTCTTTGACATGTATTGTCCACATGGATTCTATGACCTGCCCTCCTTTCCCACTATTATGGAGTTCTGTTTCTCTGGGATTCTGTATTGGTGATGGAATGGAGGGATGGGTGGGTGTGCTCTGCCCTCCTCTTTGTAGCACATCCCTTGCATATACATCTTAATAACATATTATGTATTCCTCACTGAAGGCGCTATCCTGAATTCCTTGTACTCCCAAACTTCCATTGGATTTGTGAGGAGTGCATGTGCCCACCCATGCACCCAAACAAAACACTTATAGCCTGGTTACTCAGGCTATGCGCTAGGGAGAGGATTGGCCTAGTGTGTATCTATGAAATGTTTTAATACAAACATTTAATATCTCATAGTAGTCCATATAATGCTATATAAATATAATCTGGCTAACAGATATCCATAGGTTTATTTATTATGAAGTTTTGGGTTGTCTGTTTCTTTGCAGCAGTATTCAGAAACTATATATTATAAATGCATAAGCATTTGTGACTTTTTTTCTGCAGAAAGAAGTACATGATTTGGAAGTACGGTTAACTGGTGCCATTGAAAATGAGCAGAATTGTTTAAAACAGATTACAGCACTGAATGCAGAGCTTGAAAAAGAGATGTATGACTTTATTTTTAATTACATTAACTTTAAAGTTGTTGCTCCTTTTAATGTATATTTAAAATCTGTGATTTGTTTTCTTATGAAAAATGTAACATTTATTTTGTTACATACTAATTGCAAAAGGGTACAATGTATCTCTCACTTCACACTTGTCTCTGCTGTCTCTCCCTCTTATTGGTACCAGAGCACAAAGGGGGGGAAGCGTTAGGTATGGAAAGGGATTGTCTTCAGGAAGAACCATAGAAAACTGCTTAAACTGTAACAAATGTCAATTTTGAAGTTTGTAAAAAATAAATCAAGGTGCAACTGTTGCTGATACCTCAATTCCCCCCCCCCTTCTGGTCCTCAGAGTATTTTTCAGTAATGTAAAAGCTGAATAGACTGCCACCCTCCTCTTCCCCCCCACAACAGTGTTACTATATTTATCTGTGCATTTTAAAATTAGATTAATACTAGTATTCGTATTTATAGCTGGAGACCCACTTTAGACAATCTGAGAGATTATTAGTATTTATATTATGACTGAGGCCCCAGTCAGGATCAGGGCTCCACAAGCTGTGCACTGTAGAAATATCTAGAAGAATCCATAGTGACAGGCAACGATTTTATAGTCTTATTTCGAATCATAGAAATGGAGGACTGGAAGGAACCTAGATAGGTCATCTAGTCCAGTCCACTGCACTGAGGCAGGACTAAGTATTTTCTAGACCATCCGTGACAGGTGTTTGTCTAACCTGTTCTTAAAAAAACACCAGTGACTGAGATTCCACAACATCCCTACATAATTTGTTCCAATGCTTAACTACCCTTACAATTAGGAAATTTTTCCTAATGTCTAACCTATCAAGCAACCATTTATTTAAATATTTTTTGATGTTTTCTACATTTTCAAATATATTGATTTCACTTACAACACAATACAAAGTGTACAGTGCTCACTTAATATTTTTGATTACAAATATTTTTCAATTCACCTCATACAAGCACTGTGGTACAATCTCTTTATTATGAAAGTGCAACTTACAAATGTAAATATTTTTTGTTACATAAATGCACTCAAAAACAAAACAATGTAAAACTTTAGACCCTACAAGTCCACTCAGTCCTACTTCTTGTTCAGCCAATCGCTAAGACAAACAAGTTTGTTTACATTTACAGGAGATAATGCTGCCCACTTCTTATTTACAATGTCACCAGAAAGTGAGAATGGGCTTTCGCATGGCACTTTTGTAGCTGGCATTGCAAGGTATTTACACGCCAGATATGCTAAGCATTTGTGTACCCCTTCATGCTTTGGCCACCATTCCAGAGGGCATGCTGATGACGCTTGTTAAAAAATAATGCGTTAATTAAATTTGTGACAAGTCCTTGGGGGAGTATTATATGTCTCCTGCTCTGTTTAACCTGCATTCTGCCATATATTTCATGTTATAACAGTCTGGGATGATGACTCAGCACATGTTCGTTTTAAGAAAACTTTCACTGCAAATATGACAAAATGCAAAGGAGGTACCAATGTGAAATTTCTAAAGATAGCTACAGCACTCGACCCAAGGTTTATGAATCTGAAGTACCTCCCAAAATGAGAGGGACAAGGTGTGGAGCATGCTTTCAGAAGTCTTAGAAGAGCAAAGCTCCGATGCGGAAACTACAGAACCTGAACCACCAAAAAAGAAAATCAACCTTCTGCTGATGGCATCTGACTCCGATTATGAAAATGAACATGCATCGGTCTTCACTGCTTTGGATCATTATCGAGCAGAACCTATTATCAGCATGGATGCATGTTCTCTGGGATGGTGGTTGAAGCATGATGGGACATACGAATCTTTAGCGTCTCTGGCACATAAATATCTTGCAATGCTGGCTACAACAGTGCCATGCGAACATCTGTTCTCACTTTCAGGTGATATTTTAAACAAGAAGCGGGCGGCATTATCTCCTGCAAATGTAAACGAACTTGTTTGTCTGAGCAATTAGCTGAACAAGAAGTTGGGCTGAGTGGACATGTGGGCTCTAAAGTTTTACATTGTTTTATTTTTGAATGCAGTTTTTTTGTACATAATTCTGCATTTGTAAGTTCAACTTTCATGATAAAGAGATTGCACTACAGTACTTGTATTAGGTGAATTGAAAGACTATTTCTTTCTTTTTTTTTTTTTACAGTGCAAATACTTGTAGTCAAAAATAAATGTAAAGTGAGTAGTGTACACTCTGTATTCTGTTGTAATTGAAATCAGCATATTTGAAAATGTAGAAAACACCCAAAAATATTTAAATAAATGATTGCTTGATAGCTGTACTGCAAATACATCTCAGAACGATGTTCACTTTTTAAGACAAGATGTATTAAGTGTATGTAACAAATGGTGGGAGGAGGATAAAGATAACAGCAATAAAAACATATGGTTACATAATCTAGCTGTGTACATAAGTTGGTAGTTCAAAGTCATTTTAAATGTATAGATTAGGTAGATATATCAGCGTGCTAAGCAGTTAGTAGAATCAGGGCCTGAGCGCACAGAGATTTGCATTCTGTACAGTCACTGACAAATAATTGTACTCTAAGGCAAATCTGCCACCTGTTAATCCAGTCAGCGTGCAGGGATTTACATAACCAAAAACTAACTCTACAGTGGTGAGTCAACAATTTTTCAGTTAGCCTGTATTCAAGGAGCTTTGTCATGGTCTGATCTGAAAGGGAATTTGAGAATACAAATAAATTATTCCTCTTGTCTCCCAATTATTTTAATAGGCTGCAGAATGAGGAACTAAATATGAATTGCAATAAGCTTTTATTAGAAAAAGAACAAATAGCACAAAAGAAAAGTGATACTGTCACAGAGCTCAAGAAACTACAAGAAGTTCATAAGGCAAGTTGAGAAGTAAACTTACCTTCTTTTGGAAGACACTTCTTACTTACAATATGCTTTATCACATTTTATTTTATATCGAAATATGACACATGACCATTTTCATGATATTAATTAATTTTGAAACAACACAATTTTTGCATTTTAAAATACACATGGTGAAATTCACCCTATGTAGAGGACCAGATGAAAGTGTATGCACTTCTTTGTGCTGTCTGTCACTGCACGGATTGAATTTCACTCAAAATAAATAATTGATTGCATGCATCTTTGTTTAGGATAACAGAAAGAAAGAAGAAAAGACTAAGAAGCTAATAGAAAACCTTGAAGAAACAAACAGCCAGCTAAGGGAAGAAAAAACAAATATATAAGTAGCATATTCTCAGAAAAAGTCTTGATTCCTTTACCATTAGATTTTGGTGTTATTCTTTTTTATGTATAAATGTATGTAGGCATTGGCTTCTATGACTTCAGATTAATATATTTGTTTTCAAGCTGTATCTTAATGAAATAGGTCTTACTCTCTCTGTGGTGATTTTTGGGGCACCCAGGACTGAGAGTCACCTTGTTACCCTCCTTCCTGAAGAGGAGGAGGTAACAAAGGAGAGTCTTGCCTGTGATGGCTGGGTGGCCTGTCAGCCATGCAAGCACCCGGCTGCAGGCTCTGCCAGGCCCTTTCAGGTGTGCATGAATTCCTCTGGCGCATTTCCCTGTGATATCCAGTCCCTGACTCTGATTACTCACAGAAATTCCAGATCCTCTGCTCCCAAAGGAGTAGCATACCCCAGTTTACCAGTTTTACCTTAAACCCTCCTCCTGTATAAGATACAGCATTGTAATAAAACTAAATAAGGTCTACTTAAGAAAGGATAGCGATTCTACTAGAAATAAGAGTACTGGAAACAGATGGTTACAACTAAATCATAAAACACTAACCTAGGTCTACACTTGTTAATATTTACTTTTCCTATCTAATAAAGTAGGTCGTGTTTCCCCCCCTCTCCCCTCCAAAGTTCAGTATGTTGCAGAGCTGGCTGGCTTCAAAGGAACATGGCTCCAATTTTTCGTGAGATCAAGCACCGTCCTCAAGATGTCTTCTCAGTGAAAGAATACCAAGTGCCTTTCCCCTTCTGTGTTATACTGAAACAGTCTTTTGTCTTCATTCATAGACAGGGTGATTCTCTGTCTGTTGTAATGTTCCTTTTTTTTTTTACCTCCAAGTGGTTTTGATTGTTTGTGATTGTGTCTGATGGTTTTCCATTGAAAGTCTTGGGATGAAGCAAGGCTAGATTATTGAGCCCTGCATTACATCACTGGCTAACCAGGACAGAATGACAACTCCAACCTCCTCAAATGAGCCATTGTGGAGACATATTATCCTCTGGTGATGAACTTCTGCTTCAAGTCCATAAAGCATACTGTCCATACAGTTCATTAAATATTACCCACACATTCATCTTGTAATGCTCGAGTCTTGATAAGTCATGAGCTTTCTATAGGTACCTTATGTGTTACTTTTGGGTAAATATCCTGCAAGATGTGTGGTCTAGTGAGCTTGTCAGGTTTGAGGTGAGAATTGTTTGCAAAGAACAGGGGACCCTTTGTTTGTGTCACATTCTCATTTACATTAAGACTACTCTGTCAGTGTACAGAGCCATGAAACTGCTATGACAATAATTTACACCCACTTTGTTAGTTATGTTCTTTTTGTAATTGCTGCACAGTTTATACCAAGAACTATACTGCATCATTCATTTTCATCTAAGACAGAAGTTTGGGTTTTCAGTTTTCTGAGAAAAACCCTTTAATTGTAGAGGAAATTTAAAGAAAATAGCATATACAAAGTTATTAGTTAAATGTGGAAAAAATGAGACATAACTATTATGGAGAAGAGGATTCCTATTAAATTTTACCATCTGAAATGATGTATATTTTGACAAGTCTCATTGTTAATCTGCCTTTCATAATATGGATTTAGATATTATGGAGATAGATGCATTAAAATAATGTAGATAGAAAGATAAACTTATTGGATGCCTAGGACTTTCTAGGTCTGTGAAAAATAAGTACAGCTCAGAAGTGAAAGTCTGGGCCACTGCCCTGTACCTTTTAGGGACATCTTCAAAGATTGGCATAAACCACCCTTAATATTAGCTATAAAGGAAGCTGCTTTTCTCGCCTTGAGCTAAGCTGTGATTTTTTTTTTAGCAGCTGTGAAAGAAATCTTCAGTTTTAAATTAATTATATACTAATACTTATTAATTTGGCATTTAGAAATGACTTGGAGTCTCTGAAGGAGAAGATGAAAAAGAAAGATGAAGAGGCTAAAACTAAACTGGATGAAAGTGAAGAAAATGTATGGGATATATACAATGCTACATCTTATTATGAAAAGCTATAGCAGTAAATGTCTGAGCCAAAAAAGGTATCCTTAGGAAACAGATGTAGGAGAGTAGGAAATAATAGCTGTGTAGGAAGGGGCTGGCTGTGATGCTTTCCATGAGTACCCAGGGTTGTGAGGCTTCTATCTACCCCTTAGAGTGAGGAAGTCTTGACTGTGCCTGTTGGGGATCAGCTCCCTGACTGCACTGGCCTCTGACAATGCAAACACTACCTTCCAGGCCTCCTCAGGCCTTGCACTCCCTCTGCAGGTTAGTGATAGGAACACACCAACCCCAACACTGCCCAGCCCGTTCCACATTCACAGAACTCAGCTGTGCTACTCAAAAAGGAATAATACACACCAACTTATAGTTTTAATTCAGGATCACCAGTCCACTTAATATACAGCACTTAGATATATTTATAGTGAAAACAAGAATAAGTTTATTATCAAACAACAGAGATTTAAATGATACAAAATCAGAATATTGGAAACAAATGGTTGCAGAGAAAACCAAATCATAACATGCATTCTAGAGCTTACACTTTGTTGTCAGATGTTCGGCTGCGTGCATGTGTTCTTTCTGCATGCTGCTCTGGCTTTGGCCAGATAGCCAATACAGCAGGCTCTAATCGAACTGACCAATAAACACAAGACTTGGTTTAGTAGCAAAGGCACCCGGCCAGGTTTATTGCCAACAAAGCACAGTGCTAATGCCCTTGCTCAATGGTTACAGGTACACTAACACGTATGCCTGTGACAATGGACCAGCTCAGTCAGTGGCGGGACTTTCCACTGCCCCCTAGGCCAGACAAAGGGTTAAAGCGAGGTATCCCAACATTTATAGACTAAGACAAACAACCTAGGGTAAACAACTTATCCATCACCTTACATGTTTCATGACATGTTTATTATCTCCCCTTGTACTTTTTCCTGATGTTTCAGACAAAATATCACTATTCATTACTTTTGTCAAACCATTTTATCATGTGCTGGGTTGGGGTGTTCTTGTACTGGCCTGCTGGAATGTGTTTACATATTCAGTGTGTTTTAGCAATGGTAGCAATACTGGTGCCGAGTTCGTGTACCGGACACTGACTTCCAGGCAAGCATCTGCTTTTGACAGGGTTTAACTGTTGCTCACAGCATAACTTTTTCTGACTTTGGTTGAGACCTCAGGCCTTGAACTAGGCCTATGCTTCAGGCTCTCTCTTTCTACTACACACTTAACTACAGGACATTCCTCTGTCTCCTATAGGATAACTTACCCAAAGTCCTTTCCCTAGCATTTTCAACCAGGACCTTTCATACAATCAAGCTTGCTGGCACCTTGTCTTCACAGATTGAAGGATGCCAGAATGTCTCTGCATCACCAGCTGTACCAGACTATCCCTTTGATCTTCACCTCAAAACAGGGGTGTCCCCTAGCTGTTTACGTCTTACTGTTCATTTCATTCTGAAGTCTCCACAAGCTCTTTGTTAGCATTTGACTCAGTATATTAATAGATTTATATTGTAAGACCTGCAATACACAGTGATCCATCAGGGAAAAATGTCTCCCACTTCCTGTCTGTAGAAGTTTGTCTCAAGGCACTGTACCTTTGAATGATCTGCCTTTAACTACAAGGCCTAGAGAATGTAATTTTCATCATGCATAACACCTCCCATGTTTTCCATATGTATGTCTCTGAATGATTATAATGACCAATGTGACCCATGGTTGTCTGGGGATTAGATGAGATTTTAATACTAGTATGTCTGGTGTGGAGGATTTTTATTTTCTTATTATTGTTTTCTGGTGCATAGAGATATATCTTGGAGCATGCCAAACAGTCTCTTTTGAAGTTTTACTGTGAAATTAAATTAGATAAAGATACCCAGAACAAGGGATGGTTGCTTGTTTGTTCTGTAAATATAAATAAGTAGCAGAAGAAAACTAGCTGCATATTTTGGGGCAATTTGTGGTAAAATTTCTAATAATAATTTAGCCAGATTTTAAAATAATGTATTTCAGACTAGAAACATTGGAAGTGAAATTTCAAGAAAGGAAAAGCAACTGAAGATGCTAGAAAATAAGGTATGAGAGTATACTATTATACTATGAACTAGAGAGAACTTCAAAAATTCTTTTCAGTTTTAAAGCATTAGCTGCAGTATTTCATACACAATTTGTGAACAGAAAAGAGGTGATTATGGTTCCCTACTACACATTTTTGCTCTGCTCTAATTACAGCTTTTGATGGGCTGTCCTACTACAGTTTTACTTAGCTAGCAGTAGACTATCAAAACCATTACAGTTTTAGTGCTCTAAATCCTGATTCAGCAAAACACTTAAGCTTGTATTTATGTCCCACTGAAATCGGTGGGATTTATGCATGTGATTATAGTTTAACACATGCTTAAATGTTGTACTAAATGGAGAGAGTTGAGCATGTGCTTAAGTGTTTTTACTGAGTTGTGGCCAAGAATAGTTCCAATGAGCATCAGTGAGGTTAATCACATTATTGAAGTTGAGTATGCTTAAATGCCTTACTGAATTGGGACCTATGCAAAGACAAATGCAATTGTTCTTAAAATATCAATCAAATAAATTAACAAATTCTAAAAAATAAATTATTTTGCAATGATTCATTGTTTGAAATCTCTCTGTTTTTAGTTTAACAATTTAAAGAAACAGGTTGAAAATAAAACCAAATACAACGAAGAACTGCAGCAAGAGGTATGTAGACTTTTTAAAAGTTACAGGAACATGGAATACATAGAAATCCAACTGCATGTGTGTAGAGCAATACTGTTCAGTTTCTGGTAGGATTTTAAATAGATGAGGAGTCTTTGCAAATGTCTATGAGATTACATAACTGGTTCGCTTTTCTATGATAGTCTTAATTCAAGTCAAATCTAAAGAAAGTTTTGTCTTTACAATGGTTCTTTTTAATTGTAAAACTTGGCCTACTTTAGTGAAAAGTAATTGTAGAAAGAGTATATTTATAATGAATTCTGATTATTTTGTATTTGATACAAAGTGTCATCAGTATACTTTAAATAAATACTTGAGTTATGTCAATTATCCATCAGTAAGAGAAGAAAAATCTGAGCTCAGATTGTCCTCTCTTGTTAAAAGCCATGGGAGTAGACTTTTTGTGAGGAAATCTCATTGAAGATTTTTTCACAGAGTTTCCCCCATCTCACCCTACAAGGGGGCAGAGTTGTCTCCTTGTAGAAAAGCCATCCAGAAACTTGGGCCATCTGCTTGGAGCCTCTGTATCACTGCATCAGGTCTGGCCCTCTGGAGATTCCTTTGTAGTGCAGCCTGGGGCTGTATTAATTTTTTCATGGAAGTTCCACAAGCAGGAGGCAGAGATGTTCTGCATCCTGCTTTTTCCTCCTTTCTTCCACCCATATCGCGCACATGAACCTTGAACCATGTGGAGAGTTTTCCACAGTGTCCACAAAGGATAAAAAAGAGTTATTGAGGTACTTGAGCTCTCCTTCCACAGGGAGGACTTTTCCATGCACAAATCTTAGGGGGCCTGATATGGGACGTGGATTGTAAAAAATTTTTAAAAAAGGGAGAGGGTACTGGGATCAATCTTTAGCCCCAATTCTGACTGTTGTGTGCTGGTGAGGCAGTTCACAGTATGCAGAAAACGGCTGTAAATGGGCAGCTGAAGTCTACCCTGCCTCAATTTGCCCTGTGTGTTTTACTAATTTTAGCTGCTGAAGCAGCAAAGCAATTCTCCAGTATGTTAATAAAAGAATGTAAATGTTTAAATGCATCCCTTTAGTCTTTATTTTGGTTTTAACAGAATAAAGTGTTGAAAAAGAAAATTGCAGCAGAAAGCAAGCAATCCAGTATTTATGAAGGGAAGGTAGGTGTATACTAAATATTTCTTGTAAAAGTGAAAGACAAGTAGTTGAAGAACATGAGTCTGTCCTTCAGTCCCACTGAAGTCAATGAGATTACTTATGTGTTTAAAAATTAAGCAAGTTTAATTGTTTTGCTGGATTGGGGCCAAAATGTTCAGCATCTTGTTGTATCAAGCTATGATATATTGGAGACTGTCAGCTCCCCATTGAAATCATTAGGAATTGAAGTTTCTCAGAATCTTACAGGAGATGCTCTGCACCTCACTGAATCAAACCTTTAATAAGAAATTTGTGAAATTGTATCCACTGTTTCTAGGACAAGATTTCAAGGGTAGTCAGACTTCTAGTGCTGCAAGCACCCATGCACGTATTATCTTTTTGGATCAGTTAATACTTTGAATTAGAAGTTGGCCCGGCTTGCAATATTCAGATATAGCATTCCAGTACTACAATATCTGTGACCAGATAAGAACCTTTATGGATAGATAAGCACATTTTTATTTAGATTTTAGTTTGGCTCATTGCAGAGATACAGGTCAGCAACAAAATTCAAATCCAAATAGGAGTTTGGGAGTTCAGAATCTCTCTTTACTTTTAATTTGGTCAGTTTCAGTTTTCCTGAAAAATAAAGTTATCCAGGGCTTGCTTCTTTATCATTCAGATCAAGGAAGTTGTCCCATTGACTTGACTAGGAGCAGGGTTAAACCACAAATGATTTGTTCATAAATGAGCATTTTCTGTGTGCTTTGTAGTTGGTCAGGTCAGCCAGACCTGAAGAGGAACTCTATGTAGCTCAAAAGCTTGTCTCTTTCACCAGCAGAAGTTGGTCCAATAAAAGATGTTACCTCCCCCACCTTATCTCTCTAATATCTGGAACCAACATGGCTACAACAACAATTTTAAAAATACATTTACATACTTTGACAGCAATATAACATTATTTGTGCTTTACTAAAATGAACAAAATAATATAAATGGTTTGTTTCTCCTTCTGAACTTCTTTTCTCTAGCATCTACTGAAAGTAGCACAAGACATTTCTCTCTAGCCTAATTATTCATATGCATATTAGCTGGTTATATGTAATTTGTGTGATAATTTATTTCTGTCATAATATATGAGCTTTTGTTTAAATATTCTAAGTACTTAATTTTGAATAAACTAATTTTACTAGGGTGCACCCTTTTAATTCATGTCATGGTTTCACTGAAGTCAGTTCCCAGTCAAACATGCAAATTGTTGGCCTCTTCCAGGCATCTTGCCAGCAAAATCAGCAGTTCAAAAGAATGTTTTAACAAGTACAGTTCCTTTCATAGAGGTTTTTATTAATAATAATAAAAACTTACTAAGACTAATGGGCCAGGAAAATTCCCTGTTCTTCAATCAATTCTATTATAAATGGAAATTATAAAAAAAAAAACACAGGACTAGTTCATTGACTGTGGCCGAAGACTACGCAGTACTGCTTAGGATGAGGATTGAAAAGGTGGCATGGGAGTCTAACTGTTGCACAGCCTTGCTTTGCATAGCTAATCCCCTCCCCCCCAAGAACAGGAAGAGTACAAGAATGGAAGATTATTCTGTGGCTGCACAGCTCTGGGAGGAAGTCATACTGCCAGTGGATGAGTGTCCAGGGAATAGCAAGCATGGTCTTATTTCCTTGTGAATTTTAGGACATCATGTACACTTTGGGGGGCCCTGTCCTCTCAAGTAATCAGAAACCTCGCCCTCTGTAGGGGATGATGTCTTGGAGACAGTATTAGTTGAAACTCATTAAGTTCCACTTTTCCTTTTTCATATGTTTTTCAATTGGAGGGGGTGATTTAATTGAAATTGTTGTTGCTATTTTCCCAGTAATTAGGAAAAAAATGTGAAAGGCCATAGCTCAGATCCTTGTTTAAAAAAATTTGAATCTTGAATAGAAGGTAAACTGTCCCAGTACAGAAGTTGATCCAATAAAAGATATTACCTCACTCATTTTGTATCTCCAGTACAGGGTAGGTAATAACCGCTTAAATGAATCAACATATATTAAAATTTACTCCTGAATGGTTAATTAAATGATTTTGTCTTGTTAAAAGGTGAATACATTACAACTAGAGCTCGAAAATGTAAATAGGCAACATAAGGAAACAATTGACAGCTACCAAAAAGAAATTGAGGCAAAAAACATAACAGAAGAAAAACTTCTTGAAAAGGTAAGAATTACTAAAATTGACTGTTTCTTTGGATTCATTTGAGTAATTTGATAATTTATCCAATGTTTAATGTGTTTTGTAAAGTTATTTAGGGCTGATCCTGAACTCCCTCCACATATTATTGTCCTGTGGACACCCGTGACCATAAGGGGAAGCTGTCTATATACAATTTATGACTTCTGTGTGAGATCATGAATTGTATGTGAAACTCCAACCCTCAATTTGTAGTAAGTCAGTCAAGGGCTGGGAGAAGTTACAGATCAAACAAAATAAGTTATTAATGTGAATGAATCCCATTCAAATGGGACCATTTTTTGGACAATGTGATGGCTGAAGCCTTGGAGAAACAGTTTTCTCTAACTTCTCTGCAAGGGGGTTTGAAAAGTGGAAAATTCCCAAAGAGCAAAACAAAGTACCAAGATGTTAGTGCTAGTTTTTAAAAACACAGAATCTGGGAGGGTAGGGTCAGACAGATGAAGAAAACCTGGTGCAGGAGAGAGGAACAAAGACACAGTGTTTTGGAAGGAGAGAGGACTTTCTTGACTTTGGGGGACCTGTCAAGGTCAAAGGAAACCAGCATGAGGAAAGAGAGAGAGACTCCATGATTTGGAGGAGAAACTACAGGCAGCAGGAGGGGGCTCCTGGACACCCTAGAGGACTCTTACCAAATCCCAGAAAACACTCAGGAGGAAACTGAAACAGGTGAGGAAACTGAGACAGGGAATAGCATATAGATGTGTTTTATTTTGCATGATCTGAATTTCTTTTGTGCTAATATAAAAAGTAATTACTTTAGCAATCCCTTTTGCAAAGCCTATCTGTGTTTGTTTCAACTATCATGAGTCCCTGAAGAGAAACTAAACCAGAATGCCCATGAGGTTGGAGCTCTGAGAAGGTGTGTGAGTAAGCTACTGGGGAGCCTAGTCGTCCCAGTGCTAGTTTTCCGGGCCTAGGAAGTTGGACCATGGAGTCTCAGCTTGCCAGATGGTTGTTAGCAGAATATTTGTAGCCTGAAAGTGTGCCTAGAGACCCAGAGTAAGAGACAGGGAATGCATGGACTTTGTTCAGATTCAGGAAGCATAAGAGCACATGGATCCAGCGTGGTGAGACCCAAACACAGCACCTGGTGAATGTCTAGTAGGGGGAGTTAGGCCAGGGCCATGACAAAGTCAGTGGAACTGCTTGTGTGTGAACTACACATACTGGTGATTATAGGCTTTCAGCTTTGAGTTCTTAAGTGAAAATGTTCATATTTGGGTCTCTAAAGTTAGGCACCTAAATAAAAATTAGGATTTAGCGCGTCAGTTTAGGTATCCAAGTTTAAAAATGTAGGCCTTAGTTTGTTAAATTGCCTTTCAACTAATGTGCATTCTAATACAGGAATTTTTAAAATAAAAAATATGTTATTTTTAAAACGAATTGCACAGTAATTTTTTGTGCTAGAAAGTACCAGACTGAAATAAAATGAAAGCGGAAAAAAACTATGATTTTAAAGTATCTGTTTTACAAATTTTTGCAGGGCAGCCAGGCATTTTTTAGTCTTCAGTACTGTAGATTATAATATCACAAAGAAGGAAATACTCCAAATCAATTGGTTCATTCCATCCATATTACTGTAATTGTTAGAATAACTTCAAAATGTATCTTGTGTGTTTCATTAAATGAATAGCTGTGGTTTCATATTTGATAAAATATAAAAATGGTCAGACAAGTCCATTGTGGAAAAAGCATTTCTTTTAATGTATATATAGTATTTTAACTTTTTATATATTTTTAGCTTTATTTTTTTTTACTTGATGCCACAAAATTTTGCCTGTTTATAGTTAAAGATAAACTGTGCAATAGTGCAAGCACTGCAAGTGAGCCATATAAAGAACAAAGTGGCTTTTGAGCTAATGGACTGTCATAAAAACTAAACTATATGTAGCGTTGGGGGTTTCATTAAAATATTGCATTCAATGCTGCTTACAAATTAGAAGAAAATACTGTTATTAACAGGTGGAAAAGATGAGGTTAATAGCTGATGAAGCAGTAATACTGCAGAAAGAAATTGATATTCGATGTCAGCACAAGATAGCTGAAATGGTAGCACTTATGGAAAAACACAAGGTAAAATGATTTTGCTAGTTGTATATGTACAATACATGACATTATGTCTGGAATCAGTAAAATTGCACAAACCACAAGTATTAGGAACTAGGAAATGGAGCTTTATTATAAGGACATTGATCTAGGAAAATTAAGCTGGAGATATGATCAGTTTCTTGACATCTAACAAGAAATGCATCAATGACAGGAGGCATTTCTTCATTATCTTAACTCCTAAATAAGTAGCTAAGCAGAAATTATACTACTACTTGTAACAAAAGTATTTGGCAATCCCTAATACTGTAATACTAGTTGTGGCAGAGATGCAGCTCTCCTAGAGCTGCTTTGGGGGTTGCAAATATTGAGGTATTATATTTGCATACATTTTTATGGAAGAAGGGAAATACGGACCTTAATGATCATTTAGAATTCTGAATATTCCCATGTCTGTTCTGTGGGAAGGATACTGAAAGGATTTTCTGGCATTTCAGATTCCTTTTGGTCCCATTCTCCCACCCCGGGTTTTCTTTCAGTGTTAATTCGGACCCATTCTTGTAAGGCCTCTAACTTTTCAGTGGCCCTAGGTAGTTCAGTTTAACATATTTTAGTGAAGCACTCTTTTTAAATGGATATGTTCATAAATGTTACTTGCTTCAGTATAACCAGCCTTTACACACAGGTACATTTGATTCCCCACAGAGGACATAAAATGCTTTTAAATGGCCTCACAGAATATTATTGCATAGAGAAAAAGTGTGAGTATCATCTGTGGAAAGAGTTAAGATATATATCATTGAAGCTTCAAACTAGTTTTGTGTCTAAAAAAGTTAGTAATCTTTTGTAACTTCTGAATAAAGAATGAATGCTAGCTGGTTTTAAGTGATAATTTTTGTTTATCACACTTATGCACATGACTCTTTGTATGCAGCATCAATATGATAAAATGGTTGAAGAAAAAGATACAGAATTAGAACTCTGTAAGACGAAAGAACAAGAACAAATGTCAGTTAAAAGATCCTTGGTAAGAGCTAAACCTTAATAGTGAATAACTATGAGAAAATTAAAAGAAACTGCTGCAGATGAGTGACATAACTAGATAACAATTTTTCCTTTTTTACTGTTTATTTTTTCTCTGTTTTAGATGTGTACTTTATATTCTGGAACTGTACAATGAAGGCTAGCCCCCCGATTTCTGTGTGCCATACTTGCTTATTATTGTTTTTATATGTGTTACAGTATAAAGTGTTTTAAATGAAATGTAAGCAAGTGTACTTTCCTGTCTACTTTTCTCCTGATGGCCTCTGAATGTTTTCACCACTCTATCTGATTAAGGAACTTTTGTATCAAACAGTGTGCCATTTTTTTCCTGGTAATAATATGCCACAAATAAGATGAGAAAAACTGCTTGACTTGAATAGCCCTGTCCAAATATTAATAGATACATTTCTCAATAGTTCTTGATCTGTTGAAAAAAATAAAAACAACCTCCTAGCCTATGACTGCATTAACTTTTCTGTGCCCCTCCTTTACCTGGCAAAACCCCACTTTGGGGAATGTTCTGAGAGCAGTCACCAAGTCATTGAGAAGTCTCTGACAGTGTAGCCTCAGCTCCTCAACCCCCTCAAACCCAGTGAGGGGATTCTCATGGAGATTTCCTTCTTACAGGACTTTTTCACACATATTTCCATGGGAAGGGGTTGATCCAAGTCTACAATTTAACTCATTCATGCTGAACATACCTGTTCCTTAGATAGGAAACTCCATTAGTTCAAAACATCCAACTTAACCATAGGCCTGTAAATGGCTTTGTGTTTGAAGGTACCCACAGTTAATTTTTAGAATTAATTCTGTCATTAAAATAATGTAAAGTTGAACAGTGTAGTAGTATATGACAGATGCATTTATTTGAGTTTTTAAAAACTATTTTCTTTTTCAATTTAACAGAAAATTATTAACTCTTATCTGATTGTAATTTTTAGGAAATTGAGCTATCTCATGTGAAAAGTGAACTATTATCCCTTAAGGAGCAGCTTAAAATAGAGGTTGAAGAGAAGGTATGTCTTGTGGCATGACATTTAAAAATTTTTGGCTTAGCCTGTGGCTATATCATTTAGTGCTATGGAGGAAATTTGGGTTGATTCCTCTCTCTCAGGACTTGTGTACACTAAAGAGCCTTTGCGAGTATAGATATTCTGGCAGAGCTATGCCAGCAAAGCCCCCTGTTGGAGACAGGATATGCTGGCAAAAGGAGTCCAGCTGGCATAGCACTCCCCCAAATAGCATTAACTATGCTGACAAAACCAACAAGGAGTCCAGTGGCACCTTAAAGACTAACAGATTTATTTGGGCATAAGCTTTTGTGGGTAAAAAACCACTTCTTCAGATGGTTCTTCTTCTTTTACCCACAAAAGCTTAGGCCCAAATAAATATGTTAGTCGTTAAGGTGCCACCAGACTCCTCGTTGGTTTTGTGGATACAGACTGACATGGCTACCCCTCTGATACTATGCTGACAAAGCACTCTTCTGTCAGTATAGTTGTGTCTACACTGGGGGTTTTGCCACCATAGCTATGTCAGGTAGAGGGGTTCACTTTTTCACACTCCTAGCCCACATAGCAATGCTGGCAAAACTTTGTAGTGTAGACTAAGCCTCACTCTGCTCTCAAGAGCTTGATGTGCTCTGAAGTCAGCATGCTTAGCTGAATTTAAGTCAAATTCCCATTGACCTACATGGGTCCCGGATTTCACCTTTGGCCTCTGAAGTAATCCAGTTGCAACTCTACTGAAGTTTTCTATACAAGAGTACAGGCATATGAAAAATGAAATTCTGTTTTGGACCCAGACATTTTAGCCTTTCCTTATCCAGATACAAACTGTTGGAGGAATGTTTGATGGTCTGAATCTTGGCATACGGATTGCTGAGCTTGTACCCTACCTTTTATTACAACTTCAAGCACTCTCATGGAATTTGTTGCTAAATGACTCATTCTAGCACAAGACCAGAACTGGCCAAACAATATGCAACAAATAATCTCATGAACTTAGCTTCTTTTTTAGTTCATGAATTATCTACAAACAGATTGCAATTTTTATTTATTTGCTCACTATTCGCAGTTGTTCAGTAGATTACTTGTGCAAATAAATTCTCTATTCATGTTGTGTAATTGTTAATGGACTGTTTAATGGGTCTGTTTATGTGCCTAAGTGCTTGCAGATTCAAGCCCTTAGTGAATAAAGGGATCACAAATATTTGACAGAAAATTCATGAATACATTTTTGCTGTATTTACCTGACTCTGAAGAGGACAAAACTCCGTATGTGGCAGAACTCCATAAAAGTAAATGAATGAGAAACAGTCTGAAATAAAAAAAATCTTACTGCATAAATCAAAAACAAACAGTAATGAAAACTGGGTATGTAGGGACAGTAAGAGATGTATCCTTTCCCATATATAATTAAGATAAGTTTGTTAATTCTTATTTCCACTTTTTTAATATCTACTGAAGTCTGAAATTTAATTAAACGCTGCTTGTATATTGTTGTGTGTGTTTATAACTGAATGCTGAACATGTGTACTACTCCATTATTGTACAGAAGATATAGTCAGCTAAAATATTTGCAAATAGAGCATTTACTATATCTTACACTACTCTGTTTTTTAAACAGGAAAACCTTGCAAGAGAAGCAAAAGAAAATGCGGTTTCTGAAAAAGAAAAAAAGCATAAGGTGGCTTTTTACTTTGATTTTTATAAAATGTTATGATTTGTGTTAGCAGGCATGTATAATTAAACTAAGGTTTCATACTAACTAAAAACATTGGCAAGTTGGCATTTATTAATATGTTATTGATTTTTAATATATTTTCATTTATTATTATTTTTAGAAAATACAAACATCCTTTATGGAGACTCCTAAAACCAGTTTAAAGCTTGCCTCTGCATCAGTTAATTCAAAAAAAAATTCATCCCAGAATTTCACATCTTTTAGAGAGAACAAGTTGGAAAACAAAGAAATGTCTTCTTGGACACCTACTAAAAGTGTCTTGGGCACTCCATCATTAAAGGTCTGTTGCTTATTGGATAGTATATTATTTCCATGTTTTTGTTTTTATTTATTTTTTAAAATGTACCTTTCATTTTATTTTAAGGGCCTATGCTGATCTAATTGTCTCCGGAGTCACTTTTTCACTTTTGATTAAGGAAAGCATAGGTTAAAAAAATTTACAGTATTTTCCATGTGCGTATATTGGGGGATATTTAGGGAAAAACAAGTTTTTGAAAAGGGGAACAGGACTCCAAGATTCTATTCCTGACTCCTGCTAGTTGTGTGATCGTGGACAGGTCAGTTCACTCATCTCTGCCTCAGTCTACCCATCAGTAAAATGGGGCTAGCAAAACCCAGGGCTGTTGTGAGGCTTTATTTAATTATTGTCACAAGAGTTTTTTGACAATCTTGGTGGAAAAGTGCTGTGTGTCCTGCACTGCAGAAATGTTTCTAGTAAGTAGCAAAATAAATAAATAAATTGATTGATTGCATGGCTATAATAGCATTACAGTGTTCATGGCTGTTCTGTTATAGCCATAAAATAGGCTCTTTTTAAAATGTGAGAAACTCACATACAATTTTTACAGCATTTGAACTAATACAATTCAAATATGTAAATAACTAAGGTCAACTTTATGCTGAATACATCTATAAGAATTTAAAATCAGCAATAAAGTGTACTATTTAGAAAAGAAATCTAAAACCCTTTTCTCCTCTTCTGACAAATTTATAATATATTAAATTTTACCATAATAATAATTAATAAATAATAAACATGAAGGAGAACAAAGTGACTAAGATGGTAAGTGTTAGCGTACTGTCTTCTGTATAATTCTTTGTTAAATGTGTTAACTATGTATTCATATTGTATACATTATGAGGTAAATCCAGACCCTTCTTCTGTGGTCATGGTGTAGTTCTGCAGTACAAAGTGAGGAGCCCAGAGCCCTCTCCTGCCCACCTCCAGCCTCAGGTCTCCTGAGCGCTCCCAACCCCGGAGCACTGGGCAGGTGGGAACTGTGGCCTCCAGCATCCCCAGTGCTGGGTGGCTGGTGGCATGACCCGGAGCGCCAGGCAGGCAGCACGGCTCTTAGCTCTCCCAACCCCAGAACGCTGGGGGCAAGCGGGCGGCACGGCCCCCAGCCCCAGAGTACCAGTCAAGCAGGCAGGCAGCGCGGCCCCCAGCCCCAGAGTGCCAGGCGGCGCACTCACAAAAGTAGTCCACCAGCCTCACTGCTTAGATCTTGGTAGATACTTTCTAAAGCCAGTAATAACGGTTTCAGTCATTTTAAGACAACAGCCAAGGATCGCTCATGAGAAAGCCAGCAGGTTTTTCCAAGTTTTTTGAACTTCAGTCCTAGTGTATCTTCTATTTGTTTCCAAGATGTTCAGTCCTTTTGGACTCTTGCTGAAAAAAGAGTATAACAAAGCCATTCAATTTATGGCTTTTTAATGTCTTTTGAAGATTCTGCAGCTTGTATTAGCGCTAACTGGACTAGATGGCCTCTTCAGTGTGTATAGGAGAGATTAGGGTTACACTTTTCTCTGAGTAAAGCTTGTATTCCACTGTGTCTTCCAGAGAAGTTTGTAGGTCCATCAAATGCACAAGCAGCCATCTGTTTGGGGTCCAATTTACAAGCATTTAACTCTTCTAAGATGTCACAGATACAGCTGATGTCTTCTATAACCTGAACATCTAGAATGCATCTACTGGCCTACCATGGACATCAAGATAACATATGCAAGGACTTAATACTTGATGCCTATTTGCATTGGTGCATTCATCAGCCACGTATGCACATTTATTGAATATGGTGAGAGAGTTCTTCACTTTTTCAACTGCTGAGTCTTTCACTGTTGCAGCCCATGTTTCTAGACAGTCAGCTGAGTTTTTTGCAGAAAGATAGCGAGCATTTTCCAGTCTTATTCGGAACTAGTGTCCAACTTCAGGATTAATAAGTGACAATGCACTTAACATTGGCCTCCAGTTTGTAGTGTGTGGTATCTCTTGCTTAAATAGAAAGTATGATGCAACGGCCATGTTGGTTCACATAAACTGAGTTGTGTCTCCAACATTCTTAACAGCCTTATTAAGTACTTTTAAAACTGGGTTTGACAGTGACTGGCTCATAAGGCTTTCTGCATGTTGATGCGGTCCAGAGGCATGCTGTTTTTGCAGCCTTTTCATGTAGGTTGTCAGTATTGGCTCTGCTGATCAGTCTGGCAAACCAACCTCCTCCACTTTTACTATATAAATCCATGATATGCCCACATCTTGAATACTGCGTGCGGTTCTGGTCACCCCATTTCAAAAAAGATATATTGGAATTGGAAAAGGTACAGAGAAGGGCAACAAAAATGATTAGGGGGTATGGAACAGATTCCATATGAGGAGAGATTAAAAAGACTGGGATTTTTCAGCTTGGAAAAGGGATGACTAAGAGGGGATATAATAGAGGCCTATAAAATCTTGACAGGTGTGGAGAAAATTAATAAGGAAGTGTTATTTACCCCTTCACTTAACACAAAAACCAGGGGTCACCCAATGAAATTAATAGGCAGTGAGTTTAAAATAAATAAAAGGAAGTACTTCTTCACACAATGCACAGTCACCTGTGGAACCTTTTGCCAGGGATGTTGTGAAGGCCAAAATTATAACAGGATTAAAAAAAATATAGATAAATTCATGGAGGTTAGGTCCATTAATAACTATTAGCCAGGATGGGCAGGTATGCAACACCGTGCTCTGAGTGTCCCTAGCCTCTGTTCGCCAGAAGCTGGGAATCGATGACAGGGGATGGATCACTCGATGATTCCCTGTTCTATTCGTTCCCGCTGAAGCACCTGCCATTGGCCACTGTTGGAAGACAGGTTCTTCTTCAAGGAGTGTCCCTATGGGTGCTCCATTTTAGGTGTTTGTGCGCCCCTGCACTTCTAGTAGGAGATTTGCAGTAGCTGTGCCCCAGTTGGCTGTGCACGTGCGGCAGCCGTCTCTCACCCAGGGCCGGCTCTAGGTTTTTTGCCGCCCCAAGCAAAAAAAATTTTGGCTGCCCTCCACCCCAGCCCTGTGCTCCCCCTCCGTGCCCCCCTGCTGCCCCAGTCCTGGGCTCTTCCTCCCACACCTGCACCCCCTGTCACCCCAGCTCTGGGTTCTCCCCTTTCGCCCCCCACCAGTGCCCTCCCCCCCACCCGCCCCCCCCTGCCACCCCAGCCCTGGGCTCTCCCCCCCCCCCCCAAACCCCCCGCCGCCCCAGCCCTGGGTCACTGGTAACTTGCTCCCAGGGCAGGTCATCAGCATCCCACTCATGACACTAGCAGGGGCGGAGGCTGCATCCACCCGACTCCTTCCCGGCGCCCAGGGGGGCTCTGACTCCGCCCACTCCCCCCTCACCTCCAGCCGGTATGACGCTGGCAGGGTCAGGGTAAGCAGCGGGGCTCCCAGGCCGCGCCTCAGCCCAGGGTCCCTCCAGCCGGGACTCCTGCCTTCAGGACCGGCCGGGAATTGGGAGGCAGAGCCGGGGGGACCGCCCCGGCAGGGGGCTGAGGAGCCGGGGCAGGGCAGCCTCAGAGGGAGGGGCCGGTGGGGAACGGAGCCCCTGAGAGTGGGACGTGGGCCCCGCACGGCAGCGCCCCGGGCACCTTTCCCCTCTATGGCCCCTCTGCTGCTCCTGGGCGCCCTGCCACAGCCTCTGGGCAGCTCGGGCCATTTGGCCCAGCCCCGGCTGCGGCACTTGCAGGCGGCTCCGTGCGCCCCGCTGGGCGGCCCCCAGACCAAGTGTCCCGTGCTCCACGTGTCAGAGCCCGCTTTGGCCACCCGCTGCAGCTCTTCCACCTGGACTTAGGCGTCAGCTTGGAGGCCAAGACAGCGTCTACCTGGGTGAGCGCCTGCAGGGCTGCCCCCCCCAGCAAAAACAAACCAACCAACCAACCAAACAAAAAAAGGATGGCCCGAATGCCGCCCCTGCAAATGTGCCACCCCAAGCACCTGCTTGCTTTGCTGGTGCATAGAGCCGGCTCTGCTCTCACCACTCTGAGCAGCTATCCAGCGTGTGTGGACAACCACCCCCTGTTCTTTCTCTACTGCCATTGGCTTTGGTCGGAACAACAACAGCGCCCTCAAAAACCTTGCTATTCCTTTAGTTCAACCCTTGTAGTTTTATCCTTTATTTACTTCTTCCTTCATTTTTTCTCTATTGAAAAAAAAACTCCCCCCTTTTCCCCCTCCTCCGGCGGAAATCTGCCTCACAGCCCAGATGCACTTGGAAGGGACTATTCCCATTCCTTCTTTGTGAACAGCCTCTTTGACATGCCTGGTTCTCCAGGTTTTAAACTCTGCCTGACCTGTAGCCTGTCAATACCAGTCTCAGATGGTCACTCGCAGTGTGTCCGTTGTCTGGTAGAGCGAGACATCGCACAGAAGTGCCACCACTTTAAAAAGCTGACAGCGAGGACTAGAAAAGCTAGGGATCTCCAGTTAAAACTTATGATGGAGAAATCCCTTTGACCTGCTTCTGATCCTGAGCACAGGACCCCTTCCTGCTAGCACTCACCTGCGGCGGCATCGGACATGGGTTCATCTTCAAAAACAGCTGCAAAGGACCCAGTCCCGCAGAAAGCCACAAAAAAGCGGTCTCACTCCTCGCCTCAGCAAGAATCACCTCAGTAAAGGCAATCGCTGATCACCAAATCTGTTCCAGTACCATCGGCACCCAGAGCTCCGGACCGAGAGGCACTGGGATGGCCCAAGGAGCAAAAGACCCCCCCGCAGTCTAGTTCTAAGACAGGCACACTTAACAAAGCTAAGCCTGCTACCTTGGCACCGAGCAGCGCAATGGTGCCACCTCCTGCACCAATACATTGCAGCAAGTCTACAGCACCGGCGGCAATCACAATGATTTCGAACCAAAGCTTTCCTCCTCTGTTGGCACCGAGCCTACCCATGCTGCAGCAGTTTGTTAGCCAGGCAGACCTCTTCATCACGTCTACTCCAGGAACGCCTCTCTTTGTTACTGATTGTACCCCATGGTACTAATACACCTGCTGGCTCAGCCCCTCCTCTCTCCAGCGATGAGGAGGAGGAAGTAGGGGAAGGAATGTACACCCCTCACCATTCCTCGCCCAAACCTGGACCCTCACAACAGCAAGACATAGCATGGCAACCTCCGCAATGGGTGCACCCCCCATGGTCCTCCTACCGAACTGGCCATATTGGGACCCATGGGCGTTATACAGAACCCAGAACATGCAGCCCTCCAACCCATCCAGGTCCAGAACACCAAGATCACAGAGATCACCTTCACCTTCTGCCCCAGCCTCCCCAGAAGCTCTCGAGGAGGAAGCAGAAGCAATTGAAGAGCCACCAGACGGTGACACCATCCCACCCACCCACATCTCCTCTTCGTTTCCTGACGAAACAATAATGCCTCCTCCACCCACATCAGGCGATGACTTTAAATCCTTCCAGGAATTATTTAAACGAGTGGCTGACTCCCTCGACCTTCCCTTGGCAGAGCTGCCAGAGACACAGCATAAACTGACAGATGTTCTCCATACATTTCCTACTGCCAAGATTGCACTACCCATCAATGCTGCTATCATGGACCCGGCAAAAACTGTCTGGCAGACACCAGCTCCACCTTCTTGTAAAAGATCAGACAAGAAGTACTACGTCCTAGCTAAGGAAGCCGAGTTTTTGTTCACCCCCCGTACCTCTAATTCATTGGTGGGGGAGGCGGTTATTCAAAGGGGAAAAACAACATCTGGCTAGGACCACCCCTTATGATAAAGATTGGAAACGCCTAGACCTCTTTGGCAGGGTAGCCTGTTCCTCAGCGACCCTTCAGTTTCACATAGCAAACTATTCTGCGTTACTGGCCAAGTACACACGCAACATTTTTGCACAAATGACAGCTTTTATTGAACATCTTCCAACAGATAAAAAATAACAATATAAAGGTAACATAACAGAAGGCTCCCTCATTGCCAGAACAGCCTTACAGGCTTCCTTGGACTCTGCTGACAAGGCAGCCCGCTCCATCGCCACATCCATAGTCATGTGGAGGACGTCCTAGCTCCACCTTTCAGGCTTCCCCAAGGAAGTTCAGGCGACAGTAGAGGACTTACCTTTCGAAGGTCAAAAACTGTTTGCGGAAGGCACAGATGCAACCTTACACACACTCAAGGATTCCCATGCTACATTAAAAACCCTAGGAATATATGCCCCTTAGAACAAAAAGAAACATGGCAGATTTTATACCCAACGCTTCCCCGTATGCCCAACCTCAAAGAGATTATGACCAGCGCTGCAAACAACATCAGATGAGATGCCAACAAGCCCCAGAGCAATCATCAACGTCTCAACCATCCACTTCCAGACAAGCATTTTGAAGTGTTGGTTGAGGACACGAGAGCCCCACATACTCCACTGCAGGTCTAAGCACTTAGACCTGATTATCCGTGATTTCAGTTCTAATGGTCACTTAACAAACCAAAAGACTCTCTATGGAGCTGTAACAGGGTCGGCACCCACCTTTCGTGGGCATCCCCTTTTCTTTGGCCAATAGTGCCTGCAAACACCGTTCTTTTCATGGAGGGGCACCCATCTCTCATGGATGGCCTCCTTTCTCTTGGTTAGGTTTGAGCCTGCTTTTCTTTTTTGGTCTTACATCAGGCTGGCGCCTGCCCTCACAAACACCCCCCTGGCCGCTGGTTCTCTTGGCTGATCTTCGGCAGCTCAACTCTCCGGCCAAGCCGCACACGCTGTCCCCCCCTTCTGGGGTATATAGTCCAAGTTTCTCAGCCCTGGTATGGGGCTGTAGCTCTAAGGCTTCTTCCCTGAGGCACTGCCTTTTTCAACCACCCAGCTGGGGCCCATCTTGGTAACCTCAGCTGGTGTCCTTTTCAGCAGCCCTCCCAGTCTGAAACCAGACCAGCACAGCTCATCTTGGTACTCTCTCCTGATCTGGCCAAGTCCTGAGCTCAGTCCCCTGGGCTCAGCCTGCCCGCACTGACCTTTTCATGGTCCTGCTGCTACTCTATCCAGCCAGCCAGGCGCCTGGTCTTTGGTAGCCTTCGCTGGGCTCAAATCTGTCTGGTGAGCTCTCTGCTTGTCTATTAAACCCTAAGCACTGATCTGTCCACATGACCTCACTGCTTCCAGCCCAGCTCCTCTCATTCCTTGTTTTCCTGGTATCCCCTTGTAGCAGGGTGCTGGCGCAAAAGCACCCAATTAGCCCCTGCCCGGTCAGCTCCAATCAAGGGAAGCAGATGGAGCTGATGGAAAAATCCTGATGCCGGCCTGAGGATTGGCAACACCTGCTGGCCTGACAAGCCTAGGGCTATAAAGGCTGGGAGGGAGCCAGAAGGCAGGGGGCAGCCAGGGAGAAGTCAGTCAGGAAGGGAACTGGAGGCCTCCTAGCTGAAGGCTGACTGCCTGTAAAGGAGGTGACTAATCCTGTAAAGCTTGTATATAGATAGACATTGGTGATGGGATAACCTTAAGTAAATAAAGACACGGGTGTTGCACAACCCTGAAACTTCTCTGAGCCTTATAGGGGGCCACAAGCGGGCCCCAGGAAAAGAGGGGCAGGTCATGGACCCTGTTACACCTCTCCATAACAATCCCTGCAGGGAACATGGGCCCTCTGACTCCAGTTCCACTTATTATGATTAATCGTCCCTATTTTGCACAACATTTTAATATAATAATTAAAAAACAAATAATTGATACCAAGACCCCTACCCTGTATCCCCTGAACCAGAGGTTGCTAGCACACAGTCGAGTTGGAGTCTTGTCTTTACCACAGAATCTGCTGGTTGCATAGTCTTTGAGATAGTTTGGTCTCCTCAAGAGGCAACCACACCAGAAGTGACCTATCTCTGTCTTTCTGTTATCAAGTCTAGCAAACTCGCTCTCTCTTTCGAGTCTCTGTCCTCTTGGTGTGGCCTCCGGATGGTTCTCTGTCATTGCATTATGTGATAATTTATGTATTTCTGTAGGCTTGCTCTGGGTGTTGTGTCTCCTGGTTCACAAATGGCTCTTGTTCTTCAGATCACTTGTCCCTCTGGCATAGTCACCTCATATGACCTTCGTGCCACTGTGCCCCTCACAACTCCTTTAGTCCACTCTGTCTCGCTAATGTCTGTGTCCTTACAGGCATACCTGTTATGGAGGAGAGTCCAGGAAAACATGGGCCCTCTGACTGCAGTTCCACAAATCACGATACAACTCAGACTTTGTACTCTGCTCTGGGTTTGGTCCTCCATTTATGAAATTAGTGTAACAACATAATCTTAAATATTTTGGGTTTTTTTTCTCCCCCAGACATATACTGTGAAGACTCCTCCAAAATATAAATTGCAAAGAGAAAGCATGAATCCACTTTCAGAAGACGACATGAAGAAAAAAAGAAAAGTGCTTTTAGAGCTGGATACTCATTCAGATAGCTCAGAACACAATGACCTCCTGGTAAAAAATTCAAAATGAATAGCATCTATCATTGTTTATTCTGTCTGCACTCTTTGCTGTATCTCAGAATGTGTGTCCACCATTCAGGATATCATATACTGTACAAAATAAAAATATGTATGTGTGTGTATATTTAAGAAGTAACTTAGATTGTTAGTTTATGTGTACATAATAACTCTAGAACATGATCAGGGCATGTCTACAGAAACATTATTATATATTCAGTTAATCATTGCAATTGCACTAAATAATATCTCTGGCATTTAACTGAATGTTGTTGAATTCATCAGGATGTATAGTAATTTTTTAAGATTATTTTTCATGATTGAATGTTAATAAATATGGTAGCATAGAAAACATATATAGTTTATTATGTCTTTGATTATGTAACTTTCTTTTTAATTTAAGAGCATAGTCTCAGAGGAAGAAATGTTTAAAAAGCTGTACAAAAATTGTCCTCAAGCTTCTCGCTTATGTGTCATGACACCAAAAAAGGTATCTTCTTAACTTTACTTCAGATCAGACTACATACTTGAAAGATTTGGTTACAAAAATAAATGGATAGTTTTATTTTTGTTCTTAGATATCAACTCTGTCAACCATAAAATCTACTGGTGCTGCACTGAAACTTACAGCTATGAAAAAGATGCGAGAGACTGGATGGACTGCAGTTTCTAAAATGGACAGGAAAAAAAAAATGAAAGAAGCTGAAAAACTCTTTGCCTAAAATTAAAACTGAGCAATCAGTTAGGAATTTTCTGTTCATATAAAATCTTTTACAGTAGAATTTATTAATCCTACACAGTTAGCACTTGCAGCATATTACTGGTTTAGGGCTAAATCCTGGAAGTGCTATGTTTGTGGAACTCCTGTTGATTTCATTGTGGTTACTTTGTTCCACCACAACCTTGTCCTCTGGAGGACTCTTCACATTGGGTTTACACCATCATAAAACAACATAAACCTAGGAATAAATTTGGCCCATTTCTGTTTTGAAAATTGATAGGAAAAAATAATGTATGGTGTGTTAAAATGGAAAAATATGTTGCAAAATTGTTTGAAGTCATTTCAATAACATCCGTTTTTGTTCTTTTAAAGTTTACTGTCACTTTTGCAGTATCTTATCCATAAGAGTATTGTTTTATTATTATTGATATTGTTGAACTACATTCATTTAATTGAATACTTATATTTGAATTAACTTCTTCTTTTTTGTTCTTTTGATGTATTCCTTACAAATATTCTTTTAAAGTAGTTGGTTGAGGCATTAGCCTGGTTTTCAGTTTGTAACAGTATTGAAACATTTAAGTGTTGAACTTCTAACAATATTGATTCAAATCTTATTTCTTTTGCTTTTTGGGAATCTAGTTTTATAATAAATGCCATATGTAAACTTGTTCTTTCAGATTACTGAAAACACACTTTCCAAATGTCATTAAACGGTTAATCTGAAAAAAGTTCGAGAAAGTGTTAGGCTAAATAACAAGGAGTCCGGTGGCACCTTAAAGACTAACAGATTTATTTGGGCATAAGCTTTCGTGGGTAAAAAACCTCACTTCTTCAGATGCATGGAGTGAAAATTACAGATGCAGGCATTATATAATGACACATGAAGAGAAGGGAGTTACCTCACAAGTGGAGAACCAGTGTTGACAGGGCCAATTCGATCAGGGTGGATGTAGTCCACTCCCAATAATAGATGAGGAGGTGTCAATTCCAGGAGAGGCACCTCCTGGCTAAATGCTTACCTATAAAATGATGAGCTCATCAGTAGTCAAGTTAGCACCAAACAGGTCTTAAAGCAAAAATGTTGTTCATATTCAGGTAGCAGAGAATTATCCTAATTTGATCTCTGAATGTAAATAGATCCACAAATATCAAGGAAAATAAAAATCTTTGGATGAAACCTTGGCCCCATAGAAGTTAATTGCAAAACTCCCATTGACTTCACTGGGACCAGGATTTCACTCGTGTCTAGAAATTATTATTATTATTTTTTTTGTTTTTATTATCATAGCACCTAGGATCATTAGTCATGAACTAGGACTCCATTGTGCCAGGCAGTGTGCAAACACAGAACAAAAAGATGATCCCTGCTCCAAATAGTTTATAATCTAAGTATAAGATAAGAAATAGATGGAGAAAAGCAAACAAACAGGTGAGTACATGGTCAACATGATAGACGGTGGTCTCAGCACATCAGCAACCTAATTGTTGTCAGGGTTTTTTTGTATTGCTTGTTTGGGTTTTTTTTTGTATTGCCTAAAAAAGGAGTTTAAGGAAGGCTTGAAAAGATAATTCAGTAGTTTTGTTGATGTTTATGGGGAGTTCCCCCCCAACTGAGGAGCAGAATGGGAGAAAGCATAGAGGTGCTTGTTTGAAAATTTAACAAGTGGGTTATGGAGGCTGATATTATAGGTTGATCAGAGGCGGGAACCAACATCTCAATAATGGATGAGAGATAAGTACATAAGAATCGCCATACTGGGTCACACCAATGGTCCATTTTAGCTCAGTCTTCTGTCTTCTGACAGTGGCCAGTGCCAGATGCTTCAGAGAGAGTGAACAAGGCAGAGCAGTTTATTGAGTGATCCATCCCCTGTTGTCCAATCCTAGCTTCTAGCAACTAAAGGTTTAGGGACACCCAGAGCACGGGGCTGAATTCCTGAACATCGTGGTTAATAACCATTGATGGACCTATCCCCCATGAATTTATCTAATTCTTTTTTGAACCCAGCTGTACTTTTGACCTTCATAGCATCCCTTGGTAACAAGTTCCACAGATTGACTCTGCATTGTGTGAAGATGTACTTCCTTATGTTTTTTTTAAAACCAGTTGCCTGGTTCTTGTGTTGACCCTTGATTCTTGTGTTATGTGAAGAGGTAAATAACACTTCCTTATTCACTTTCTGTACACCATTCATGATTTTATAGACTTCTATCATATCCCCCCTTAATCATCTCTTTTACAAGCTGAACAGTCCCAGTCTTTTGAATCTCTTCTCAGATGGAAGCTGTTCCATACCCGTAATCATTTTTGTTGCCCTTCTTTGTACTTTTTCCAATTCTAATATATCTTCTTTGAGATGGGATGACCAGAACTGCATGCAGTATTTAAGGTATGGGTGTACCATGGATTGATAAAGTGGCATTATGATATTTTCTGTCTTACTATCTATCCCTTTCCTAATGATTCCTAACATTGTTAGCTTTTTTGACTGCTGCTGCTGCACATCAAGCAAATGGCTTCAGAAAACTATCCACAATGACTCCAAGATGTCTTTCTTGGGTGGTAACAGCTAGTTTAGAACCCATCATTTTTGTATGTATAGTTGGGATTATGTTTTCCAATGTGCATTTCTTTGCATTTATCAACACTGAATTTCATCTGCCATTTTGTTGCCCATGCACCCAGGTTTATGAGATCCCTTTGTAATTCTTTGCAGTCAGCTTTGGACTTCACTATCTTGAGTAATTTTGTATCATCTGCAAACTTTGCCACTTCCCTTGTAGGGTGGTAATACCGGTAGGCTGTGAAGTGTGGACAAGTAGCCTTTCTTTGATGCTTTAGAGGAGGAGGAGCCAATGGAGGCATGCAAAGAGAGAGTTGACATGGTGAAAGTGAAGGGTTAGGAAAATGATCTTTGTAGAAGCATTCTGAATGCATATGAGCAGGGCAAGGCCAGAGAGAAGGCTCTTGCAGTAATTGTGATGTAAGATGATGAGAGCCAAGACAAGAGTTTTAGCTGTGAGGATGAATAGGAAAGGCTGTGTCTTAGGGCTTGTCTACATTGGCAATTTCCAGCACTCCAACTTTCTCGCTCAGGTCTCGTGGAGGTGGTTTTTTTAGAGCGCTGGGAGAGCTCTCTCCCAGTGCTGCGCTGCGATTATAAAAGCCATGTTAAAGCGCTGCCGCGGCAGCACTTTAGTGTTGCCAGTGTAGACTAGCTCTTAGAAATGTTATGCAGAAAGAATCTGCAAGTTTAGACATAGCCTTGTTTTGAGGACCTAGAGCCAGGTTTGAATCAAATACAACACATGGGTTATGGGTCTGAGTGGCAGGCAAGATACTACTGATGTCTTCAGTTAATCGAAACTCCCATTGACTTCACTGGGATCATCATTTCACTCTGTATCTAGAAATTAGGCTGCAAACTTTGGTCCTGATATATTGCCTATTGAGCAATGATGCTTATGTCATTATAACTGTTCCAGTGCATAAAGCTAAAGCAGATAAACATTTAACAGAAGGGGATTTAAAAGATGTACAATATCTTCAGAATGTTGTGACTGGAATGTAGGGAGTGTCCCAGCTTCTGAGTAGTCATTTGCAGACGTTTGGTTTTTTTTTTTTACAGGAACGTAGTGACTTGACACACACACAATATTGTGTTCTATTCTAATTTTTTTCAGTATGTATATTTTTAACAGATATATTAGAAGGCAATGCACAGACCCTCTTATAACACAGACAGCAGCTGTTTCCTAGAAACTAATCTCTCTAAATACTGTAAAACTCTCTGTTTTAACCTTTGCCAAATACATTAATTAATTTTGTAGAGCCATGTATGTGGGCTGTGACTCAAAATGAACTATTCCCCTGCAATCAGTTAGTTTGTTGACAGTCAAAACCACCTATGGATATGGGTATTAGTATTGATACATCCGTAGCTGCTTTGCAACAAAAAATTAATTCCTCCCCCCCCCCTTAAATATAAGATGTGAAATCCTGGCCCCATTAATTTTGCCATTGACTTTAATGCGGCCCAGATTTCACCCAGGGCTCCAAGTATCTGCTATTAATGACCATTTCATTTCAAAACAGACAATTGATAGTTTTGAGTGCTGCCATTTTTGAGCTATTCAACAACAGAGGTATCTAAATTCAGAGACCATTCTAAAATGTGAACCTTAATTACTCACTGAGCTTGCTAGGGAACTAAGAATAATGGTTGGCCTGTCTCTTTTCTGACCCAGTTATAAATCCATGCATTTAATAATTTTGCAGCAGTAAGACTTAAAATCCATGTTTAACCTTTACTAATCATTTTATGTTTTTGTTATATCCCTGCATACCTTGGGTGAGTCACTTCACCTCTCTGTGATTCAGTTTCCCCATTATTAATATGCGGATAACAATACTTGCCTCCTTTGGGAAGTGGATTGAGGTCTATTGATTAAGAGCTAGTATAATTATTAATATTATAATAAAATGATACTTAAAAATTAATATTACAACTAATTAAAGAGATTGCTCTATACTACTATCATTATTACTACATTATAAGTGTTGTGGTGGTGTCTGAAATCTATCAAAGGTTGGGGAAAGTCCTTTATAATTTTCCCCAGATAAAATTTCAAGTCTGAACTTCCCAGGTCTGGCGCCAAATGGTAAGTATTCAGCTTGAAGCTCATCATCGTCCAGTACAGTCATATTGGGGTTATAAACCCTTGGTGCATCATATAGTCCTCCTGATATCATCAATGTGTCATCTGGAGTAGTGTATATGTCATCTGTAAAATATTGAAAGCATTATTAAACATTATTAAAGTACTATGGGGAGAAATGTAGCATATTCAAGCAAATCACAAGGTCTAAAATCTTCACTGGGCAAAGATGTTGTCATGTTGTACTACTATTTTGTGTATCTGTGGATTGACTGTATATGTTAAAGTAAAAATGGAAATATAAACAAGCATCATTGTTCCAGGCACTAATCCAAATAGCATAGGAGGCAAATGAAAAATAGCAAATGAAAAATTAGCGAATCTACTACTTTATAATCTGTGTTTTGGTTTGTACATTCTTCAAGTAGTAAAGTGGTAGAAATTATCTGTTTCTAACAAATTGTGAAGCTGATCAGAGTATTAATAAAATAACCTTAAATAAAAGAATAGAAGTACCAGAAAACACTGAAAGAATGCCAGGTTGTTTTGGGTGAGTGGCATTAAAAAAGAGGGGGGTATGATAAATGTAGAAGTACTTTGACAAATCTTCACATGTTTTAACAGGGAATATTTTCTCAGTCAAGACCTGAGTGAGAGACCACCCAGATGTGTCATTTTAACACAGGATTTTATTAAATCCTTAATTGTCAGCCAGTTGCTCTTTCAATAGTCCATGAAAGATGTTATAGTAAGTACAAAAAATATTACTATTATTACATGGGAATGTGGGTTTATTTGTATCCATTTCGTCAGGAAAATAGAATATTTTTAGAAGTTATAATTTATAATATTGAAGCATTTAACTATTGAAGCATTGATGCATTTACCTGTGCATTTTTATTTAAGTTTTTAGACTAAATTCTGCTTGGTTATCCCAGATCCACGTTATGTGTCCAGTCCCATTCAATTCAAGAAAATTGTGTTATTCTACCATTATCTGCAAGAAGTATAAGCAGCACAAGCATATCTCTAGCTGTCATTTTCTCAATGCTTGTATGTATTAGCTATACAAAGAACTATTTGGATGATTCTCTGTCAATGGCTTTTTAATTCAAATTTATATTAGTGATTCTGTTGACATCAATTTATTAGGCATATTTGTGATTCACCTCCTTTAACTCAGCTAATTTATACCTGAAGTACATACACATTACACGGCTGCTACTCTGAAACCTGTCATTATACATTTGTTATACTACATTTTATTTTGTGAACTTAATCCACCTAACCAGTTCTCGGGAGGATATAGCCTTTCAGCACCTCATCTCTAAAGCATCTCACCAACTAGAGAGAGGCACAGTTTGAAAACTATAACCTCATTGTACCTGCAGATACTAAATAATTACTTGTTTTCAGTAAGTGACCCTAATTACTAATGAAAAATTCTGATAAAATGAATTATCAAATTTATTATCCAAAAATAAGTGCTGGTGTTGAAAGTGTAGTCTCATTTGCATTTGTCACCACTGCTATAGTCAGTAGAAGACAAAACAATGATACAAAACAAGGACTAGAGATAAAAAGAGCATTGAGAGGGAAATCTTTCTTAATTGTTCTGGGGACTTTCTCACTAATTGTAAGCTAAACAAATAAATATATTGGAAGATTTCCAGATTTATTTGTAGGATAGTGTGCCAGTACAAAGGATTCTTTGGCTTGTTACAATGTCATCAGCAGCTCTGAAGATTCTTTCTAATTATACACTGTGGCAAGATTAACAAGCAGATTTTTGCCAAAACGGTCACTGGCTGTCTTTTCAGTTCCCACTTCATTTAAAGTTATGGAACTATAAAACTTCCATTAATGAAATTTGCTCCAGTGGATGTAAGCCAAGATTCTGTAACAAAAAGCCCCTGGTACCCATATGCTTTCTTGCTTTCATAAATGGCAAATATTATTTGCTGCTGTTCCTCCTGCTGTGGAAGCACTGGTGCTAATGTTGACACTGGGTGAGGTGTGCGTGTCATGCATTCTCTTGGCCTTGTCTTTACTGCTGAAAAAGTTGTTTTACCTTGGGGTAACTAAAGCTATCTTGATATAAACACACAGTAAAAATGGGGCACTTTGGTTTTACTGCAAGGTAAACTAGGTGAGGTCAATGCCAGATTGGGGTATAATGCTAACCTCTCTAGTTTATCTTGCAGTAAAACTAAAGTGCTCGTTTTTTATTGTTTCTCTAGTCTGAATTTGACTAGCTGTTTTAAGCATCTAAAGATGCAGATACTTGCCTAATTGTGTTTTTTATTTAAAGCGCCTAGGCAGGTTAGATGTGTAAATACCTTTGAAAATCTGGCCCTATGTGTTTAAGGATTTTTCATTGTTGCTATTTCATTTAACATAATTAATTTCATTTAAACATAAAACACACACATAAATAAATATTAAGTATAATAATATACATTCTGGGTCAAATTCCAGTTTCAAAACCCGCCTGCCTAATTGTCCACAACAGTTGTAATTGGAAAAGATGGTAAGTTCTCACTTCCTGCCCAAAAGTCACATCTTCAGCAGGTGTAAATTGGTGTATTTCCACTGAAATAATTGGAATGATACTGCTTTACAACCACTGAAGATCTGGCACTTAGACCATTGTGTAGCACTACTTTACCCAGTGGTTCTCAACCCGTGGCCCACAGGCTGCTTGCAGCCCAGTCAGCACACAGCTGCAGCCCGTGTGACACCCTCAGGGCTATACAGGTAGTATATGTATCAGGGGTCGGCAACCTTTCAGAAGTGGTGTGCCGAGTCTTCATTTATTCACTCTAATTTAAGGTTTCGCGTGCCAGTAATACATTTTAACATTTTTAGAAGGTCTCTTTCTATAAGTCTATAATATATAATTAAACTATTGTTGTATGCAAAGTAAATAAGGTTTTTAAAATGTTTAAGAAACTTCATTTAAAATTAAATTAAAATGCAGAGCCCCCCGGACCAGTGGCCGGGACCCGGGCAGTGTGAATGCCACTGAAAATCAGCTCACGTGCCACCTTTGGCATGCGTGCCATAGGTTGCCTACCCCTGATATATATTGTGTGGATGCAGCCCACATAAGACATAGAGAGCTGCATATGTGGCCCACAGTGGTAAATAGGTTTGAGAACCACTGCTTTACACTGTTAAAAAGTTACCACCTTCTTCCTCAGGGGTTGCTGCATTTCATTACTGGGGGAAGTGGTTGTCTTGAATAAACAATTTGTAATGTGCACATGTAGAATGCACGTTTGTTATATGATACATCTTATTAAAAATATGCCAACCTGTTTCAGAAGAGGTGTCATATAGTGGGTGATGGGAATACTGAGCTCTTCTCTTCCTGTACTTATCAAGACTGCATATGACAATTGCTAGAACAGCAAATGTGAGGATGCTGCTGAAAATAATGATCAGAATGGCCTCTGAATTCCTTAGATGAATTCCTCCTGTTTCAATAAAATAATTTAGAAAGTTGTTCTTATTTCACAGCTACAAAAACAACAAATCTCAATCTTTAGGTTTCAATATGGCAATACAGAAGGTTTTCATGTGCTAAGTATTAAAGAGACAGATTCAAATTCTAACCTCTCCCTTAAAAAACCTCCCTAAAATAGACTTGAACTGCCTTAACCTCCAAGTTGCCATGGGACAACCCAACAGCAACACACCCAAGATGCTTTGTTTATTCAAATGAGTCTTGTAGTAAAGTCTGGTTATTTTATTATTATTGTGGTGAATTTTTAAAGTAAATGTTTCAGTTTGGGGTTGATCCTCCCAGGTTTACTGTAAATATATGAAAGCAGATCAAAGATATAGCACATGGTCAAAATTTATAAAATCAGGGTACCTAAAGTTAGTCAACTAAATCCATACTTAGGTGCCTAAATTAAATTGACCTGATTTTCACAGCGGCTGAGGACCTGCAGCTTGCATTGAAGGCAATAGGAATTGTGGGTGGTGAGCCCTCTAAAAATCAGGTCATTTTGACGTAAGGGCCTAAATAAGGATATAGTTATCTAACGTTAAACCACCACACTTTAAAATGTTGGCTTACGTGATTATTTGTCTTTGTTATGTTGCTAGCATAGATCCCCAATACCTGTTCCATCAACCTGTGTCTACTTTTCAGGAGGCATGGGTGGCCCTCTTTCTCATACTCCTTGACACCTTGGCTCAGTATGTCGCTTTGTTTCTGTCCTTTCCTGTCTCTGCTTTCCACCTTCTCATCTTGAATTTTTTCTTTTCTGTGTAATTTTCAATCTTTGGTTTTCCACTAATTTTTTTTCCCCTTCCCCTCCCAGGAAGACTCCTTCTCCTCAAGTCCTCCACTCAACAGAAGTCACATACTTTTGGGTGTCCAATGGTAGCTCTTGCAGCTGAGCTGAGTTCATGGGAACAGAGAAGAGAAACTTGAGCTGATGGTCTGTTCCCAGGACCTGAGGCCCTGAACACGTAAGCTGGGAGGGAATGTTGGTGCCCGGAAAGCAGCTAACGCTGGATACTTGTTGACACATTTGTTGTGTGTACATGATGAACCCCAATGCCTGATGCCATTGCTTCTTTCCAACAACTAGGTGCACACAGTGAACTAGTCTGACACCACAGGTTAGGAAATGCTGCCATAGAATCTAATGACACCTACCTGAAGCGTGTGTTATAGGAACTGAATCCAAAGCTTTGCTAGTATTTAGTTGTGTGGCTGTAGAAGACTGAGCTGTTGGTTTCAATGTGATTGCAGACGTTCTGGGATTAGAATCTTTATCAGTTGCTCGATTAAAGGTTGAAACTGTAGGTGATGTCACAACAGTGTTGAATCTAATAGTAATATCTGAAGGGCTGCTAGTGTCTGTGTTGAGGGGATGTAGAGTGCTTCGTGCAAAATGTGACAAAGTTGTTAAAGCCAATGAACTAGTTATCTTTGCTGTCACGGCAATTGTATTCCCACTGGAATTTATATTCTGCACTGTGGTTGTATTAACTGCTTCTTTATCTGAAATGGTGGTCATTACAGTACTTCTAGATATGGTTGTATTTCCAGATTCATTGGATGCTGCTTCTGTTTGCATGTCTTCATTCACGGGGGGAGTCTGATCTGAAGCCTGAACAGAAAACATCACTACTGTATGACAAATCAAAAGGAGCTTGACACACACACGTTGTGTTCCATCCATTATGGCTTCTCACTCTTCCTGCTCAGCTGAAGATTTACCCTTCTCTGTGCAAATATACAAACAAACAAAGCCATGAAGATAAGCAAAATAGATTAACTTAGTATTAGTGGGCTAGTTCCTGCAGGAGTTTTGGGTGATGGTTGTGACAGTAGTTGGGCTTTATTACTTGGGATTTGAGGGCTTGCTTGTCTATGCAGGGACACTCAGGAAAGTAAAGATGAATTAAGGTAGTAAAGTTAAAATTAATTAAGGTGTGAAGTTAAAGCAAATATTCTGCAATATTCACTTAAAATTAACCGTTTCTGCAAATTTTCTTGTCAGTAATATTCACTGTTACCACTGAACTTATGTTCTAGATTTGCAGAAAACAAGGGTGGGCGGGGTGAGGGGGGGGAGAAGGGAGGGGAGGGTTGAAGGAAAACAAAGTTGAAGGAAATTTTGTTACAAGTGTGAACGAATATTAATGGAAAATTGTTTGCAATACTCAGCTAGTTTCTGTGTTTACCATGGGTTCCTGTTAAAATATTTAACTGTCAATCACTGTAGTTTCTATTATTATCACCTACAAGCCTTTTTTTAAGCATGGAAAATTGGAACATTACCTATTATTGCAAAATTATTAGCTTGCTTTTATTGCTTTAGCCCAGAATGCCAGTATTTTGGGATTTAGATATCAGGGTTTTTTTTGTTTGTTTATTTGTTAAACAATAGAATAAACTAGAGTTGATAGAGTACCTGACACAACACTACACACTGTAAGTCAAACCAGCAAGTTGTCTTAATAACTGCAAAGAAACCCCAAATTTACAAACTCCAAGTGAAATATCAAACACTTTTGGAACTTAAAACTAAAGTGCAAACCAAGCATGTCCAAGTACTTCCGGGTGACTCGTAGCTGTGAGCCGACATTAATGACGCAGTTACATTCCACACACTTTGTATTCTCTGCCTTAGTGTTCAAAATAAGTGGAATTTTTAAATGCCATACGTAAATATCAAATCAGAACAAATTTTACCAAAATAATACTTTCAGAACTCACCTAGTTCTATGAAACACGGTGGCACTTGTACCTGCAGGTAGTTCTGAGTAACATACACTATCTTAGCATGTTCCTGTTTATTCAGACTCTGGAATACACTCCTTGGAGGGCAGGGTGAAACACTGAGGTGTCTCTATGGTAACCAATGGAGTTGCAGTGGAGTTTCGAGATTAGTCAGGGATAACTGCACTAGGGTTGGGTTCACCTGTCTATGAATCTATCCAGGTCACATTACAGGGAGGTGTGTGTGTCACGCTAGCAGTTACGAATAACTTAATTTCACAATAGTTTTAAAAAGCAGCTTTTGCAGACCTAGAGACAATTTTAGACTCTTGTAAAGAATATATGTAGCAATCCCTTCAAATGTTTTCCCTCAGAAGTGGTGTAGGTGTTTAAATCTTCTTGCTAATAGCAATACCATTCTCTGATCAGAAGCAGTGAGTTTTAGAAAACCTATCCGACATGCATGATAATTACAGTAAAGGACAAATTAAACCCAGAACAAAGATAATACTCAATGCAACTTCTAAATACAAAAGGACTAAAAAAAAGTAAGGTACAGGAAATAAATGAAAGTAATAAAACAAGACCCAGGAAAAGTGAAGCTCCATTATCACTAGACTCCAGGGGCTCTTTCCTTCTTGTGGGTGTCAGTATTATACCCAATTCTTGACTGCCCATTTCTTCAGCTAAAGCAGATTTCTCAGCTTTCTCTTTGTCTCTAATTGCCTGTGTTTTTGGAGTCGCATTTCTTGGAGATCAACAGTAAAAATTCAGAATTGGGGAAGGATGTGAATTGGATGATCTGCAATGTCTTTTCCATCTTTCACACCTATGTTACTCCGAAGAAGGTGCAGAGATGAAAATCCAGATTCTCATTTACACTAAGATCACTTTATATCATTGATAGCATGAAGGGGCTTTAAGATGGGAATAAATTATATTTAGTATAAAAGAAAATCAGTCTCAGAATCTTTAGGTGAGCTGGTGCTTGTAGGTTGGAAGTAAAAAGCAATCTGACTGCATGTTCTCTTATTTAATGTGACACATTGTGGTACATGGAAAGATAATAGGCTAAGTTCTGCTCTCACTGATCCTGAAGCCAAAGGAACAACTCTGGGTTTAGGACAGTGTCAGTGGTAGTAGGTTTTTGCCCAGTGTGAGTGTCCTGTTTTCAAGGCCAGGTTTCTTCTCTTTATCCATCTCATATGCTAGCTCTCTGGGAGAAACACAAGTTTATCACAGAGCATGAAGCCTTTCGGGGGGCAGGTTTCATCCATATATCTACCTTGGATTCGGGCACTAAATCAGCCCTTTTCATTCTGAAAACCCCCCCTGCAAAAAGGCCACTGCTCTTGGCTCACTCTCTCAGAGTAGAGCTATTTATATCTTGGATGCAAAAGAAAAGGAAAAATGAACTTACCAGTAGAATCCCCTTCCTGATTTAAGAGAACATCCCTTACCTGTGCTAGAATAAAGGACTAAATATCCTCAAGCCTATTAACTGACTGAACATAATAATTGTTTTGGCAACACTCACAGGTAGGTAAATCATTAACATGCCATTGTGCGTTCATAGTACATGTGGGAAAGAGGACCTTTTGTTTTCCCAGGTAGTTCAGGTCAAACTGCGGCACCTGAAAAGCAGTGGGTAAAAAAATCATATTTGGATAGATAAAGGGCTGACATACACCTCTACCCCGATATAACGCGACTCGATATAACACGAATTCGGATATAACGCGGCAAAGCGGTGCTCCGGGGGGGTGGGGGGGCTGCGCACTCCGGTGGATCAAAGCAAGTTCGATATAATGCGGTTTCACCTATAACACGGTAAGATTTTTTGGCTCCCAAGGACAGCGTTATATCAAGGTAGAGATATACTACAAAATGACTGTCAAATTTTCACTGTCACAATGTCACTTGACAACTCACATATCAGATTGTAATTAAAACAACTTGTGAACAGCAGTCCAGTTGAAATAAACACATGAAATCCAGAATGGCCAAAGCAGAAAATATTTTGCCATGTTTGTTAATAACTACATTTAGCAAAGCAGGTTGAAGATAAGTTTGGAAAGTTACTTATTTTATAATAAAACCCAATTTGAATAAAAGATGGTATTTTTATTTTACAGAGACAGTAATATAAGTTTCCTACCATTGTATTAATTTTTAGACAAAGTTTTTCAAATAAATGTTGGTATTTGCATTTCAGTTCAGAATAGTTTATGCGGCATAGATAACCTAAAAATGGAGCATACCTAAATTGTCACAGAGGGAAATGCATAGAGTGCTTCCAAAGCTCTAAGACACCCACTTTCCATTGTTCAACAGCTTGTTTTTTAGTTTGTTAAAAGGCAACAAAATTAAAGGGAAATTTGTTTACACATTGTGCAACTAATTTGTAGAACTTAATGCCACAATATGTCATTGAAACCAAGATCTTAGCAGCATAAAAAAGGATTAGACATTTATATGGATACAGAGCACATCCACAGTTGCATTACATGGGTTAAGAACAACCATACTGGGTCAGACCAATGGTCCATCTAGCCCAGTATCCTGTCTTCTTACAGTGGCCAATGCCAGGTACTTCAAAGGGAATGAATAGAACAGGTAATCATCAAGTGATCCATCCTGTGTCGCACATTCCCAGCTTCTGGCAAACAGAGGTTAGGGACACTTCAGAGCATGATTTTGCATCCTCGCCCATCCTGGCTAATGGCCATTGATGGACTTAACCTCCATGATGTTCTTTTTTGAACCCTGTTCTAGTCTTGGCCTTCACAACATCCTCTGGCAAAGAGTTCCACAGGTTGACTGTGCATTAGATATACTTCCTTTTGACTTACTAATGTGGATTAGGAAGAAACTTCATGTATGGGCAGGTTTCTCCCTAATTACCCGCTAAGTGGTTTCTTGCACATTCCTCTGTAACATTTGGCGTTGGTCACTGTCAGAGATGGGACTGGACTATATGGACTCCAGTCTGATCCAGTCTGGAAATTCTTGTGTTTTCTAATCCATTGAAACATGTAATTGCCCTTTTTTAACCGATATTATTCTATTCTCTTTGTAAGGAATCAGCATAAATAATAAGGCTGAGTAGTGTGAGTATGAGATACTGACTAGACAGAGAGTGTGTGCAGACAGAGAGTTGGAAATTAATGGAAGTATCACTCAGGGACATCACAGATTAACAATTCTACAATAAAGAAATGTTGTAATTTTAGGAGTCAAGAAGCCTCTCTGAGGGGAATTTTGCTCTTTTTCACATTGTGATGGGATGTATGCCCCCCACAGTTAGTGAAATGGTTAATGTGGGTCTGCAAGGCTAATCAATCCATGTTGTTGCAACTGAAGGGTGGGCCAGACCCAATTACAGATGAGTCCCAACTTCAGAATGAGTTAGGTGGTTAATATAAAGAGAGGAAGCACAGACTAGAAGGAGGCTTCAGGGATAAATTCTGCAGTGTTTCTTTGCAAGATTCCCAGTTGTATCTCAAGGCAAGACAGCAGATAGAAGGGTAAGAGGCAATCCTGGCCTCCAATACCTGTATCTGCCTCTGATTTCTAGTTCTGAAGGAGAGATGAACATTCATTGGTACTTCCAGCTTGTCCTTCAGAAAGGGGTGTAGTGTCCTCTCCTTCCCAAATACATGTGCACACAAAATACCCAAAGATAGGACACATTCCACTGAAGTTCAATGGCTTTTATGAAAAGAGGGGGTCAAACTGCAATTACCTTGAGATTAGTGCATAAGAGCAATAGAACTTCACAGGCTCAGCCTTCTCTCTGGACAGCTTAATGTGCAGCAAGAATGTTTTATTGAGAGATCTAAATACGTACTAAAATTACAGTTGTGATCAGTGATGAAAAGTTGGGTAGACAAGGCTAAAACCTCAGTTCCAGTCATTCTGGCTGCACACTGTGCTGTTCTGTATAAACAACAATAA